TGTGGTGAGTGAACTGCAGGTCTCAGGGCTAGAGGAGGGGCACACAGGGAGAAGAGCGCGGAAGGGGTGGAAGGAGTTGGATGGGTTGGTATCAGTATCGGGTTTACTGTTCGTGCAGCCGGGATTTCTTTTGCCAGTCTGATCACAGATTCACTCAGTTTCATCTTCTCATTCTCACCTGATACTCGTGCCTGTCCACCTGATCGGCCACCTGACCTTATTACCCACCTCCCGGAGCTTCTCTCACCTGGCGACATAGTACACCGCGTTTTCGAGCATGAGCATCTTATTGCAGCAGCCTATAGCGAGGGCGCCGCCTGACCCTCCTTCCCCAATAACGACTGAGATGGTGGGCACAGTGAGTCCGAACATCTCCCGCAGGTTGTGCGCTATGGCCTCGCCCTGTGGGGCCAGAAGAAGGGAGATGGGGATGGGGTTGGGAATCAGACGGGGACGGTGCAGCTTGAGATGGTGGGCACAGTGAGTCCAAACATCTCCCGCAGGTTGTGCGCTATGGCCTCGCCCTGTGGGGCCAGAAGAAGGGGGATGGGGATGGGGTTGGGAATCAGACGGGGACGGTGCAGCTTGAGATGGTGGGCACTGTGAGTCCAAACATCTCCCGCAGGTTGTGCGCTATGGCCTCGCCCTGTGGGGCCAGAAGAAGGGGGATGGGGATGGGGTTGGGAATCAGACGGGGACGGTGCAGCTTGAGATGGTGGGCACTGTGAGTCCAAACATCTCCCGCAGGTTGTGCGCTATGGCCTCGCCCTGTGGGGCCAGAAGAAGGGGGATGGGGATGGGGTTGGGAATCAGACGGGGACGGTGCAGCTTGAGATGGTGGGCACTGTGAGTCCAAACATCTCCCGCAGGTTGTGCGCTATGGCCTCGCCCTGTAGGAAAGAGGAGGGGCCGGAGATTGGCATGGAGAAGGAGAAGGGGAAGGGAGGGGAACATGAAAATGGCGTAGCAACCCAATGTTCACCTAATCTCCCCTCATGCGCCCACCCATCTGCCCATCTGCCCATCTGCCCATCTGCCCATCTGCCCCCTTCACTCGACCTGCCCCAACTCCTCGGCCAGGCTGCTGGCAGAGGCGCCTGGAGTATCGATGAACACGGCGATGGGAATGCCGTGGTGCTCCCAACCCCCAACCCCCCCCGTTCCCATACCCTCTCTCATGCACCTACCCTCCCCCTTCCACCCACCCTCCTCTTCCACCCACCTGCCCCAGCTCCTCGGCCTGAATGCCAGCGTAGGCACCCGGAGTGTCGATGAACATGACGATGGGGAAGCCGTGGTGCTCCCACCTCCCAATCCCCCAAATTCACCCTCGCTCCCCCATCCATCCCGCCCCCCACACCGCCATCCTCTCACCTGCCCCAGCTCCTCGGCCTGAATGCCAGCGTAGGCGCCCGGAGTGTCGATGAACATGACGATGGGGAAGCCGTGGTGCTCCGCGTGCCGCATCAGGCGCAGCGCCTTGCGGTACCTGCAGGGGCGAGGAATGTGGGGGGAGAGGGGGAGGGGGAGGAGGGAAAGGAGGGAAGGATGGGGTTAGACGATGGGAGCATTTATTTTGATAACATGTGCTTATGGCTAGTGCGTGATGCAGCACAAACAGGAACAGAAACAACTCGTTAGAAGACCAGCACTCGTATATTCACCCGTTGGGAGCAGTAAATGTTCTCATTGGTGTTGTGCCCATTCTGCTAGTAAACTGAACATTGCGACTGACGCTACCATATCGTAACATATCGTATCAAATCATATCATGCGGAAGCAACGTCGCACACGAGGTCAAAGCATCCCCCATGCGTTCTCTTGCCTCTCACCCGTTGGGTGAAGGCATGCCGAAGTTGCGGTAGATGTTTTCGTTGGTGTTGCGGCCCTTCTGGTGCCCCATGAACATGAAGCTCATACCGTCCATGCGCCCCAGCCCGCACACCAGCGCCGCACACGACATGAAATCCACCAGCACACAAGCAGCACGCACGCACCTGTTAAGCGAGCAGCACTCGCGCACGCACTCACCCGGACTCACGCACTCCCCCACACTCCCCCACACTCACCCGCAACCCCACACTCACCCGCACTCACCCGTTTGGCAATCAGCACTTGCTTACTCACCCGTTGGGGGAGGGCATGCCGAAGTTGCGGTAGATGTTTTCGTTGGTGTTGCGGCCCTTCTGGTGCCCCATGAACATGAAGCTCATGCCGTCCATGCGCCCCAGCCCGCACACCAGCGCCGGGTCGTCGTACCCGCCGCGGTCGCCGTGCAGCTCCACCCACTGCAGGGGGGAGAGCGGGGGGGGCGGATGGGGAGAAGGCAGGTTGGGGATGCAAACTATTAAAGCATGTGTCAGCCCCAACCATATCCCAAGGCAGCCCGCACACCAGCGCTGGGTCGTCGTACCCGCCGCGATCGCCGTGCAGCTCCACCCACTGCATGATGGGAGAGGGGGGGAGAAAGCAGGTTGGCGGACAGCACGTTGGGGGAAAGCAGCGCCGGGTCGTCGTACCCGCCGCGATCGCCATGCAGCTCCGCTCCACCCACTGCATGGCGTCCGAGTCGGGCCGGGCGTGCGCGCCGACAAGCATAAGCAGTAGGCTTGAGAATGACAGTGCGGCACCTTATCGTGACGCGAATACAGTGCATATCGTCTTGATAGTGATTGCGCAACACCTCATCAGTGATGTGCAGAATGTGGCTTGTGAGTTCAACAGTCACTTAGAGTGGCGTTCTTATGTTGCAGGTCGTGGATCTAGTGCATATCGACTTGATAGTGGCAGCGCGTCACCTTATCTGTGATGTTGAGTATGTGGTCGAGGAACGTTGGACGGTTGGGATGGAGCGTTTTGAGGCGCCTGAAAAGACGCAAAGCTCATTCAGAGTGGTGTGGGCAAGAGAGTGGCAGTGCGTCACCTTATCTGTGATGTTCAGGATGTGGTCGAGGAACGTTGGACGGTTGGGATGGCGCGCCACGCCTAGACGTTGCACCGGTGTGAGGCGAAGGTAGATGTCGCGCTTCAGCTGCCGCGGGACAGAGAAAAGGCAAAGAAACAAAGCAACATCCGCAAGTACTTGCATGAGAAAAAACAAGACGAGCCAAACAAACACAACAGACACGGGAAGAGGTCAGACAGTGCAACTCGTCAGACGTTGCAGGTCTTGTTCGGCTCTTAACCTTTGCAACAGCTCAAGTGGTGCAGCTCAGGCGGTGCAGCTCACCTGATCGTATTTCTCCTGCAGCTCGTGAATCTGCTCGGTGAAGTCCATCCCCGTTTTAGTCGCCAGATCGCGAACCTGCGACGCAAATTAGCAGACGGTGACGGTACGACAGAGCGAAACACAGAAAAGAAAATCCTTCATACGTGCAGGACGGCGTCGCTTCTACTCGGAACATGTGAAGGAGGAGACTTCATCGTGGATCCCAAGGCCTTCTGTTTACATACATGTTGTCGTTAGAAAGAGCAACTGTTAAAGGATACCAACGTGTTGAATGATACGATGCGATGCGAGGCACTAAGTGGTAATGCGATACGGTGCGATGCGACGCGGTTGAATACGGTGTGTCATGCGATGCCTGACCTCTTTAATCCGCTTCTCCAGGTCCTCCAGCGGTCGCTCGAACGGCAGCATCATGGGCTTGCCTTTCTTCCCGGTGTTTTCCTTGCTCTTGGAAAAGAACGCGAGGAAACCCTTCTCCTCCGCGTGATACTTGTCAGGCCACGGATAGTCCGGATCCATCGGCGCTCTCTTCGTTTTCCGTACGTTGTTACATTCTACCGTAAGTCGCCGGGAAGCACCGCTTGGAATGTCTTTTACGAGGGATTTGGCTCGCGGGATGGTGATCGCGGATGGTCTGGTGTGCAGTGATTGGCCTAGAGATTCTCCGAATAAGCAACGGACGCCGGCAACCGTCCGGTTCAAGAGGCTCCGCGTTGGAGTGCACGCAGCCATGGCTTCCATCGTCCCTATGCTGCAAGAACAGGCTAATATTTCACAGGCTATTGTTTTACACCGAGGACCAGGTTATTTCAACAAAGAATATGCGAGACCTCGCAACGGCTGTTCTAAATTCACTCTGCTCGGCTATCGAACTCCACAGATACTTATTCAGCAAGTGACACACCCAACCTAGCTGGACTCCAAGGAATCAACAGGAAAGCGGCGAAGGGAATCTCGAAAAGAGCAAAACGAGGAGCAGCAGCCGTGATTTCAGCAGACTGGAATTCATAGGTGGTGAGTTTAGGAGGCAGGGGGAATGAAGTATATCCCGAGGTCGAGGGAAAATAGTGCAAGTGAGGCGGTGGAGAGAAGTTGGGTGAGATGGAATGCAGTGGGATGCTAAAATATGTGGACAGCAGTTGGAGATATCGAGGTTGGAGAGGTCAGCGAAGGGTGCTTGGGAAGACGACGAGGTGAACGAGTTGTGACGACCAACTATGCGAAAAAAACGAAATTTTCAGAGCTTGGTTACAGCACATCTGGAAAGATCTGGCATGGATATGTGTGGAAAGGCACGTGTGTTGTCACAAGTGACAAGACCCAAGTGCATCGACGCCGTTCGTTCAGCCCCCAACTTCTGTTATCGGGCTGAGTCATCGGATAGCTCGTGTGACGGTGCGAAAACTCTGTCGTACCCAGCGTGTGAACCTTTTCAAATAATGGAGGATGACACGCGGCAGCTCAGCGGCGCGCCAATTTCAGCCGAAAGATCTGTCTTGGGATTCCGCATATGATGTGGGAAAGGCACCTTATTGAAAATCTGTGATATCATATATAGTGTGTTCACGGCGTACACTTTATCCTAAACGAGAAATATCACAGCGGAGCCAAGGCCCACTTTATCCGCGTTATTATCTCCGTAACCTAAGTGTATAATTGTTCACTTCAGTTTTGTCTGAACATTTCTGATAGCACAAAGTCCCGCTAGCCTGCCGTTCCCTTCCGAAACCTGCACGCAAGAACCTTGGCAGTAATCCGCTTCCGCGCACCAATGGCGGAAGGAAAATCAGCTCCGCCGCAAGGGGAAGAGAGGGAACACGCGCAGGAGGGAGCGAACGTGCAGGGGGAAGCACGCGCACAGGGGAAAACCGGGGGAAAGGAGGAAGCTGGGGGAGCGGAACTGATGGAAACCAGTGGTGCGCCGAAGCAGGGGCTGTCGCTCCTGCTGGCGTCAGCGGAGCTCATCAGCCAAGGCGCGGAAGCGGTACGCATACCCGTTATAACCAGTCCCGACCATTCATTTCCACTAGCGCGCGCGGTGCTCATCAATCTAGTCAGCACTTAAGGCCACAATTATCCGCGAGGGATGGATTGCGGCCAGCCAATGGGAGCATCCTCTCTCCCTCCCCCCTCTTCAGGCCCTCCCCCCTCACCCGCTCCCACCTGCTCATCCTTCTACCTCCCTCCTCCATTCTACCCCACCATCTCACCATCCCACCACCACATCACCGCATAACCGCAGAGAGTGTTTGCAGCAACGTTCTGCGGGCGGCCAGCGATACTGAAGCAGCGCTTTGAGAAGAAGTACCGCCACCCCACGCTGGACGCGCGACTCACCTCCAAGCGCCTGCACACGGTGAGCCCTCCCCGCTACCTTCAGTGCTGCCTCTCCCGTGTCTCCTCCTCTTCTCTTTCTACCTCCAACCCGCGCTGGTCGTGCGACTCACCTCCAAACGACTGCACTGCACACAGTGAGCGCCCCCTCCGCTGCAGCTGCACAGTTTTGAGGCGCCTCAAAACTAAACTGCACGCAGTGAGCTCCCCCCCCGCTGCAGCTGCACATTCTCGCCTCTGCTGCCACTCATTGTGATCCTCGTCTTCTGTTAACTCCTTGTGCCCTCCTGCACTTACTCCCTCTTCTTAATCCCAGGAGGCAAGGAACATGATGCGGGCTGCAAAGCAGGAAATGGCAGTGCCGATGCTGTAAACAAATGCACAGCCGCTGCTGAAAGTGGAGGAGGAGGGGGAGCAAGAGTGGGAGAGGGATCAACACGAATTCATTGCCAACCCCTGCTTTATTTAACCTTTTCGTGATCACAGGAGGCGAGGAACATGGTGAAAGCAGCAAAACTAGGAGTGGCGGTGCCGGTGCTGTACGGAGTGGAGGAGGGGGAGCGATGCATCCTGATACAACGAGTGGCAGGCTGCAGCGTCAAAGACCTCTTCCTCTCCCTCGCCCACCACTCTCCCACTGCTGCCGCTGCTACTGCTGCTACCAATACCAGCGCAGACCCACCTGTCAGTACAGGCACAGGAACAGGCACGGTTGCAGTAACAGGAACAAGTGAGGATAGGGCGGAGAGCAAGGGGCTGCACCCGCGGGTGGCGGAGGTGGCGGCATGGATGGGCGAGGCGATAGCAAAGCTGCATGATGGTGGCATGGTGCACGGCGACCTCACCACCTCCAACATGCTGCTCTCTCCTGTCTCTTCCACCGCCGCTGCTGCTGCACCGTCAACAGCAGCACCAGCGGGAGCTGCAGCAGCAGCAGCTGCAGGGGCAACGGGCGTGGCAGCTGGAGCAGCAGCAACTGCAGCGGGGGCAGTGGGGGCTGGGAGGGAGCGCGTGGTGGTGATAGACTTTGGGCTGAGCTTCAACTCCACCATTGCGGAGGACAAGGCCGTTGACCTCTACGTGCTAGAGCGGGCACTCATCTCGTTGCACTCCAGCAATGGGGATATCGTGCGCTCTTACCCTTTGCACCCCACACACCCACCACTTGCGAGCTGCCCGATTTTCATGTTTTCCCCATGTTGCTCCAAACTTGGTCTATCTTCTTCCCCTGTGTGCTTTCCCCTGCCCAATTTTTATGTTTTGTTTATTTGTTTACTTCTACCCTGGCACCGTTCTTAACCACAAGCATCCCTGTTGTTTCCCTGCTTGTTGATTCTCCTGCTTGTTCCATCTGTGACATCAGATGTCGGCGGTTCTGACATCGTATCGCCACCATTCACGCTTCTGGAGCGCCACACTGAACAAGCTGGGGCAAGGTGAGACACATAGATTCTCCTCTCCCCGCCCAGCTAGTGGGTTTTTTGGTCGACTCGAAAATCGTTTTTGGAGTGCCACACTGAACAAGCTGGGTCAAGGTGAGACACACATGATCCTTTCTGCTCGCCAAGCCTAAGGTTATTCTTTCGTTGACATAAAAGTCGTTTTGGAGTGCCACTCCAAACAAGCTGGGGCAATGTGAGGCACACGATCTTTTCTCGTTGCCCTTTTCTTGTTTGACGTGCTGAAAAAGAAGTGTCAAACTAGAAAGTCTGTAAGAAGGCCAGAGTCACACTGATTCTTCGACCCAGCCGAGCATTGCGGTCGTGCTCTGACACTGACGCATGCCATCTTACGCTTGCTCTCCCTTGCTTTTCTCTGTCATCATAGCAGCCCAGAGAAAAATGCTGCTCCTGGTCCGGGGCATTTCACGAATATTTGGAGTGTTTTTACTAATGTATTTTCCCTTTTCTCTTTCCTTACGGTACCTGCCATTCCAGTTCGACTACGAGGGAGGAAAAGAGCCATGGTTGGGTAACGAGCATGTTCAAAACTCTTGTACGGTAATGCTTTGTCTGAACGTTTAGAGTGCTTGTCGTATAATACTTTATTCAACCACACCTGTACGCATTTTATTCCCAAATGCATTCCATCTGGAATTTGTAGGTCAAAAGATTCTGACAAGCGAGGAAAATTATGTCTCAGGATCTGGGCCTAAGCTAATTTTAGCGGAGAAAAGGTAACTTAGGGCGGGTCAGAAGAGTACGTCCGAATGCTGTTTGAAAAGGTTTTGGCTTGTCCCAGAGCGGTCTATTTAAAACAAAAAATGGTGGGGTAGGGTTTTCTCTGAATACGTGCAAAGTTTGACCCGCCCTTAGTATTATTATAGAATAAAATACCGTTGAGGTTGAAATCGTGTAGTAGTCTCTCTTTCTCTGGAAAGCATCTTCAGAGAAACATCGGCTGACACGTCAACCGAGTCGCACACGCAAGCTGCTTACAGCGCGTATAATCGGCTGGCCTAGATATGTCACTCGGGCAGGCGAGCACTGGAACAACGATTGTGGTCCTAGCGAAATCGGTATCACTGGTGCTGCTGGTAGTTACTCGTACCCATATGCGTTCATTGTCTGGCTTGCCGCACTTGCTTCCGTTATAGGTAGACCCATCTGATGTTACATGTGATTTGATTCGAAGCCGCTCTCGAATCATGCTAGGCCACGTGGCAGCACGACAGCGGGAGCTGTACCGCGCCGCGCATCTCGCCGGACCAGCCGCTGCTGCCGCCGTTGCGCTGCTGCGACACACCCAGCTGCTCGCGTCGCCATCCTTTTCCTCATCGCTTATCGCGCCGCGAGATGCCGCTCCTCTCTCTCCATCGTCGGGGCTGTCCGTTTTCAACGGACCGTACGCCGGTGCTGCCTCCTCCGCATCACCCGCAGCTGCTCTTGTCGAATCGAACGCGATTAACGGCGCGATCAGCGGCGCAATCAAGGGCGCATTTAACGGCGCAGCGAGCAGCCCGATCGACGGGTCCCTTAGGAGGTTGTTTTCAAGCTTAGCTCCGAGGCGCGCTCTCTCTCCCACCATCTCCCTCCACCAACCTACCTCCACGTCATCATCCACGTCATTCTCGGCTCTGATTGGTCCCAGCAATCGCCCCTTTCACAGTAGCATCCCCACCGCTCGCAACGGCTGGGGCTTCGGATCTGAGGACACGTGGCAGAATCTAGGAGCATCTTCAGCCTCGCTGACCAATTGGGGCGTGCGGATCGTTCCTGAGAAAAGCGCCCACGTTATAGAGCGGTTCGGGAAATACTACAAGACCCTAGGATCCGGCATCCACCTCTTAATTCCGTTGGTAGACCGAATTGCGTACGTGCACTCGCTGAAAGAGGAGGCGATCCCGATTCCGAACCAGTCAGCAATCACCAAGGATAACGTCAGCATTCAGATCGACGGTGTTCTGTACGTCCGGGTGAGTGACACTAGGAATGTACCTGTTTACCCCTTCCTCCTTGAAACACTCAACCCCTCCTCTCCCCTCGTCCTCCACCGTCAGATCGTGGATCCGGTGCAGGCATCGTACGGTGTGGAGCGGCCGCTGTACGCAGTGGTGCAGCTGGCGCAGACAACCATGCGCAGCGAGCTGGGGAAGATCACCCTCGATAACACTTTTGAAGAACGGGATATACTCAACACCAACATTGTGGTATGGCTGGGGTTGGCAGCATGGGTTTGCCAGCATGCAGCGCAGCGAGCTGGGGAAGATCACCCTCGATAACATAACACGTTCGAGGAGCGGGATATTCTCAACACCAACATTGTGGTATGGGCTGTGTGGAGTTGCTGGGGCGTGTGGCTGTGTGCTGTGATGGGGGAGTGAGTAGGGAGATTGTGAGCATGCCAGCATGCAGTGAGAAAATTACCCTGGATAATACGTTTGAGAAGCGGGATATTCTCAACACCAACATTGTGGTACGGGCTGGTGTATTAACCACAATGTTGGTGAGGTGAGTATATCTCGCTGGTGTTGAGCATACTCTGTGTGTGCTATGTGAAGTTTCTTCTGCTTCTTGTCCTCCATGCTCCTTGTGTGCTGGCCGTTTCTCTTGCCGCTTGTATGCATATGTGCGCGTGTGTGTGAGCAGAGGGCGATCAATGAGGCTGGGCAGGCATGGGGCATAGAGTGCCTTAGATACGAGATCCGTACGTACCACTCTCACATGCATGTCACTCTCACATACATGTCACTCTCACATGCATGTCACTCTCAAATGCATGTCACTCTCAAATGCATGTCACTCTCACTTGCGTGCATGCTTGCAGCCGTTCTTTCCCTTCCTTCCGTGGAACGTTCATCGTTTATTCAAATGGCTCCACGTGCATGCTTGCAGCCACCTCCTGGATTCAAAAGGATGCAAGCATGCAAGCATGCAAGCAAGCACTCTTGGAGGATTCCACGTTCATCCTCCACTCCGCACACACCACGCACTCAACCCCTCCCTTTCCCTCCTCTTAGTGTAGTTGTAGCTGCTGCGTCCAACCGCCAGGGATGCCCTTGTTTGCCAGGTGGACATGTCATCATTGCTCTGACTTGACCCTTCACCCTCCTACCTCTGCGCATACCGCATGGAATGTCACATGCCACACGGCACAGGTGACATTTGCCCCCACCCCATGGACGTTGAAGCATTATGCCCTGATCCGACCTTTCCTTGCTTGCTTTGGCATGTCATTATGCCCTGATCCGATGCTCAATCTCCTTGTCTCTGCATGTTCCACGTATCGCATCCCATTCACCTGGTGTGTGCCGCAGGTGACATCTCGCCCCCGCCTGGAGTGCGAGCAGCCATGGAGATGCAGGCTGAGGCAGAGAGGCGGAGGCGTGCTCAAGTGCTCGAGTCAGAGGGTGAGTTACTTTTTTATTCTGTAGAGGCTGTAGTCTGATACTCTAAATGTTTACTCAAATCCAAGCAATTGTCTGGTTACAGAGGGTACGAACGAGTGTTTGTTGAGACTTCCCTCTTCCTCCCCGCTTTCCGCTTCCTGCTTCCCGTTTCCTTGCCCAATTCCAGTGGTTAATTAAATCACATCTGCATATCCTAATTCACTTTTCCTTACCCTTTCCCTTCCCCATCTGCTTTCCCTTTCCTCGTCTACCCCCCCCTCCCCCCGCTCTCCTTCCCCTCTCTTCTCCCCATCAGGCGATTGCCAAGCGAACATCAACATGGCAGAGGGGCGCAAGACGGCAGTCATGTTCCGTTTTTGAGGTACTTCTTACTAAACACCTCTCAGAGTTCCCTTCCTTTCTCCTCCCCTCCCCCCCCCCCCATCAGGTGACCGCCAGGCGAACATAAACATGGCAGAGGGGCGCAAGACGGCAGTTATCCTCGAATCAGAGGCCGCCATGTCAGACCAGATGAACCGTGCCAAGGGTATGTGGCTCACAAACCGAGGTTCGAGGTTCGGGGACCGAGGCTCGAGATGCTCCATTCTGCTGCCCCCGCCTCGTACTCTATTCTTTCTCGTGTTCTGATTGCTTCTGAGAAATCTCTCAAGTGGTTCAGGTATCTTCCTTCAGGTATGGCCCGCTTCACATTTTTCATGGCCCCCCCCCCTGCCCTCACCCCCCTCTCTCCCCCACTCCCTGCAGGAGAGGCGGAGGCAATAGTGGCAAGGGCGAGGGCATCAGCGGAGGGCATCGCAATGCTCTCCAGAGCGCTTATGGCTGAAGGCGCCACACAGGTGTGTTTGTGAGGAGCAAAGGCAAGGCATATGGTGTGCTGTGCTCGTGAGGGGCGTGGGTTGCAAGGCTTATCAACCGGCTCACTGGCATCAGCGGAGGGCATCGCAATGCTCTCCAGAGCGCTTATGGCTAAAGGCGCCACACAGGTGTGTGTGGCAGAGGCATGAAGGCAAGGCGTATGATTTGCTTGTTAGGGGCGCCAATTGCAGGGGTTACTGGCTCACTGGCATCAGCGGAGGGCATTGCCGAGGGCATCCCCATCAGCGGAGGGCATTGCTGTGCTGGCGAGAGCACTCATGGCTGAAGGCACCACCACACAGGTCTGACGAGGGTGTTCATAGCTGGATGTGCCATGCATGCAGTTGTGCATGCGTGTGTGTGTGCATGGGTGGAGATGTAGGATGTAGGCCTGATGGGCTCAATTTACGACATGTTTCTTCCCCCCTCCGTTCCAGTTATCCCACTGCCTTTGAGTCCAGCGCTGGCATATCTGGCCAATGAATGAAGCATGTTTCTTCGTGATATTCTCAAGCTCATCTGTTCCTCCTCTTCCTCCAACCGCTCCCTTCCTCTTTCCACCCTGTCACTCCTAATTAGGCCGCAAGTCTGCGAGTGGCAGAGCAGTATGTGGCAGCCCTATCGAATCTGGCGAAGCAGGGAACGACAGTGTTGCTGCCGAGCAACGTTGGTGACCCATCCTCCATGGTGGCTCAAGCACTCGCTATCTATAAGACCGTGTCCGGCTCCCTTGATCTCATCCTTCCCCATCTACCCTTTCATCCTGCCATACCCCCCCCTTTCCCCCTACTTTCAGGCCGCAAGCCTGCGAGCGGCAGAGCAGTATGTGGCAGCACTGGCGAATCTGGCCAAGCAGGGAAGCACTTCAGCTGGTGATATTCTTAACCTCTTCCTTCTCCATTTTCTCCCTCCCTTTACCACCACCTGTTACCTTCAGGCTGCCAGCCTGCGAGTGGCAGAGCAGTACGTGGCAGCGCTGGCGAATCTGGCCAAGCAGGGAACAACAGTGCTGCTGCCGAGCAACGTGGGCGACCCATCCTCCATGGTGGCACAAGCACTCGCTATCTATAAGACCGTGTCCGGCTCCTCTTAATCTCATCCTTCCCCATCTACCCTTTCATCCTGCCATACCACCCTACCTTCAGGCTGCAAGCCTGCGAGTGGCAGAGCAGTACGTGGCAGCCCTGGCGAACCTGGCGAAGCAGGGAAGCATGTCAGTTGATGGCTTCCTTGAACTCACGTTTCTCTATTTTCCCCTGTCATTCTGCCCCACCACCCCTTACATCAGGCCGCCAGCCTGCGAGTGGCAGAGCAATACGTGGCAGCCCTATCGAATCTGGCCAAGCAGGGAACGACAGTGCTGCTGCCGAGCAACGTGGGTGATCCATCCTCCATGGTGGCGCAAGCACTCGCTATCTATAAGACCGTGTCCGGCTCCCCTGCAGGTGTGACTGTACCGAGCGCCCCTACAGATGTGACTGTATCGGGAGATGCTGTAACAGGTGCTGCAGCAGCAGCCGCTGGTGGGAGTGAGCCGAGGAAAGCTGGAAATGTGGGGTCGCAGGGGGGGGATAGAGAGGTGGGGGCTGGTAGAAGGACAAGTGGCAGCGAAGCGGTGAATGGTGGTGGTGGTGGTTTTTCCAGTGGTGCTGATGGTGGTGATGGTGCTGGTGGGTCTGGTAGGAAGGGGACGGGCTTTTCATTGCAAGCACCACGGAAGTGATAAGACGGAAGTACGGAAGGATAAGCCTGTATGTGGGTGACATGTTTATATGAAGGATGAGCAATGTGTGCAATTGATACGATGCCAATTGAGCTTGTTTGGAGTTTTTTGCTTCGGGTCCAATGAAGATGATAGGGTTTGTACACAAAGGTGGCCCTTCCACATGCCTGTTTGTGTGGTAAGATGACAAAACGGTCGTACTGTGCCTTGTTAGTTAATATAACCCCAAAACAGTCCATGTACACCTTTTGAACTTTGTAGTATATAATACCTTCACCATTTTGAAGGCCCTGGAGAAACAACCAGAGCGAGAGACAGCTGCTCAGGCAAAGCATAATGGAGAAGCTGTCACAGCTAGGTGCTTGAGAAGCTAGCGGCTCCAAGGGTAAGGGGCGGCTTGAGGTAGGAAGGAACACATTGAAACGGTTGACTTGCTAGCAAATGGTGGCTAGACCGCACCGCACTATCGCTCCAATGGTGGATTTGGAACCTCGGAATCTAGAAAAGCTGGTGAACTGGCTCACCCTTCCCCAATACAGTGCACTACTGATGGAACTGTGATTTTTGGCGCGAACCAATGCACTCTTTTTTACTGTCAAGTGTAGTGGTTCAAGCAGCAGCCAATCGCGCACAGCACAGAGCCGTGACGACGAAGCTCTTACAATTCGCTAATCCTCGTCCGGGTTGACCCGAGCTTCGCGAGCGAAATCGCAGACGCACGTCCTCCCCACCGTTTCGCCACCAACCAAAAGCCCATCATCCCATCACCACTATAATATTTCACTCAACTGCCCGAACCCAACTTGTTTGAACATTCAGATTCTGATCTGCGCGGCTTTATGGACCTCGGGAACTCCAAATTTTGTCTTCAAGGTCAACCTCCTGCCCGAGGACCGAGGTTCATGGTTCATGGTCACTCTGCTCAGTGAGGTCACCATCTCGCTGTTCTCGAGGTTCGTTTCTGCCATTCCTTGAACATGCTGTGTTGCTATCCCGTATAGGTCGCTTGTCAGGCAGTAGTTATTTTCTTCAACGAGGCGTGATGCCTTTCGATGAGTAACTTAGCATGTACCTCTAGAGCATTGTGCTTCGTGTAATAGTAACTCGATGGCGTCCAAGGCGACGCCGATCGACCATTCGAGCTACATAGGTCGAAAGGTGAAGAAGGATTTCGGAGTGCACGGTTGGTTCACAGGTCGAGTCGAGTCGTACGATGCCGACGAGAATTTCTTTCTGATAAAGTACGAAGACGGCGATTGCGAAGAAGTCGAGTTACAGGAGCTCCAAGGGATCATAGTTAAGCGAGGGAGACCGAAGCGTAACTCTAATCCTCCCTTACCGCCTGCATCAGGAGGAGCTCATAGCGTAAACTCCACGCCGCTTATTGCTAATAAACGTTCTCTCGCAGGTAAGCATACTCCCGCGGCGAAAGATACTCCCGCAGCTGATCAAACCCCTGCATCGATTTCCTCCAAAAGAAAACAACCGGCTCCTGCTGCATGGCGTCAGTCGACTGATTTTGCCGCAGAAAGAACGTCGGTCGAGCCAAGCCAGGCAGTTTTAGATGGTGCAGCTACCGTTAAGTTGCCGTTTTCAGCTGAAGCCGTTTTACAGAAAGGCAAGACAAACGCGGCCCTTTCCTCCGAGACTGTTGGTTTAGGATCAACCGACGCGTCCGTGGTTGCGGAGGAGGCTCCTGCGGGAAAGCCCGTGCTTTCAGTTAGAGATGCCATTAATCAAGCGCGCGCCGCTAAGAGCCAGTCGAAGCAGCACGCGCAGAGCAAGGTCGGGCGGAAGGGCCCCAAGGGCGGTAGAAGAAAGACCCGCGGATCCTCGCGCGCCTCTGGCGGAGATACCGACAGCGATGGCGAAGAAGAGGCGGAAGAGGCGGAGGTGGAGGAGGAGGACGAGGATGTGGAGGTGCAGGAGGAGGGGGGTGCTAGAGGGGACGTTATGTCGTGTCATGGTGGAATTTTGAGTTCGGGCGGAGAGCATTCCAGCGGCAAGTCGTTTCAGAATCTGTTTGCGTCGCAGATCGACCAACGGCAAGTCCTTCTGGCGCTGCCTGCACGCGGCGGGCCGCCTGTGCTCCAGCACCCACCTCCCCATGCCGCTGCGCAACTCACGCCGCCACCTACCCGAGATGCACCGTCACCCATGCAAACCCCCACTGCCCTCCCAGGTTCTTACAACAAACGCCATGCAGCCGAGATCTCTACACCGCCATCCGCGTTAGTATCAACACCTCGTTACACTCACCACCAATTTCGCGACACTTCGCGCCATCCTGGCCCCAGACCGCCTCCATTCCCACCTCCACCGATCTCCACCCTCCTCCCGCCTTCCTCAACCGATCTGCCCGTCCCAGCAGAGTCCGTTTTATATCTTCTCTCCGTCTACTCCTTCCTTCGCTCCTTCAGTCAGCCGCTGTTCCTCAGCCCGTTCACTCTAGACCAGTTCTGCCACGCCCTCACCACCCCGCGCGCCAGCCCACTAATAGACAGCGTCCACGTGGCGCTGCTTCGCGTGGTGGACTACGAGCCTTCGTCAGCAGCGACGGGAGAAGGCGGCGGAGGGGGCGCGGGAGGCGCGGGGGGCGCGGGGGGCGCGGGAGGAGTGGGAGGTGCGGGAGGGGCGGGACCAAAAAAGCAGGACGATTGTGGGAGTCTGCATCACAGGGAGCTGGACAAAGCATCTCTGGACGAAATCACCTGGCCGGAGTTTCTCCTCATCTTCCTCTCCTCCCGCGCGTCCTCCCGCCCCAACAGCCGCAGGCTCGGCCACTCCGCCCTCGCCTCCTGCGACTACTATCTCCTCCCTGCCTCCACCAAGATCGACTTCCTCTCGCTCCTCTGCGACGAGGCTTTAAGCAGCGGCGTGAGGGTGCGTCTAGAGATAGAGCGCAGGCAGGGAGAGCTGGAGAGGAGGTATGCGTTGGCAGGGGTTGGTATGGAGGAGGAAGAGGAGAATCTAGAGGATGTATTGGCTCCGGTGGAGAGGCAGGGGAGGCGGAGGAGGGGGCGGAGGGCAGGAGGAGGCGAGGAGGATGACGAGGGGGATTTTGGGCAGGTGGGGTATCAGAGCCTTGGGATCTCCGCGCTTGCTGCTGCTGGGGTTCCGTCGGGAATGGCAGGGTTGTCAGTGGTAGGGTCCGGTACTGGGGCTGCTGCTGAGTCAGCAGGTGCGGGGGATGAGCTGGCAGACGGGAATGCGGACGAGTGCGAACTATGCGGAATGGACGGCAATCTAATCTGCTGCGATGGCTGCCCCGGCGCGTTTCATTCGCGCTGTGTGGGAGTGGTGGCGGCAGCACTGCCGGATGGGGACTGGTTCTGCCCCGAGTGTGACATGAAGAGGAGGGCGGGCGAGGTGCTGGGTGCTGTGGTGCCGGAGGGGATGAGAGGGGAGTATCTGGGGGAGGATCAGCACGGCCGGGTGTACTATGGCTCCTGCGGCCGTGTTGTCGTGTAAGTGTGGTTTTGGTTCTTGCGGTGAGAAGCTGCCTCAGATTGCAGTGCAAGTCTTGTGCCTCTCGCACTTCCCTGCTGCACGAGCGATTCACCCGTTGCTTTTTCCGCGTCCCTCTTTCCCCTTCATCCCAACACAGGTCGGAAGAACGCCACAATGGCTCCCATGTGGTTGCATACTACAGTCCCGCAGACATCCCCAGCCTTCTGCATCATCTATCCGCGCTGGGCCCTGCCTTTACTGCTGTTCACGAGGCTGTTGCTGCATTCGTTCGCTCGGAACTGCCGCAATTGGAAGCACCTGAAAGTGACGCTGATGCACCTGAAGATGGTGTATGGGCACCTGAAGGCGATGATGAGGCACCTGAAGGTGATGCGGAGGCACCTGAAAGCAACGCTGGGCGGCTGCAAAGTGCAGGTGACGTGGGGATGCTCGAACTGGATACTAACGAAGGGGATACTAATGAGGTAGAAGAGGTAGGAGAAGGGGCTGCTGCTGCTATAGGTGCAGATGACGGGGATGTAGCGGAGGTTAAGGCGGAGGAAGGGGGTGCAGCCGAGATGAAGGTGGAGGAAGAAGGTACAGCCAAGATAAAGGCGGCGGAAGGGGATGTGGCTGAGATTAAGGCGGAGGAAGGGGCTACAGCCGAGATGAAGGTGGGGGAAGAGGGTGTAGCTGAGATAAAGGCAGAGGAAGGAGGGATTGCTGAGATGGTGACAGCAGAGGCGGCGGAGGAGAATGGAGAGGGAGAGGGAAGACGGGCGGGGGAAAGACAGGAGGATGTGAAGGTAGAAGAGGGAGCGAATGAGGCTGGAGAGGGTTGTTTGGATGGGAGTGCAGGTGGGGGCCTAGAGGGCTGTGCAGATGGAGGTGAGATTGAGTGTGCAGAGAAGGGTTCAGACGATGGTGCGGATGGTGACTCAGTTGGGAGTGCTTGGGATCTGGCAGTCGAGGGTGTAGGGAATGTTTTAGAGGTGGTCGGGGCGGCAGGTTTGAGTGAGCCAGCAGAGGTGACGGTTGGGGCAGAGACGGTAACTGCAGGTGGTGTAGGAACGGGGGTAGGAGAGAGTGGAATTGCAGGAGGGGCGGAAACGGTAGAGGCAGGAGATGGTGGAGAGGCAGGAAATCCAGGAATGGGAGAAGCAGGAGAAGCAGAGGCACAAGGAGGGCAGGATCCTATGCAGGTGGACCTGTCGTTTGCACTGGAGTCTGGACAGTTGTTACTTGCAGGGGAAGCCTTGGTCGAGCCGCAGTCTGGCACAGGAGAGGAAGCAGCGGACGCTTCAGGAAAAGATTTGATAAGAGCGGCAGAAGGCGGTGGAAAGGGAGGAGGAGAAGGAGGAGGAGGAGGAGGAGCATTGGAAGCAGCAGCGCAAGAAACAGCAGGAGCAGGAGCTGTGGCAGAAGGAGCAGGGGCGGTAGATGGAGAAGCAGCAGAGGTAGGAGTGATAGGAACAGTTGACGACGCAACAGCACAAGCAACAAACGAAGCAGAGCTACACACAGAGCAGCACGCGCAGCAGCAAGCAGTGCAGCACACAAAGCAACACACAGAGCAGCACGCAGAGCAGCAGAGGGCGGAACACCAACCCAGCAGCGCAGCAGCAGCAGCGGCTGGTGAACAGGAGAAACCCCCGGGCTTGTCAACCCCTTCCCTGACAGCCGAGGCTGGCCCATCAGAACTTTCACCGGCACCTCAAGCAGGGTTAGAGAATTATTCACAAGAGCACGATGCTGCGTGGCACAAGCCGGGAGGAGAGCGGATTGCCAGGGTGGTGGCGAGGCTGTGGGAAAGGCTTGGCGTGGCTGCTGGTGGGGAGGCAGGGGAAGCTACTCCTGCTGCTGCCGCTGGTGCTGGCCGTTCTGATGGCAATGTGCCGAACAGCCTGTCTCAGGCAGCAACTGTGGACAGAGTGGGAATGCAGGGCGCTTTGGAGGCAGAGAAGGCGAGACAGCAAGCAGAGCAGGCGGAGCAGGTGAAAGAAGCACAGCAGGCACAGTGGGTAAAGAGGGTAGAGAGAGCAGATAAAGCGGAGCGAGCAGAGCTGGAGAGAGAAGCAGAGCTTGTAGAGCCGTACACGAACCGCTACGCCCTGGGGGAGGTATCGTCAGCGTTAGCCCTCGCCCTCTGTTCCGCCACCGAAGCAGCCGCACAGGAGGCGGAGAGGAGAGGCACAGCAGGCAGCAGAGATGAGGACGACTCAGAGCACAGAACGAGACGGTCTGGGCGTCGGTCTAAGGGGCTTATGTCTGTAACCGAGCAGATGAGAGTGTTTGCGAAATGCATGCCTGCTGGTTACTGGCCGATGTATGTTAGTTTCTCGGGCCGGGTTGGGGCAGCAGGTGCAGCAGGAGGAGCCGGGGGTAGGAGCTCCGCTGCTGCGGCTGCTGCGGCGGCGGCGGCGGCGGCGGCGGAGGGGCGGGTGTGTTTAAGGAGCGGTGTGGTTGGTGCGCACACTGCCAGGCGCCTTATAGGAAATACTGCCTTCTTGTCTCGGCTGCGCGAGCTGCCTCTGCGACTGCTACTGCTGCTGCAGCTGTCGGGAACGTCCGGGCTGCTAGCCAGCGCAGGCTCGGGGGAGGTCTGGCGGGAGGTTTGGGGAAGGGAAGAGATTTGGGGGGGTTCGGTGTGGGGGGAGGGGTGGGACTGGGAGGTGTGCGGGGCATGAATGGGGAGGAGGCGTTAGGAGAGAGGGATGGGAGGCTTGATGCTGTAGTCACTCGGTTGATGTACCTTGAGGGGCAGTTACACCCTCTGCTGGAAGGCCCTTGGAACGACTTTAACTGGCGCCAGCACTGGCGGCAGCGCGCAGTGCAAGCCACGACTCTACTCCAAGCGAAGCAGCTTATAAAGGAGGTCGCCCGTTCCCTCCGCTCCGTCGCCCTCTCCTCCCATTGGTCGGCGGAACCAGAGCCACCCGCGCCGCTCCCAACAAGCCTCCCGTTACAAGCACAACCGGTTCCTGTCACCCCTGCTGCTGCCCCACGCCCCTCTGGACGAAGGCGAAAGTCGCAAGGAGGGAGAGGGGGAGCAGGGAGCGGGTTTGGAGGAGGAGGGAGAGGGGGGGAGGAGCAGGGGCAGGTTCGGTGCCGGCGTGGGTGATGCTGATGGAGGCTCGGCGAGCGGTGCGGGTCAAGGTGCAGTGGTTCCGAGGCTCTGGCTTGGCCCGGCACGCTGCGGACTGGGAACAGCTGCCTCGGGACTTGGCTCGGCGAGCGGCTCGGCAAGGTGCGTGGCGTGGCTAAGCAATCTAAGTGGTTTGGCAGTAGAGCGAAGCTGGTGATACCACATTTTCTGTTAGGAAAATGGCCATCTTTTCTCCGTTGGGACCAGTTCTCTTTTTTTTCCTTCCTCCCTTTCTTTTCGCCACTCCAACTCCCCCCACCCCACCTCACTCTCTCCCACAGGCGGTTTCAAGAAGCTTCCAGGGCTGCTGTACGGAGTGCCATTCGCGAGTCGCCGAGGGGTGCCAGTGCGGGTGGAGAAGGTGGCGTGGGAGGCGAGGGTTGATGCTGCCCACTCCGTCGCCCACCTCGCCCTGCAGCTGCGATCTCTCGAAGGGCTAATTCGCCTGGACCAGATCACCACCCCTGCTGGTCCCCCCGCTGTTGCTGTTCCTGCTGCTGCCGCCGCTGCTGTAGCTGCTGCTGCTCGTGCGGCTGGTGGTGCTGGCGGTGGTGGTGGTGGTGGTGGTGCTGTTTATGAGGATGGTGATGAGGCGGAGCAGAGCTGGGTCTCGCTGTGCGACGTGGCGTCGCGTGATTCGTTTGTTCTGGATAAGGATTTCCGGCCGCCGTTTGTGAAAGGGAGGAGGTGGAGGGCAGAGAGGGGGGTAGAGTATTTGCTTGTTGTGAAGAGTGAGGAGGAAAGGGAGGAGGGAGATGAGGAGGAGGATGAGGAAGAGTGTGACTCGGAGGAGGAGAGGAGGAGGAAGAAGAAGAGGGCGAGGGAGAGGGTGAGGGCGTGGAGGAAGAAGCAGAGGGAGGTAATTGAGGGAGTGGGGGCGGGGGCAGGAGTCAAGGAGAGGAAAGGGAGGGGGGCTGTGGTGAAGCATGAAATGGAAATGGTGAAAGAGGTCAAAGAGACCGTTCAAGTGGAGGTGAAGGTGGTTGGAAAGGAAGAGACGAAGGTGGTTCGAAAGGAAGAGGCAAAGACTAGGGGGAACGAAAGCAAGGGGGATGTGGAAGTGAAGGGATTGGGAGTTAAGGAGGAAAGGAACGAGGAAGTAAGGGAAGTTGCGGCTGGGGAGGGTGAGGGGGCTGAGAGAGAGGCAAAGCGGGCAAGAAGAGGAGAGCGAGGGGAATGGGAGGCAGGGGGAGGAGGGGCAGTGCGAGGGGAGGGAGGTGCACGTGGAGTGAGTCCACTGCCAGCGCAGTACTTGCTTGGACTACCAGCAGCAGTGGGTTCCGTCACTGTTGGTGCTGAAGGCCATGGCATGCCTGCTGAGGAGGGTGACGCTTGCAAGGTTGGTGCGTCTGGTGGTGTGGAGAGGAGCGATGCTCCGATGCTCTTGTCTCCTGAGGTTGAGGGAAACGAAGCAGGTGCTGGAAAGAATGGAACTCAAGAAGCCCAAGAGACCGAAGGGACACAGGAGACGCAATGGGTATTAGGAACCCAAGAGAGCCAAGGTTTGGAAGGTCAAGATGTTAACGTCCAAGAGAGTGTTGCTGAGGCGCAAAGGATTGAAGGGGCGGAGGTGGAGGAGGGGAAGGATGGGGAGGGCGAGGGGGGCGGAAAGGGGGAGGTGACTCTTGGGGCGCCTGGGAAGGAGATGAGGGAGGATGAGGATGTGAGGGAGGAAGCAGAGGAAGAGAGGAACGATGAGGTGGAGGAAGTGCTGGGAGAGGTAGGCGGTAGTGGTGATGGTGGGAAGGACGGAGGTGGTGGTGGTGATGGTGGGAAGGACGGAGGTGGTGGTGGTGATGGTGGTGGTGATGGTGGGAAGGACAGAGATGGTGGTGGTGATGGTGGGAGGGACGGAGGTGGTGAGATGGTGGATCTATCCCAGGAAGACGGTGGTGGTGATGGTGGGAGGGACGGAGGTGGTGAGATGGTGGATCTATCCCAGGAAGACGAGGAGTGCAGGGGGGAGGAGAACGTTGGGGGAGAAGAGCAGGCTGGCAGAGAGTCGAATCCATGGAAAAGAAGGAAGCGGGATGTTGGGAAGGAGGAGAATAGAGCATGCATGGAAGATGACGAGGGAATTGGGGATCATGAGGAGAGGAGCGAGGGAGGGAAAGAGGAGGAGAGGGAGGAGGAGAATGAGGAGGAAGAGGAGGAGGAATATGAGGAGAGGGACGAGGATCTGTTTGGAGAGAGGGAAACGGGGAGAGGGAGAGGGAGGGGGAGAGGGAGGGGGGGGGGGAGAGGGAAGGGGAGAGGAAGAGGGAGAGGCGGAAGGGGTGGGAGAGGTGGGAGAGGGGGAGCAGGGAGGGGGAGGGGAAGGGGTGCGGCTGGTAAGAAGCGGAAGAGAGGGGAGCATTTGGTTGAGTATATGAAAGCCAAACGTGCTGCTGCTGCCGCCGCTTCTGCTGAAGCTGCTGCTGCTCCCACGGGCCCTGCTGATGCTGATGCTGCCACTGCCGTTGCTGGTGTTGATGCTGCTTCTGCTGGTGGTGCTGATGTGGAGGAGGTAGGAGGGGATGGAGGCGGAGGGGTCACAGATGTGGGCGGAGGAAGCAAGGGAGAGGAGGAGGGAGGGAAGGAGGGAGGGGTGCTAGGGGAGGGTAAGACAGGGAAGAAGCGCAAGAGGGAATTAAAGCCAGAGATTATTCCTGAGGGGAGTCGGAGAGTCACGAGGAGCCGAGTGAAGGAGGAGGAGGGAGGGGCGAAGAAGGGAGTGGGAGAGAATGGGAGAGGTGTTGTGAAGGCTATTGTTGAGGATGTGATGAAGGGAAGAAAAGGTGGGGTGAAGAGAGGTGTAAAGGCAGGGAAGAAGGGGAAGGAAGAGGAGGAAGAGGAGGAGGAAGAAGGTGTGGTGATGGTGAAGGAAGATGAGAAGGTGGAGGAGGTGGAAGAGGTTGGTGAGGAGAAAGATGAGAAGGGTGGGAGAGGGAGAGCGGTTGGGGGCAAAGGAAAGGCTGCAGATGTTGCTGGTGGGAACAAGCTGCTGCTAGTGGAGAAAGAGGAGAAAGCGGAGGAAGAGGATGAAGGAGATAAACAAGTAGTGGGGAAGGCAGAGACGAAGACTGAAAAGTTCAGAGGAGAAGTGCAGGAGGTAGAGGAAGTGGAAGAGAGCGACGAGGAGGGGCAAGAGGATGAGGACGAGGAGGAAGAAGACGAAGACGGGGGAGTGTGGGTGCCGGAGAGGCTCGTTCCTTTGGAGCTGATCCGAGAGTTTGAGCACCGGAGGAGAACTGAGATCTGGGAAGAGCATGCTAAGCTGGTGCGAGCAGAGAGAGAGGCAGCAGAAGCAGCTGCCAGGGCTGTTATTGTGAAGTACGTGAGGGAGAAGGTGCGGGCGATGAGGGAGAGGAGGGAGATGATGGTGCAGGCGATGATGGCTCAGTGTAGAGAGATGGAAGGGCGGAAGCGGCGTGGGAAGGAGAGGCCAGGGCAGGAGAAGCAGGGGCAGGAGCGGGAGGAGAAGCGGAAGCGGGAGGAGAGGGAGCGGGAGAGGGAGAGGGTGAGGGAGGCGAGGGAGCATGAGAAGGAGGACAGGCGGGAGAGGAAGGAGAGGGTGAAGGAGGAGAGGGAGAGGGAGCGGCAGCGGCGGTTGGAGGAGAGGGAGAGGGCGAGGAGGGAGCGGGAGCAGGCTTCAATGGCGAGAATGACACAAGTGGTGGGGGCAGAGGTGCAGGCGAGAATTGTGGCGGAGGCACGGGGGAGAATGCAGAGGGAGATGGAGGAGCGGTGTGCTGCTCTGTATGCCCGGCTTATGGCTGTGAAGAGTCAAGCAGGAGATGTAGGACTGGCAGGTGGAGCGGGAGCAGGAGGAGGAACAGAGGTGGCGATGGATTCGTGCAGGGTGTGCACGCGAGGGCTCTTTGGCGATGGGTGAGTGGCAGCAAGGGTGCATGGGGTGGTTGCCTTGCACGGAAGAGGTTTTCTGCAGGCATGGTTACACTTAATGCATGGGGGATGTTCTTCTACATAGGTTCGTGTCTTGCACAGGACGATTTGTGCAGGGTGTGCACGCAAGGACTCTTTGGCGATGGGTGAGTGGCGTGGGTGCGTGCATGGTGCCTCACGTGTGGGAGTTATGATGCGATTGCCTATCTATCATCTTATTGCACCTGGCAGTGCAGTGATCAGTTGTTGTGCTTTTCCTCTCCATTTTGTACTGTCTTTCCCTCTCGCAATTGTTTTTTCCCGTTTCTAATTCGCCCTTGCTCCCTCTTTCTTCCCTCTCTGCCCTCTTTCCCTCCTCTTTGCAGTGCGAATCAGGTCTTCATGTGCGTTTCCTGTAAAGGTGAGCGGTTCTCTAAATTTCCAGGCCTTTTCACGTCACTTGGTCTTTTTGTCTTCCTTACTTGTCTTCCTAGCCCTTGTTAATCAACACACTCAGTCATGACCTTGTTCCACTCATCCATACTCCGTTCCCCCCCCTCTCCTGTTTCCCCACGCTCCCCCTCACAGCCCTGACCCATACCACATGCCTCTCGCCCCCAGACCTCCTCCCTCCGGCCTTCCATCCCACCCTTCCCACGGAACCATCCCCATCCCCATCCCCTCCTTCCCTCCTCGTCTGCCTCAACTGTGCCTTCTCCGTTTCTCAACAAGACGCTGCCTCTGCTGCTGCTGCTGCTGCTGCTGCTGCTGCCGCCGCTGCCGCCGCTGCCGCTGCTGCTGCTGCTGCTGCTGCTGCTGGTGCGGCTGGTGTGGCTGGCGCTGCTTATGGTGATGCTGCTGTTGGTGGGGTTGGTGCTGGTGCCGGTGCTGCTGCTGCTGCTGCTGCTGCTGCTGCAGCAGCAGACGGGCATGATGAGGAGCAGAAAAAGAGGCGGAGAGTTTTCCGGGCAGAGCACCCGGTTTGGACGCTGCCCGGGACTCCGGGCAACCGGCACACAGTCGCAGGATATTACTTCTCCAAAGGAAAGGGCGACAAGGGCGAGAGGGAGAGACCAGAGGGAGAGAAAGGGCTGAAACTGAAGTATATACCGTCGGGGCGGGAGGGGAGGAAGGCGATGGGGGTGTACGGGATTGGGGAAGGAGCGGGAGTGGCGTGCAGGCTGTGCAAGGAGGGGTATGATGAGAGCCGCTTCTACGTTGGCTGCAACTTTTGCGACAGTAAGTGTATGCCTGAGCTGAGCGTGTGGGAAATTGAAGGGCCTGCTCTGGTTCGTCGGAGGCTGTGCGAGCAGGATGCAGGCTGTGCAAGGAGGGGTATGATGAGAGCCGCTTCTATGTTGGCTGCAACTTCTGCGACAGTAAGCCCCTTGATGCTCAGCATGTGGGAGATTGGATGGCGTGCATTGCTTTAGAGGGGTTGTGTATGGGATGTGGGAGGGAGTGGGAGTGGCCTGTAGGCTGTGCAAGGAGGGGTATGATGAGAGTCGCTTCTACGTCGGCTGCAACTTCTGTGACAGTAAGCCCCTTGATGCTCAGCATGTGGGAGATTGGATGGCGTGCATTGCTTTAGAGGGGTTGTGTATGGGATGTGGGAGGGAGTGGGAGTGGCCTGTAGGCTGTGCAAGGAGGGGTATGATGAGAGTCGCTTCTACGTCGGCTGCAACTTTGTGACAGTAAGCCCCTTACAACTGAGCTTGTGGAGAATCAAGTGACGTGCATTGCTTTACGAGGGCGGTGTATGGGATGGGGAAGGGAGCAGGGTTGGCGTGCAGGCTGTGCAAGGAGTATGATGAGAGTCGCTTCTACGTTGGATGCAACTTCTGCGACAGTAAGCCCTAAACCCGACACCCTAAACCCGTTACCCCAATACTGAGCTTGTTCATCCTCTAGCCCACGTCACACTTATGTTTTGCCTGGCTTTCCTGTGTTGCATGGCAACTGGCGCAGCTCGGGTGCATCTTCATTGTTCTCCATTCCTAATGTGCTTCTCTTCCCTTCCCCTTTCCCCAGCCTGGTTTCACGGCAACGCATTGCAACTGGACGAGCAGCTGGACATCCCGATACCGATCTACCTCAACTGCTTCCTTGCCTGACGCTCACCAACGCCCTTTCCCCCTCCCGTTTCCTTGCCTCTCCCTTCTATTTCCTTTGTTTGGTGTTCCGTCTCCCCGTTCCCCAGCCTGGTTTCACGGTGATACATTACAGCTGGACGAGCAGCTCGACATTCCCATCCTGCTCTACCTCGAGTGCACTCTTGCCCAGCGCTCAAAAACTCCCGTTCCCTCTCTCCTTTTCTTGCCTCCTCCCTTCTTGCCTCCCCTTTCCCCAGCCTGGTTCCACGGTGACACGCTACAGCTGGACGAGCAGCTCGACATTCCCATCCTGCTCTACCTCGAGTACACTCTTGCCTTGTGACTTATAGAAACAAACACTCCTCTTTTTCCTTTCTCTCTTCCTGCTTTCCTCTTTCCCAGCCTGGTTTCACGGGGATACATTACAGCTAGACGAGCAGCTGGACATACCCATCCTGCTCTACCTCAAGTGCAACCGCTGCCGTAAGATCGCCAACAAGCTGCATCCCTGCCGTCCAAGCCACGTGGACCCCCTTGATTGGCCGCCCCATGGCACGGCTGCCGCCCCTGCTCTTGATGCAACACCAGCAGAAGCACCAGCAGGAGGAGCAGGAGCGGGGGGAGGAGCAGGAGGGGCAGGAGGGGCGGGCGGGGGAGGGGCGGGAGGAGGGGCAGGTAAGGGAGGGAAAGGGGGAGGAGGTGGAAAAGGAGTGGGGAGGAGAAAGAGCAGCAGGGGCGCTGGTACAGTGGAGCAATCGCCTGGCTTTCCTTGTGACGCTGGTGGTGGGGCATGTATGGGTCAAGGCACGGCAGCAACTGTGACTGCAGGGAACGGGGCAGCACCGGGTGTGATTATAACAGCAGAGAACATCGACCCTGATTCGTTCTTCGACTCGCAGCTGACAGCAACAGGGGATGGGATGGGCGGGGCTGGGGCCGGGGTGGGGGCTGCAGGAGGGGAAGCATGGGGCGGTGGAGGAGGCGGAGGGGGAGGGGGAGGGGTGGAGAGTAATGAGGATGGTTCGTTTTGGAACATCCCGTTGCCCACTGATACGGATTTGGTGGATGGAGCAGCGATGGAAGCACAGCTGATGGGAACTGCTGGGATTGCCACGGGTGGTGCTGGGACTGGTGCATATGTTGCTGGCGCTGCTGATGGTGGTGGTGGTGCTGGTGCGGGTGCTGCTGGTTCTGCTGCTGGTATGGCTGGTATAGGGTTGCCTGATGGTCCTGTTGCAGGTGGTTTTGTGGGTAATGCTTCTCTAGCTGACTCTTCTGCAGGTGTTGCTGGTGCTGGTGGTGCTGCCAGTGGCGCTCAGCTGTTGCAAGAACAGCAATGGCAGCTCCAGCAGCAGTATCAGCAGCAATATCAACAACAGCAGCTGCAGCAACAGCAGCAGCAGCAGCAGCCGCAGCAACAGCACTTGGTACAGCAGGTTGGGGCACAGAATGCGTGGGTCCCTCATCAGGTGTGGTCTGGTCCAGGGGGACTTTCAGGTGGATTTCCAGGTGGATTCTCAGGTGCATTTTCAGGTGGTTTTCCAGGTGGCAATCCTCCTGCAGCAGCAACAGCAGGTGGAGGCAGCAGAGGAAAAAGTGGGAAAGGAGGAAGAGGAGGGGCAGGGTTAACAGAGGCGGCAGCAGCCGCAGTAGCAGCCGCTGCAGCCGCTGCAACAGGAGGAGTAGGGACAGGAGGAAGACGGGCAGGAGGAGCGGGAGGAGCGGGAGGAGGGGGAGGGGCGGGAGGAGCGGGAGGAGGGGCGGAGGGGTCAGGCAGGAGGTTGCGACCTCGGAGGCCTCGATCGGCATCCACTGCAGATAAAGGAGAGGTTATTAACGAGGCTGCTCACCAGAACAGTGCAAGCGGGGCTCGTCGTGGTTCTGGCTTTAATGCGGTGCAGAACGTTTCTGGAAACCTCCCCGCTGGTCGAACGGTGCTGGTGGCAGGGCAGATGGGGGCACAGCAACTGCAACAGCAGCAGCAGCACCAGCAGCAGCAGCAGCAAGACTACCGTTTTCAGCAGCAGCAACCACTGCAGCAATCGCAGCAGAATCTGCTGCAACAGCCTTATCAGCAGCAAGAGCAACAATATCAGCAGCAACAGCAGCAGCAGCAGCAGCAGCAGCAATTTCAGCAGCAACAGCAGCAAAATCAGGTGCAGGCGCAGTATCAGCACTGGCAGAGTCACCAGAATCAGCAATTGCAGCAACAGCAACAGCTTGAGAAACAGCAGCTGCAGCAGCAACGAATTGTGCAACGGCAGCATCAACTGCACCAGCAGCAGCAATTACTCCTGCTGCACAAGCGTTATCAAGAGCAGTATCAACAACAGCAACAGCAGCAGCAACAGCAGCAGCAGCTGCAGCAGCAGCAGCAGCAGCAGCAGCAGCAGCAGCAGCAGCAGCAGCAGCAGCAGCAGCAGCAGCAGCAGCAGCAGCAGCAGCAGCAGCAGCAGCAGCAGCAGCAGCAGCAGCAGCAGCAGCAGCAGCAGCAGCAGCAGCAGCAGCAGCAGCAGCAGCAGCAGCAGCAGCAGCAGCAGCAGCAGCAGCAGCAGCAGCAGCAGCAGCAGCAGCAGCAGCACAGCAACAGCAGCAGCAGCAGCAGCAGCAGCAACAGCAGAAGCAGCAGCAGCAGCAGCAGCAGCAGCTACAACAGTTCCCTTCCAATGTACCATCAGCCTTCCCCTATCCTCCCCCAAATTCCTCTTTGCCGCCCACACAGTCACACTTGCCACCCATGCCACCCACCTTACCACCTCCTGCCCCCTTCCCCCAACACACTCGAGTCCCCAACATAAGCCCTCCCTCACTCCTCGCCTCTGCAGCACCCTCATTTCAGCCGGTTGACTCAAGGCACTCCCAAAACCCTCCAGTTCACTATCCTAGTCAACCCGCAAGTGATTATTCAAGCCAACCTTTGAGTCAAGCTCCGAACTTTCAGTCACACGCAGAAGTTTCAGAGGCGCCGCCGCAGATGCCGTTTGAGTCAAGTCATGCTCCGACTCAAGCTGTAAGCCAAGTCCCAAATCACAACCCAGCTGAAGTGCCAATGCCGATTCAGCCACCGAGTGAACCTCTGAGTGAATATCCGAATGAATATCCGAATGAATTTCCAGGTGAATTTCCAGGTGAATTGCCAGGTGAAGCTGCAAACCCGTCTGGGCCACTTGAAACCCCAGTTGAAACCCCGGTTGAAACCCCAGTTGAAGCGCCAATTGAAGCCCCGGTTGAACCCCCGATGTCCCCGGGCCAGCTGGTAGCAAAGGTGGAGTCGCTCCTGCTGGCGCAGGGGTTTGAGCCTGCGAGAGCAGCGGCCGTGGCTGTTGGCGTGAGAGATGGGGACCAGAGTGCGTTTGAGATTGTAAATGCTGCCCTCACTGCCAGCCAGGGGTGTGGTTCTGCTGAACAGGTGGGGGGGACAGAGCAGGTGGGTGCAGAGCAGGAGGGGTTGCAGCAGTTGGGGGCAGAGCAGGTGGGGTTGCAGGAGGGTGTTGGTGCAGGTCAGGCAGGTTTGCAGCAGGGTGGTTCTGCCTCTGTGGATGGTGCTGCTGGTGTGGGGCTGGTTGATGGGGGTTTCGAGCAGCAGCAGCAGCTGCAACAGCAGTGGCTGCAGCAGGAGCAAGGAGAGCAGCAGCAGCAGCAGCAGCAGGTGCAGCAGGAGCAGTGGTCGCAGCTGCAGGAGCAAGGGCAGCAACAGCAGCAGCAGCAGGAGCAGCAGCAACAGCAGTGGTCAGAGCAGCAGCAACAACATTGGCAGCAACAGAATTGGGAGCAACAGCAGCAGCTGCTGCAGCAACAGGAAACACAGCAGCAGCAGGAGCAGTGGTCACAGCAGCAGGAGCAAGGGCAGCACCAGCAGCAGCAGCAACAGTGGCCAGAGCAGCAGCAACAACAATGGCAGCAACAGCAATGGGAGCAGCAGCAACAGCAGCTGCAGCAACAGGTAACACAGCAGCAGCAGGAGCAGTGGTCACAGCAGCAGGAGCAAGGGCAGCAGCAGCAGCAGTGGCCAGAGCAGCAGCAACAACAATGGCAGCAACAGCAATGGGAGCAGCAGCAGCAGCAGCAGCAGCAGCATCAACAGGTGGCTGTTGACGACCAAAGCAGCGTGCCTGTGCAAAGCTATAGCCAGTCACAGGAAGCATGGATGGAACAGGGTGCTCCCGTGGGCCAGGATTTGATTGGTCGGACCAATGAGGTGAACCCTGTGTTGGTGGGACAATCCCAAGGGAGAATAGAGTCCTCTGGGGGCGTGGGAGTTGGGATGCAATGGGAAGGGAATGAGGCAAGCAAGGATGCAAGTATGCCTGCGATCCAGGGCATGGGAGATGGCATGGTGGTTGGCGGTGATGGTATGATGCATAATGGTGCCACTGGTGGTGGCAATGCACCTGTTGCTGGTGTGGGGCATATGTCCATGTGGAATCAATGGGGACAGTAGCAGGTGGAAGAAGCGTATAGCTCACTCGTATATGCAGTGCATCTCTACTTTGAAGAATGTGGGATTAATAGTATGCCACAGATGTTTTTTTGTAAAATACCCCTTTGTACACATACTACAACGTAGGCTAGGATTGCCCTTTCAAAGCTGCCCGCTTCCACTAGAAACGAAGTGCGGAGTGTATCCGAGTGCACCGAAGATACTCTAAAACGAGTACGTCTGACACCCCATCAGATCGAGGGGACGCTGCGGATTGGCTGGTTGGCTGTATTCCGGCACTCCCTAGGTTCTGTGGGTGCTAGACCACACATAATTACTGTCGAGTGTCTCGATAGTTCCTAGAAGAATTTCATCAGTTTTTGAAATAGTTAGTTTCACGATGCACTAGTTTCGGAATTCCGCTTTTAGAGTCCCAAGCCGGACCTCCCCTTGTGCAAGGCTGTGTGGTCACGAAACAGACGAGCCAGACCTATTCGCCAGCAGTACAGCGCAATACGCGTGCAAAATAGTCAATTACGTCAGCAGCTTTTCCTCTACTTGTGCCCGTGGTCGCCTGAGTGCTATTGAGCAAGCCTTCGAATTGTGCAGACTTGAGGTGGCGGTATACTGACTTGATCTCTCGATGAGGTCTTGTTGACGAGACTCTACGCTTCGGAAACTCTAGCTTGCCGTTACGAATCGTATCGTTACTCCGTACGAGTAATGAGATGTTTCGAATGCCGATCGTGGAAAACGCTTCGAATGGCACGATAACTGGCAACCACGGGGCTGGGAGTTCTAGAATACTGTTGTCAGCTGTCCTGATTAGGATCCTAGAATACTGGATTCAGCCGTCCTGATTAGGATCACTTTGGTTCCGTTAGGTTATTAACGAGCTGCTCTTCTTGTATCGCTGTGTGTGGGGCGAGCGTCAGGACAGGAGACGAGCGGCCCGGCCACACACTGGCATTCAGCCTCTGAGACATCTCAGAAGGCACAAGCATTTTGCATTTAACCTCCTCTAAAGACGCATTTACTAGCCTTCTCGGAGACGTCTCAAAAGGCACACGCATTCAGCCTGTCACGCATTACGATACCAACAATACAATCAGGGAGAATTCGTCCATGGAAACTCCTTCAGCTATGGAGATTCGCTCGGCTCCCACCCCGCCCACGTCATCACCACCATCGCGATCCAATCGAACGGTCCAGATTTTCGCCGTCTTCCTCGCAATCGCCCTCTTATTTGTCGTCGCATACGTCCAAACCCGGCCGCCCGCAACTCCCGACGCTCTCCCCGCCACCCTCCACACCCCCGTCGCCCTCCGTTCTCTCATTCAACTCAACTCCACCGCAGCCTTCGGCGTCGTTCCCTCCGCCTTAAAACCCCGCCCTAATTTCGCCGCGACAGGCGGGGGAAGCAGCAGCAGCGGCACCCGCAGAACCCGCGGCGGCCGCGGCGGGGGAACCGGCGGGGGAACCGGCGCGGTGTATCTCCGCGAATACAGGCAACCAATGGCGAACGGGAAACCCGAGTTCACGTGTTACCACACGGACCATCTACCCTGCAACGAAGCAGATCGCAAGTTCGGCCCGTCGCTAGATATGATCCGCGATTTAGAGCTCTCACGCGCGGATCGCGAGATGCTGCACGTGCTGCGCCGCTTCCGCTGGCAGCGCGAGGAGCTGGCGCTGCAGGTGCCGCGGCGGGAGCGGAAGGTTGCGTTTATGTTCCTCACTAAAGGAGCCGTACCGCTTGCACCACTCTGGGAGAGATTTTTCAAGGTATGTGGCCTGTTTAGTCAATGGCGTCAATGACCGCGAGATGCTGCACGTGGTCTTCAAGGTAGATCCGTGAATGGTGTGGTCGAGACAGAACAACGCCGGGTTGCTTCCAATGCCACCTTCCCCCCACATGCCACCTCCCCCACATCCCACCTCCCCTGCATACCACCTGCAGGGCCACGAGGGGCGGTACTCCATCTACGTGCATGCCTCCCCGGATTACACCTTCCCCAAGAAGCCAAGGCATCATATCAACCTGCTTTTTTGTGCCACCTCCCCCCCCTGCCAACCCCCCCAATGCCACCTCCCTTGCATGCCACCTGCAGGGCCACGAGGGGCGGTACTCCATCTACGTGCATGCCTCCCCGGACTACACCTTCCCCAAGAACGCCTCCACGCTCTTCAGCAACAACACCATCCGCAGTGAGCCGGTGCGTCGTAGCGTGCTCTAGTCTTGTCTGATTGCCCTTTCAGTTGGCTCAGGAATCACATTGAGCTCAAAAACGTCTCAAATATCGTTCCCCCAAGATCGCCTCCACCCTCTTCAGCAACAACACCATCCGCAGCGAGCCGGTGCGTGGCAGCGTGTGCCCTAGGCTAGCATGCAGGGTGTTCATTCATTGAGCTCTGAGTTGACGCAATGGTCGGCTGGGGCTTACCCCTCCTCCCCATCGTCTGCTTTTCCGCCTCCCTCTCCCACAGGTCGGCTGGGGCTCACCCACAATGGTGGACGCGGAGTGGCGCCTCATGGGTGCTGCGCTCGCCTCATGAGTCAACTCAAATCGTCTCCCTCTTCTCCTTCCTCTCTGCCTTCCCCTCCCCCTCCTCCAGGTCAGCTGGGGGCTGCCCACAATGGTGGACGCAGAGAGGCACCTCGTGGCTGCTGCTCTCACCTCATGAGTCAACTTAAAACTCCTCCTTCTTCCTTCAACAGGTGGGGTGGGGGCTGCCCACAATGGTGGACGCGGAGAGGCGCCTCATGGGTGCGGCACTTGCTGATCCCGCCAACCACCGCTTCGTGCTGCTCTCAGAATCGTACGTATGCCCTTCCGTTCTCGAATTGTACGCCCCCTAGTTCTGAGGCGCTTCTGAATCAGATCAGACGCGCCTCTGGGTGCTGCGCTCGCAGATCCTGCCAACCACCGCTTCGTGCTGCTCTCAGAATCGTACGCCCTTCCTCTCACCCATGCGCTTTTCTTTCCAGCACTTATACGCCGTTGTTTCCCTGTCGTGCTTCATCCGCTGCCTCACCCTCCCTCCCTTCCCCTCTCTCCCACTTACCGCGTCCCCTCTGTGAGAAGAAAAGTTAGAAGAGAAGTTGATGGATTGATTGAAAAGGATGGGGGGTTTACATAGGAGATGAGTTGGAAACTAGCCTAGGTGAACATTATTGGACCCCAACCAAGGAGTTGGGTTGGGAGATTATTGGTGGGGTCCAATAATGTTGGCCAAGTTGGAGTTGGGCCAACATTATTGGAGGGGACCAATAATTCTACCCATCCCAACCCTTGGGGTCCAATAATTGGACCAAGGTTGGGTTTCCAACCTACAAATTGGGTAACCCCTGCTTGTACACCCAAACTAAGTTTGGGTGCTTATCTCTAGCCTATCCTATAGCATATATGCAGGTTACAAGAGAGGAGATATTCTAACACAACCCCTTAACCTGCAGAGATGCGGAAAGGCTTGAGAGAAGCAACCCCTGAATCAAGGCGCGCCTGGGGGAGCGAGGCCAATGAGGCGGAGGAGAGCAGAGTGCGCGGGGCGAAGAAGTGCTTTGGTGAAGATATCCGCCAAATTGGCTTCAGTGGCGATCTTGCGGACGGCGATAAGATTCTGTCGGACGAGGTCGCGGATGAAGAAATAACGGAGCTCGATGTGCTTGGAGCGACCATGAAAGACTGGATCCTGGGTGAGATGGATGGTGCTGGCGTTGTCACACCAGAGCGTGGGACAGCGCTGGGGGGCACCAAGCTCTGCCAGAAGAAAGCAGAGCCAGCGGGACTCTTGAGCGGCCATGGTGCCCGCATAGAGCTCAGCTTCGCAGGAAGAGAGAGCGATGGCTGAGGAGCGGGTGGAACGCCAGCTGATAAGTCCGCTGCCGAGGGTAAAGCCATAGCCTTGGGAGGAGCGGCGGTCTGGCTGATTGTCTGCCCAGGAGGAGTCACTGAAGCCCGAGAGAAGGGGAGGGGAGGATCCACCCAGTGTGAGAGCGTGATCCTTGGTGCCGCAGAGATAGCGGAGGACCCGCTTGGCGGCAGCCCAGTGTTCCTCAGTGTGACGGCCAGAGCCGACGAACCGAGCAAGGACGCTGACGGGGTAGGCGAGGTCGGGGCGGGTGCACATCATCGCGTACATCAGCGACCCAACGAGCTCGGCGTAGGGCCGGGAGGAGGAGGAGGGGGAGGTGGGTGGCGCAAGTTGGTGACCGAAGGGGAGGGGGGTGGAGACTGGTTTGGCCTGCGCCATCTCAAACTTCTCCAGGACCTGGCCGATGTAGTGGGACTGGGAGAGAGTGATGGTGCGGGCGGATCGATCACGGGTGATAGCCATGCCGAGGTAGTTCTGGAGGGGACCAAGGTCCTTGCACTTGAGTCGTTCCTGAAGTGACCGCTTCATCTGGTCCATGTCGGCCCTGGAATCCGCCAGCAGGATCATGTCGTCAACGTAGACCGAGATGAAAAAGCGACTGGGGGAAGAGCGGATGAAGAGGCTGGCGTCGGAGTGGGAGGGGGAGAAGCCAAGGGACTGGAGAGTAGCAGACAGCTTCGCATGCCATTCTCGTGGTGCCTGCTTCAGGCCGTAGACCGGTCGCTTCAGCTGCCAGACGGTGTTGTCGGGGAACGTAGCATGGAACCCGGGAGGTCGGCGGAGAAAGATGCGTTCGTGCAGTTCACCTTGCAGGAAAGCGTTGGATGGAGTCAATCTCCATGTCGTCTCTTGCACCGATGTCAAGAAGGGTGCGTAGGGTGGCCTGCTTGACGGTGGGGGCGAACGTGAACCAGTAGTCCTCAGCCCAGGTCTGGGTGAACCCCTTGGCAACGTAGCGGGCTTTGTAGACTGGTTCTTCTCCCGGCAGCTGCTTGACTCGAAAGATCCACTTGCCCTCAACCAGGTTGGCGTCAGGAGGGAGGGGAACGTCAATGAAGGAGTTATTGTGGATGAATGCTTCACATTCCTGGAAGATGGCGGCTATCCACTTATCGGCGTCAGGGCAGGTGATAGCCTCTTGGAAGGTGGAGGGGACGAAGATGGTGGGAGCGGAGATCGCGCTAAGGAGTAGAGCGCCGAGGAGGTCTGGGGAAAGTACTGTGAGAGAGGGAGTGTGGCGCCGGACCATGGTGAACTCCTCATGGGAGTCCTCCAGTTGGTTGAGGGAGGGAGGAGACGGTACACCAAGGATGGGGTCAAGGGAGCGGGTGTGCATGCGAGGGAGGAGGAAGGGTGAGGAGCGGGCAATTGCCCTGCGCCGCTGCTGCTGCTGGTGCTGCTGGAACCCCTGCTGCTGCTGCGGCTGCTGCCCCTGCTGCTGCTGCTGCGGCTGCTGTTGCTGTTGTGGCTGCTGCGGCTGCTGCTGCTGCCGCTGCTGGTGCTGCCCTTGCTGCTGCTGCGGCTGCTGCTGCTGTTGCTGCTGCTGCTGCTGCGGCTGCTGCTGCTGCTGCTGCTGCTGCTGCTGCTGCTGCTGCTGTTGCTGCTGTTGCTGCTGCTGTTGCTGCTGCTGCTGCTGCCGCTGCCGCTGCTGTTGTTGTTGCTACTGCTGCTGCTGCTGCTGCCGCTGCTGCTGCTGCTGCTGCTGCTGCTGCTGCTGCTGCTGCTGCTGCTGCTGCTGCTGCTGCTGCTGCTGCTGCTGCTGCTGCTGCTGCTGCTGCTGCTGCTGCTGCTGATGGATGAGGAGGGGAGTGGGAAGGGGAGGGGGGAGGGGGAGCCGTGGAGTGTGCGGGGGAGGCAGGAGCAGTGGGATCGTAGACGTCGGCGGATGAAGGTGGCGGAAGCGGGGTGGGGAGGGGTGGGAGAAGGGGTGCCGGAGGGAGGAGGGGAGGGAGGACGGTGTCGGCCCAAGCGAGAGGACGTGTGGGAGGAGGGAGGGGGTCCGGTGGTGGAGAGGAGTAGTACGGGGTGGTCTCATCAAACACAACGTCAATGCTGCGGATGAGGCGACCAGAGGGAGGGTGAAGGAAGAGGTAACCAGGCGAGTCGCGGTTGTGTCCGAGGTAGACACACTCGAGGGCGCGAGGAGCGAGCTTGCCTTGGGTGCGGTCGGGTGGAGGAATAAGCACATATGCCTTGCAACCCCAGACACGGAGACCGGCAGCGTCAGGTTTGGTTCCTGACCAGAGCTCCGTGGGGGTAGCGGCAGTGTGTTGGGGATGGGAGTGAAGGTTGAGGAGGAGGGCAGCATGGAGGAGGGCATAGCCCCAGAGAGAGGGAGGGGTGGAGGCGTGAGCAAGGAGACAGCGGGCGATCTTAGTGATTTCGCGAATGCGGCTTTCTGCAACGCCGTTCTGCTGTGGGGAGTGGGGAAGAGTGTGGGTCTGTTGGATGCCATGGGTGGTGCAGTAGTGAGAGAGAGTGCGGTTGAGGAATTCGCCTCCCCCATCAGAGTGGAGGCGGCCGATGGGACGTTTGAAGTGGGTGCGGCATTGCTCTGCCCAGTTAATGATAATGGTCGGCGCCTGGTCTTTGGTGTGGAGGAGGAAAATGGAGGAGTAGCGGCTGTGATCGTCAACAAGAACCAACATGTAGCGATGGCCTTGGCGTGAGCGGGTGGGAGAGGGCCCCCAGAGGTCCATATGGACAAGGTCAATGGGTGCAGGAGCAAAGGATGGGTGGCTGTGGTGAGGAGATTGTTTGAGTTTGCCGTGGATGCAGGAGGGGCATGGGGGGGCTGGGGACGAGGGAAGGGGAGGAAGAGTTGGAGGGAGGCTGTGAAGAAGTCGTGAGGTGACGGCAGTGCGGAGAGCGGCAAAATTCGGATGGCCGAGTCGGTGATGTAGGAGAACAGCGGGGTGGGAGAGATGGTCGGAGGTGGAGGGGATTGGAATGAGTGAGGAAGGGATGGAGAAGTGGGGAGGAAACGGAGTGGGAGGAGAGGGAGGGAGATGGGGAGGGCTGGTGGAGGTACCCGCACGAGTGGTAACATGGCAGGAGGATGGCCACGGAGTGCGGAGAGTGTAGAGGCGAGTGCGAGGGCAGAGGGGTATGCGGAGGAGGAAGCGGCCGGAGGCAGTGTGGTAAAGGTCACAGTAGGTGGCATTACCAGGATAGACGGCAGTGATACCTGCACCTTGGATTTCACGGTGGGAGAGGAGGTTGTTTCGGAGAGTGGGGATGTGGAGACCAGTTACCTTGCCAGAGGGGAAGAGTGAACAGGGGAGAGTGGAGAGGTGTGTGCATGGGATGGTGAAGCTGCTGTCAGCACCGTGAACTTGAGTGGGAGGGGAGAGGGGTGTGAGTGTACCAGCGTCTTTGAGGGCGGTCTCAGTGGCCCCACTGTCAAGGACAAAGTCCAGAGTGGGTGAGGAGGAGGAGGAAGACACTGAGTACTGGAAAGTGGTTTCATTAATGTTGGATGGGTACATGGAAGGAAGAGAGGGCGAAATAGCTATGTTGCCAAGGAAGCTCTCAGGAGTGAGAGGGGTGGCAGTGCTACTGGGGGGGGGTGGGGCACCCCAAAGGGGGGCAGGTGAGGCTTGAGCGGCCATGGCTGCTGTGCCAAAGTTCAACTGCTGCTGCGGCCAGGGAGGAGGGCTGGGTCCCCACTGTGGCTGGGGTCCTGACCCCCATGGGTGCTGCGGCGGCTGTGGCTGCTGCTGCTGCTGCGGTTGAGGCTGAAACAGCTACTGTAACTGCTGCTGCTGCTGCTGCTGCTGCTGCTGCTGCTGCTGCTGCTGCTGGAGGTTGAGGAAGGGTGTGGGGGGAGCAAGGAGGCGGAGGTGGGCTGGGAGGTAGGCTGGATTGGTTTGGATATCGGTGGGGGAGGGGCGTGGGGAGATGTTGCCCCACTTTGGAGGAGTGCCAACGTTACCCCGCGCGTACCAGGCATCGTCGAGAGCCTTGAAGCACGTGCCAGGGGGATGGTTGGTCTGTCCGCAGGGAGTTCCAGCCCGAGGACCATAGCGGCGGACATAGGTGCAGGGAGGAAGCGTGCCAGGGCGACTCCCGCGACTTGCAGTGGGTCCACGCGAGGTGGTGGTGCCGTGCTCATCCCCAGTGGTGCCACCACGGTTGTTGCTGCTTCCCGAACCACCACCTCCCTTGCCCCCACCTCCTCCTTTGCCGTTGTTCTTTCCCTGCTTGCGAGGAGGAGGTGGGTTGGGAGGAGGCGAGGTTGACGATGGGTGTACGGAGTTTAACTTCGGTGTCGATAATCCACTGTTCAACGGAGGCGAGACCGGCCATGGGATTGGCTTCGGTAAAGGCGTGGAGGCGGGATTCGTAGTCTGGGGTGAGGTTAAAGAGGAGGCGGTGGATTTGAAGAGGTTCGGAGAGGCCGGCCTGGCGGGCTTCGAGGCGATCAGCTACCTCGCGCATGCGTCCGACGTAGTCGACTGCTCCGTCACAGGTGGCGAGGGTGATGGAAAAATACTCTTGGAAGAGGATGCCGACGGAGCTGATGTCGCGGCGCTCAAACATGGCATGGAGTTCTGCCCAGATGACCGAGGCACGGAGTTCCCGAGCCTGGAAGCGACGCATGAGGGAGTCAGGGAGAGCTCCAAGGAGAACGGTGCAGGCACGGGTGTCAGCAGCTGTCCAGGCGATGAGTCTGGGGGTGAAGTCAGCCATGTCGACCTTGTATTTGGCGACGACCTCGAGGTGAGCGTCGCGACCAGCAACCGCCTGATCATAGGCCTCAACTGCAGCATCGTACTCGGCTTTGCGGATGAGGTATTCACGGCGGCGTAGGATAAAATCAGCATCCGCAGTGGCTTGGTCGGGGGTGATCTGAAGATCGGGTTCACGAGGAGGGTCGCCAGGAGTAGGAGGAAGAGGAGGAGTCACGCCGGGGTGGGGAGGTTCGGTGGGGGGGAGGGCATGGGGGCGGTGGAGGATGACGTCAAGGACATGGTAGGGGGGAACCCATGCGTCGGAGAGAACGCGTCGGATGCTGCCGACGAAGGAGTGCCAGTTGACTGCGGACTTGTCCGCGGCGAGCTGGAGCTTATCAATGGAGGACGTATCAATAGGAGGAGGGAGGGGGGCGGGGGAAGGTGCGGCGGTAGCCATGAAGGACGGCCGCGGCGGGACCCGCAGTGGTCACGGAGGAGAGGGAGGTGAGGCGGCGACGAGGCCGCAGAGGGGAGCGGCGCGGACGGCGGCGGCTAGTGGGGCCGCGGTGGCGTTGGAGCGGAGGCGGCGACGAGGCCGTGAGGGGAGCGGTGCTGGCGGCGGCGGCTGACGAGGCCGCGGCGGCGCTAGCGTGGAGGCGGCGATGGGGCCGCGGAGAGGCGCAGGCGGCGGCGGCAGCTGGCGCAGCCGCAGCGGTACAAGCGCGGAGGCGGCGACAAGGCCGCGGGAGGGAGCGGCGCGAGCGGCGGCGGCTGGCGAAGCCGCGGCAGTGCAGGCGCGGAGGCGGCGACAAGGCCGCGGGAGGGAGCGGCGCGAGCGGCGGCGGCTGGCGAAGCCGCGGCAGTGCAGGCGCGGAAGCGGCGACGGGGTCGCGGGAGGGAGCGGCGCGAGCGGCGGCGGCTGGCGAAGCCGCGGCAGTGCAGGCGCGGAGGCGGCGACGAGGCCGCGAGAGGGAGCGGCGCGAACTGTGGCGCTGGCGAGGCCGCGGCAGTGCAGGCGCGGAAGCGGCGACAAGGCCGCGGGAGGGAGCGGCGCGAGCGGCGGCGGCTGGCGAAGCCGCGGCAGTGCAGGCGCGGAAGCGGCGACGAGGTCGCGGGAGGGAGCGACGCGAGCGGCGGCGGCTGGCGAAGCCGCGGCAGTGCAGGCGCGGAGGCGGCGACGAGGCCGCGAGAGGGAGCGGCGCGAACTGCGGCGCTGGCGAGGCCGCGGCAGCGTAGGCGCGGGGGCGGCAACGAGGCCGCGGGAGGGAGCGGCGCGGACGGCGGCGGCTGGCGAGGCCGCGGCAGTGCAGGCGCGGAAGCGGCGACGGGGTCGCGGGAGGGAGCGGCGCGAGCGGCGGCGGCTGGCGAAGCCGCGGCAGTGCAGGCGCGGAGGCGGCGACGAGGCCGCGGAAGGGAGCGGCGGCGGCGACGGCGGCTGGTGGAGCCGCAGTGGCGTTGGCGCGGAGGCGGCGTCGAGGCCGCGGAATGGGGCGGGCGGTGGCGGTCGGCGGGACCGCGACAAGGCGAGCGCGGAAGCGGCGGTGGGGCCGCGAGCCGTGATGGCGTGGGAGGCCGTGGGGCTGCGAGGAAGGGAGTGCTTGAGGAGAGGGGGAGGGTGGCGAGATAGCCGCGGAAAAATGAGAAAGGAGGCCGGGGGTTGCGGCGGCCTTTGAAAAAAAACTAGGAGCGTAGGCCTAGGATTTTTAAGAGCTCTATACCATGTGAGAAGAAAAGTTAGAAGAGAAGTTGATGGATTGATTGAAAAGGATGGGGGGTTTACATAGGAGATGAGTTGGAAACTAGCCTAGGTGAACATTATTGGACCCCAACCAAGGAGTTGGGTTGGGAGATTATTGGTGGGGTCCAATAATGTTGGCCAAGTTGGAGTTGGGCCAACATTATTGGAGGGGACCAATAATTCTACCCATCCCAACCCTTGGGGTCCAATAATTGGACCAAGGTTGGGTTTCCAACCTACAAATTGGGTAACCCCTGCTTGTACACCCAAACTAAGTTTGGGTGCTTATCTCTAGCCTATCCTATAGCATATATGCAGGTTACAAGAGAGGAGATATTCTAACACCCTCTTCCCTCTCCCCCTCCCCCCACCCCTGTCCCCGTCCTCTCCTCCCCCGACCCCATCCTCTCCTCCCCCCTAATGCACACCCCTTTCCTTTCCCATCTGCAGATGCAAACTGGTGAAGAGCTTCAACCACATCTGGGACTCCCTGATGCACCCATGGTTGGTTGCATGCCTCGTGCAACCACAAAACATGCATCATATTATACTCCATACACACACCCCCGTCCCCTTCCCCCAATCGCAGGTGCATACCTGTGAAGAGCTTCAACTACATCTGGGACTACCTGATGGGCACTCGCTACAGCTTCGTCTCCAGGTGATTCCAGGTGGATTATCAGGTGGTTCGAAGGTTCAGGTGGCTGTTGGAAGGCTCAGGCGAAAGGATCAGGTAATTGTTAGAAGGTTCAGGTGGATTTTGGAAGGCTCAGATGCCTTCTTCCACCTCACCCGCTTTTTCGCCATCTTCCTTGGCGCTGGGTGCCTGGACTACTGGAAAAGCGAAGTTTCCAATGCATTCCAGGGAAACTGAAATGCATTTCCCTGGGTGCCTGGACTACTGAAATGCATTGGAAACTTTCTTTCTTTCTCCTCTCCTCTCCAATTCCCTTCTCTCCCCTCCTTTTCGTCCCTCCCTTCTCCCCCCTCCTTCTCGCCCCTCCCTTCCCCCCCCCTCCCTCTTGCCCGTCCTCTCGCCATGCAGCTTCTTCATAGATCGCCCCGTGTGCTCTGGGCGCTACGACAAGCACATGCAGCCCAAGATCACGCTCAGCCAGTGGCGGAAAGGGTCTCAGGTGAGGGGAGCAGGGCAGGAAAGGGGGTTAGAGGCAAGGGAACAACGGCTATGGGTAGGGGATGGGTGGGACTATGGCAAGACAAGCACATGCAGCCCAAGATCACGGTCAGCCAGTGGCGCAAGGGATCGCAGGTGAGACGAGGGGGCAGTGGAGAGCAAGGGTGGGTGAGGGAGTAATGTCTAGAAGCGTGGGGACAGGTGTCACTGTTAAGAGAAGGGTGGAGGTACGACAAGCACATGCAGCCCAAGATCACGCTCAGCCAGTGGCGGAAAGGGTCTCAGGTGAGGGGAGCAGGGCAGGAAAGGGGGTCAGAGGCAAGGGAACAACGGTTATGGGTAGGGGATGGGTGGGACTATGGCAAGACAAGCACATGCAGCCCAGGATAGCACTCAGGCAGTGGGGGAAGAGGTCGCAGGTGAGGGGGACGGGCATGTATGGAATGTAGATCATGACTTTCACACGTGCAAGGAAAACGATGCACTTGACTTGACTGTAATTATGGATATTTGCGTGGAACATGGCATGGCATGCTTGTGAGCATGCGCATGATGATGTGCGAGTATGGTGTGTCATGGCACACGCACATTGGCATGGCACGGCATGTCATGGCATCGCACGGCATGGCATGGCACACGCACATTGGCATGGCACGGCATGTCATGGCATCGCACGGCATGGCATGGCACACGCACATTGGCATGGCATGGCATGACATGGCATGGCATGGCATGGCATGGCACACGCACATTGGCATGGCATGGCATGAAATGGCATGACATGGCATGGCATGGCATGGCACACGCACATTGGCATGGCATGGCATGACATGGCATGGCATGGCAGTGGTTTGCAGCCACGAGGAGGCATGTGAACATCATCATCGATGACGACAGCATTCACGCGCTCTTCCAGAAGTACTGCCGGGTGAGTCTCTTCGAGTCCCTTCACCCTTAGCAAAGCCCCCATCTTTGGGGCTCCTCACAAGCCCCCATCTTTGGGGCTCCTCACAAGCCACGAGGAGGCATGTGAACATCATCATTGATGACGACAGCATTCATTCTCTCTTTTAAAAGTACTGCCGGGTGAGTCAATAAAGTCTCTTCACCCCTATTCTTGAGAAGTTGAGTAGGGAAGGAGTCCCTTCACTCAGATAATCACAATTTGAGATGTCTCGAAACCGCCATGTATGTGGGAAATTGTAAATGGCTATGAAGCTTTACATGCAAAAAACGAATGGTGAACATCATTATCGATGATGACAGCATTCACGCGCTTTTCCAAAAGTACTGCCAAGTGAGCCCCACAAAGTCCCGTCACCCCAAGTTTCTTGTAGTCCAATAGGAAGTCCCCCTCAAATTTTGAGGTTCCTTAAAAGCGGCACGTCAAAATCATTATTGATGACCACACCGTTCACGCCCTCTTCCGAAGTACTGCCAGGAGAGTCCCTCAAACGATGAGGCGTTTTTTTAGTCGACTCAGAAACATTCATGACGACACGGCACCATTCATGCCCTTTGCCAAAAGTACTGCCATGTGAGTCAATAAAGTCCGTCACTCTTATCACCTTGCCTTGTCTCCTCGTCTCACCTTATCACCTTGCTGCAAAATCACTTCACTCGTATCACCTCGCCCAGTCTCTGATTACTTTGCAGCATCTTCCACTGAATGAACCACTGCTGGCCTTAATACGATTTCCCTTGTCTACTCCCATACCATACCACATGCCATGCCTGCCTGCCGACGCTATCTGCATGGACCAATGGCAGGGTGACAAGTGGCATCACCACTGCTATGCTGACGAGCACTACATTCCGACTCTGCTTAATGTGCGCCCTCCTTTCATCGCTCCTGCTCCTCCTCTTGCTCCTCTTTTATCTTGCTCACTTGCTTCTCTTGCCCCTCTTGCTTCCCTTGCTCCCTCTTGCCCCTCTTGCCCCTCTTGCTCCTCATGCTCCTCGTGCTCCTATTGCTCCTCTTACTCCTCTTGTTCCCCTTTTGAACCCAGTCAGTTTCTTATGCCGGCCAAAGTCCCCTGTCCCCCCCTTTCTTTCTCGGCAGATAAAGGAGCCCAGTCGTGTGGCCAACCGCACGATCACCTATGTGGACTTCCCGCCCCTGCAGCAGCTCCTGACCTTTTGAGTCTGCTCGTTTTCTTGTGTTTCTCTCTCCTCCCTTCTTGCAACAGATAAAGGAGCCTAGCCGTGTGGCCAACCGTACAATCACCTATGTGGACTTCCCGCCCCTGCAGCAGCACCCGTCGTCCTTCCTCCCTAACAACATTACTGAAGACCTCTTTCAAAACATTACAGTGAGTTGGGGGGTAGGAGGATGCATGGCTTTTCGTGGGTGTGTGCAGGTTTGTGTTTGGTAGCATGTGTGTGGATGTGTGTGAGTGTGTGAGTGTGTGGTGCTGGGGAAAGGGATGGGGAATGCCCATGCATGCAAGGATTTCCTCCTTTGGAGGCAAAGCAAAGGCCAAGCTGTAAAACTTTTGAAGAAACAATTAGCTGTGTTAGGGGTAGGGGACACACAGGGCCGTGCTAGCATGTGCGCAATTGTGTGAATGCCATGCTAGCTTGTTCAGAACTTACCTCAGGATTTCAGGAGCTTCCAGACTACAGTCTCATCAGTGTGGTTGTACAAGCTGCCTCTAAACCCATCTCAACCGCACTTCATCTCATCCATGCCCCCTGTGTGCTTCCTCGTGTGTTGTCTCTCCCATGCTTCAGGAGCCACTAGACTACAGTCTCATCAACGTCGTCGTGAGTCTCCTTCTGCTCTTAGCCTTAACCTCTTACCCTCTTAGTCCCTGACCCTCTTAACTTCACTACAGTCACTCTCCCATGTCTCAGGAGCCCCTAGACTACAGTCTCATCAACGTGGTTGTGAGTCTCCCTCTCCCTCCTCACCTCCTCTCCGTCCTCCTCCCTCTCCCTCTCCACCTCCACTCCCTCCTCCATCTTTCTCTCCCTCCTCATCCATCTCCCTCTCTCTCCTCCTCGCTCTCCCTCTCCACCTCCCTCTCCCTCTCCCCCTCCTCACGCTCTTCCTCCCTCTCCCCCTCCCTCTCTCTCCCCACCTCCTTCTCGCTTTTTTGCTTCGTGGCCTCTACTGCTGCCTCTACCTCACAACAACATTCGCGCTAACCTTCAGAACACCACAACGCTATACAACTGTTTCTGAGGTGCTGCAGAGTCTTTACCCGCCAAATCTTAATGTAGCCCCTATGTCACATCACACTCAACTCATTCCCCTGAGAACATATACGCCCGCGTGCTTTCAGAATACATGCATGTTTTCATTGATGTTATGGTTTCGATCCCTATTCCAAACATCCGCAACTGATATCAGCACAAATGGCTCAACTAAACTCTGTCCCCTCTCTCCTTCCTATGACCCGTGCTGTCCTTGATATCCTGTCACTTCACCTCTGCCCTGCGCCGTTGCCTGAATCAGGAGCATCGAGAAAAGATTCCCCAGAGTGTAAGTGTTTGTTGTGGGGGGCAGGATGGGGGAGGAGAGGAGGGATGGAGTGGGTGGTGGGGTGTGGGAGGAGTGCAGTGGGGGTGAAGATGTGGGAAGAGGAAGATTATGCGAGATGGGGAGCAGGGAAGGGGTGTTGAACAGGGGGGTAGAGGGAGTGAGAGAGGCAGAGATGTGTGTGGGGGGGGGGGGGGGGGGGGGGGGGGGGGGGGGGGGAGGGGGGAGGGGGGAAGGAGGGGGGTGTGGTTGAGCTGAGGATGAGTGAGGGAAGAAACGGACCGATAGAAATGTACACCTGTCCTCCTTCACATCCTACACAATTTTAAACATTTATTTTTCCTCGATTGTTGTTCTGGTCGTGCAGGCATACACCCTACCATGTTCCCTGAATGGGAAGAAGCGTACCTGTTTTTTGTTTGCGCGAAAATTTCCGCCCAGTGCCCTCCCTGCTCTTCTATCCCTTTCCGAGGACATTTTGGGATATTGATTGCCTCTTGGGGCCCAGAATCCATCCTACAGATTTTTCCCTTTCCTGCATGCCCTGGATTTCGATTTAAAAGCACGACATCTCCCGAACTGCATTAAACTAAGGGCGTGTAACCATTTTGCATTTTTAGGTTTTGACGTACCGTCCGATTTGAATTTTTGCAACTTCGGACAGTCCGAATGCAGTTATGACACTTTTTCCGCTGGCTAGGGTTTGGCGATGGTTTTCCCTTCGCCACCCAAATTGAACACGTGTAACGCGTGTCACTGTGTCTCGCAATTTTCGCGCAGTGAAAATTGGCGCTTCGGACAAAGAACACAACGAGCACAAAGGCCGTCTTGAACGAGCCCACTCACTGTCAATGAGTCACACGTTCTAGAGCAAAAACAACTGTCTGCTCAGGCGTATGTCTCGCCGCCACCTACTATCCGTACTACACCTCTTGTACAGAGGTTACCAAGAGTTCATAGTGCGACCCGGAGTCGACTACATTGCGGAGATTATCGTACTGCTCGATGACGAAGACCGTCACACCATGCAACGGGACCGTGAGAGACAGAGGGAGAGGTGGGATTATCTTCTCGGCCGCATGCCTCGTCAAGTGTTCACAGACACCTTCCGCGTCAACCGGCGGGTTTTTGAGTACTTGGTAGACGCATGGATAAGCAGGAATGGTGACCGCCAGCGCGTCATACCCATCGAAACGTGCGTCGCCATGACGCTAGTTTATCTTGGCACAGGCGCAACTTTCCGCCAGCTCGGCCTGCAGTTTGGTGTCGTGCCGCAGCACGCCCAAAGAATCGTGCTGGGCTTTATGGCGTTCATCGTGGACGAGCTACTCCCTCTCTGGGTTTCTCACCCATCCGCCGAGCAGATGGCAGAGATCGCCGAAGAGTTCCGTTACGAGGGCGGTATTCCAGGCGTTATAGGAGCGCTAGATGGGACGTACATTGAGTGCCGTGGCTTCGGGAGAGACAGGGAGGATTTCAAGAATAGGAAAGGGTTTTATTCAATAATCCTACAGATAGCATGTGATTCTAACGGAATCATCTGGGACTACAATGCGGGGTACCCCGGAAGTGTCAAAGACTCCCGGGTGTTCACAAACTCCCCCCTCAAGAGCCGTCTTGAAGCTGGCGAATTGGGAAACTACATGCTAGTCACGGACGCGGCCTACGCTCTCACAAGCTACACTTGTGTTCCCTGGCGTGCTACTCCCGGTCGGTATCTGCCACGCGCAAAAGACAAGTGGAATACACAACAATCGCGTCAGCGGATGATTATAGAGCAAGTCAACGGACGACTCAAAGGCAAGTGGCGCATCCTCGACTGCCGGATGGAGTGCCACAGTGAGAGGGTGCCGCAGGTGGTGAGTGCCTGCGTGGCACTCCATAACATCGAATTGACAATCGGCAGCAGGGATCGCCTTGGGCCGCCTCCGGAGCGCCACCGATGGTGGCTCGAAGGACCCACGGCGAACCTCAAACTTACCGGGCCGGAGGTGCGCCGTTTCACTCCTCGCCTTCGGATGAGGAGGTGGACGGCGGCGATCTACGCCTCCTATTGCGCCGCTCATCCGCGTACCCGCGAAACGCCTCCCGGGTAAGGGATTTGAACTCTTCCCACTTCTCATCCTGCCGTTTGTCAAAATGATCCCTTAGTTCCCCTATCAACTCGGCCGTCGTGGATTGTTTCTTCTTCTCGGCTGCTTTGCGCCCAACCCCGCGCTTTGCTGCTTTCTTCTTCTTCACATCGGTCTCGGCGTCTTGCTTGCGTGGGTACTGCCACCACGCATTCCTTGAACACCCCTCACCGCCATCAGACGCAGGCCGCGCTCCCCAAGTGAGGCGCCTTCCGCGGATAGAGACACCCGTCGTCGTTCCTGACGGGAGCGTTGCACCGCTTGCGGAGTCGCCGTTGCTCAGAGTGATTGTGTCTGGCGAGAGCGGAGTTTCGGCTGCGCGATGTGACGGTGCGAGTGCGCCGCCACCTTGACCAGGAGAGGCGGGCTCGGTAATGCGGCTGGTGGAGGTGGACGGCGCGGGTTCGACAGCTGGGTTAACTGGCGCGACGGGTGCAGGAGAGCGGGGAGCGGATACGTCGCGGGCGGCAGCTGTCCGCGATGAGCTTGGTGTCGGGGCTTGAGGCGCAGCAACCGTCGGGGTAGTAGTCAAAGCTGGCAACGTAGGCAGGGGGGTTGTTGGGGTGGCTCGGGCGTTGGTGGCGGGCGGGGGTGCTGGTTGCGCTGTTGCCCTGCCAGCTGGAGGGATGCCGGTACCTGCAAGGACAGGGGGTCTGGTGCTTGGGCGCTCACCCCAGAGGCGTTCGCCGAGGTGGTACCATGGAGGCAGATTTGTGACGCGTCCCTCGCCGGATCGCTTGATGCGGTCGTTGATGCGACGCCACTCCGCCTTGAGTCGATTGAACTTTGCCTTGAGGGCCGCCACGTCATGGCGCCACGTAGGGATGCGCTCGAGTAAATCCCGCTGGACCAAGGGGTACCAGGAACGTCCTTGCTGACCGGTGCGTGCGCGGATCTGCGCGTCGAGATCGATGAACGTCACTAGCACCTCGCACTCCTCCTCAGGGGTCCAGCGTGGCGCGTTTCTGGCAGTGGAGTGGCGAGAACCAGCGGCAGTGGTCGTGGTGGGCTCCGTTGGCTGGGCTGCAGGCTCCTCTTCAACCTCGCCAGGCGCGCCATTGTCGTCCAATGCGGCCCCGAGGCCGTAATCATCATCGGCGTCGTAGGAGGCAGTCGGGGAGGGGATTTGGTACACCCACCAGTCAGGAGGCGTGACGGTGGGAGTGGTAGAAGGAGCAGGCTGCGCGTTGGACGGAGCAGGTATCCGGGACTCTTGTGTTTCGGGAAGGGCTATGGTTGGAGTGGTGGTGTTGGTAGAGCCCGGTGGCGGGGAGCTGGGAGTGGTGTTGTCAGACTGGTTGTTGGTGACGTGGCTAGAGTGATCCATTGTGCAAAGTAGAGTACTGAGTAGTGGTGAGTAGTGGGCCGGTGTCGTGGCTTCTTATAATGTTGGTTCCCTAGTTGTCATTGGCCAATGTTAATTTTTTGCGACCGAGTCGCCATTTTGAGGTGTTGGCGAGGCGGCCCGGGAATTTTCATTATCGCGCGCCAATCGGGTGCGCGGACTGGCGGCCAGTCTGTTTGAGTTTCGGACTGTCCGATGTCAGAGTTTCGGCACGTTGAAAAGCTGAAAAAGTGTCATGACAGTTCGCGTTTTTGGCGACGTCGCTAACGTTCTAGCGAAACCCCCTACGACATGTGGCGAATGTGGTAACCATTTCGCCACCCGGACGGTCCACGGTTCGAACCGTCGGGTGCAAAATGGTTACGCACCCTAAAACTGAACTTACCTGTCAGAACTTGGTTAAGAGTAAGGTGGAAGTACCTTGGTGTGTGTTCCCTCACTACACAATCCTTCCCTTGCAACTAGATTCGGTTTATCGTACAGCGACGTGGAACATTCGTGTGGCTAGATGCAGGCGCTGAAAACCAAACATCCAGCTCATCAGTGAAGGTCAACAGTAACGAGGCGTCACCACGCACAAATTAGCGAAATCCGCGCTTCTCAAGCACTTTCCCAACGAATGCTTCTCGGGTGATAGTTTTTTACAGTTCTTGTTGTATCTTGTACAGTACAATCATGGAATACAGTACAAAGCTGACGTGCGAGAAGCGCGTCGCCGTGGTCCGTACCAACAAAGTGTGGATTTTAGGGGGGGAGAAATAACTTATCCTCCTGGTTGCGAAAAAATATAAGCAAGGTACTTGTGAACCGAAGTTGGAGGGTAGCCTCTTCGTCATGCAAGCGGACTTTGCTCCTCACCAAATCGTGGGACGGCTGGAAGGTAAATCTACAGTTCTCCAGTACAGAAACCCTGGAAAATCGATCGACGAATGCGATGGCAGCCAAGGGTAGCGATCCGCCTAGGTCCATGGAAGCTTCAACAGCTACGCGGCTGGGTCCGTCGTGATGCCGAGCCGTGCCACTTCTCTCGCGGTCCGAGCCGACGTGCGGATTTCCCACTGGAATGCAGCGAATTCGTTCACTCACGCGACGCGACGTGAGGTGCTCCGGGCTGAACTGATGCCCTTTTTGACCAATTCGAAGTCGCACAACGCCAATACTCTCATCCAATCCAAACCAAGTCCTTCCGCTTCGCCGAGCCTTGTTGCGCAGTTTCGCAGCCGTACCGAGGTGTCGTGCGCAACAGAGATTCCTTCGCACATTCGTGCCTCAGCGTCGCCCCTTTGTTGGGCTGCGCTGGAAGCAGCCGTCTGCGCCGCTCCACACTCCCCCCCTCCAACCCTTCCCCTTGCTTCTTCTCACAGATTCCACCCCACCAGCATTTTTGGAAAGCCATCATCCCAAAACATCCCGATCTTTGCATTTGAAGTCCGCCATTCAGAAACGCATTTGGCAACCTCCGTAGAAGCCATATCCCTAGAATTTCCGTTCCTCAGTTTCTCAATGGTGTTGTCACGATCATTCGATAATTGCTTAGATTACTTTCGTCCCTACCAGTAAACGACTGCGTAACGGTTTAGCCATTCCGCCGCTTCCAACTTGGAAGCAACTACAGCGTTGGTAAGTCGTAACCGGGCCCAGGTCACGCGACTATATCGATTTATAAGGGGCCAGAGCCGACGATCCGTGACTCGCACGCAGAACTCCAGCATGGGGCGATCAGAATTCCTCTGTCGCTTCCAGTAGCAGGCTGGTAACTAAACCGTGCGCGGGACAGTTCCATTTGATCACTTCGTCTGTCGCTTCAAACCGTACTTGGCGTCAACCAGGACTGTGCGCCACGGCTGATCGCGGATTTCCCCTTTCAGTCCTCCAAAATGGCAGCAATTCTTAATGCCGTCAAGTCGCAGGGTCTCGCCACGCGGATGATAATTTTCGCCAGCCCTGTCGCAATCGTCGTCCTCATTTTCCTCGCCTACCTCGCAGCGTCGCCCACCAGTAATCCTGCAGAGCTGGCGATCGGCGACGCGGACCTGCTGACGTCAATCGTCGGCGGGAAATCCGCGTCTCGCATGATCATCGAATCCGACGGTGGGGATGATCCCGAAGGTCTACGTGTCGCTGTGCAACCAATTAGCATTCTTCAACTGCGTGGCCCAAACTTAAATACTAAATCCGCGGGGCCGGCTGCCGGCAGCAGAAGCACGAAATCCGATGGAATCTTGCTCGGGGGAGCCGGCAGGAGTTCTCAGAGCAGCAAGAGTGACGGGAGAGGCAGATTGGCCGGGAGCGCGGCCGAGAGTAGCGAAATTTCCACGGGCAGCTTTCTCCCGCAAATGAACAAAGCGGCTCTCGCGGTCGACCGTCTGTCGCAACCTGTCGCGAAGACTGAGAAGGAAACGGGGGCGGGCGGGAAAAGTGACGGGGGTTATGCGGAGGCGGGCGCAGAGGCGGACGCGGAGGCGGAAGGGGAAGCGGAGGCGGAAGCGGAGGAGGTGGACGACGAGCAGCGGGGCCTGCCGGCGGAGGTGCTGGCGAAAGAGCGAAAGCTTGCGCTTTCGCGAAAGTCAAGATCCGCCACCTCGCGGAAGGCCGTAAAGGTCACTGGTGGTAACAACGACGAAGAGGTTGGCGAAGAGGACGAGGAAGCCGAAACGGAGGAGGAGGCGGAAATGATGAATGCGGAAAGTGAGAAAGGAACCGACGCAACTGCCGCAGCCGACAAAACTAGCGAGGAGGAGGACGTGTTTCGCGAGCTGAAGCTTTCGCCGGAAGACGAGGCAATGCTTCGTGAGCTTCGCGAAACGCGCGTGGAGCGCGAGAAGGCGGCGAGCCGCGTGAAGCACAAGTACCGCAAAGTGGCGTTCATGTTCCTCACCAAGGGCCCCATCCCGCACGCCAAGCTGTGGGAGCGGTATTTCAAGGTAAGGCTCGAGGTGCCACGTATCCTCCAGCTAAAATTCTAGCTTCCTCGTAGTTTCGTGGCGCTGCAAGTGGCGTTGGTGTTCCTTACCTACACGGGCTCCCCCCGCGCGCCGAATCTATTTTCACAACAGCATTCCGTGACTTTCTGTGCGCATTGCTTGCAGTTCCCTGCTTTTTTTTTATCTCCCCCTCCTCCCCTCTGCCTTCCCTTCCCCTTTTCCCCCTCTCGATCCTCCCAAACGCCCTTCCCCGCCCTCCCTCCTCACCCTCACCGCGTCCCCGTTCAAATATTTTTCTTTCTTCCCCTGCCATCTACCGCAAATCTTCCCTGCGTTTGTGTCATTCTTTCGCCACGTGCCACTATCGAAGGGTCACGAGGGAAGCTACTCCATCTACGTGCACACGGCGCCGGGCTACGTATTCCCCAAGAACGCCTCCGCGCTCTTCCGCAACAACACCATCCGCAGCGAAGCAGTGAGTCCCAACCGCACCGTCTGGTAACCCGCTCCACCGTGCTGCAAATCCGGAAGCATGGCCTCAGCTAATTCTCAGCACGTTTACTCTCAGCTCATCCTACCCAGTTTTAATCTCTGGAATATTCTCAACTCACCCTCATTCTTCCAGGGGGGAAAGAGATTCCGTACAGCAGCATACCGCATTCTGTCCCCTGGGTTGTCTGTTTGAGATATACCAATCGTTTTCGCCTCCCGGATTTTGGACATCCTCTCTTTCGCAGGTGTCGTGGGGATCGCCGACGATGATCGACGCCGAACGACGGCTGATTGCCGCGGCGCTCAAGGACCCAGCCAATCACAATTTTGTGCTTCTCTCCGAATCGTAAGTGCCAGTGATTGCTAGCTTCGCTTCACGTTGTCGTCGTGCCATCGTACTGTAAGTAGCACCCTTCTCGAATGTATGTCTTATATCCCTCCATTTTTGGATCCAACTTTCGCTGACACTGGTCCTCTCTCCGCATCCCTTCCTTGCAGTTGCATTCCCGTTATGAGCCTAAAATTCACGTGGAGATATCTTCTCGGAACTGACTACAGCTTTGTTTCAAGGTAAGCTGGTCCACATTGTTTTCATCACAATACATCTCTGAGGAAGTTCTTGCTAAGCATTTTGGTATGGAGTCATCCATAAGTTGTTTCTTTTTTTGCACATTCATTGTTTGATTTCCCCCTTTGTAACAGCTTCACTACAGACAGATACGTGAATACGGGACGGCATGATGAACGCATGGCTCCATTGATTCCAATTGAAAAGTGGAGAAAAGCGTCTCAGGTGAACCTTGGACTGTCTTACATGCTTCGTTTGAGTCTTCGTTGTTGATTTCATGAGAACATCTGATGAAACTTTCGACACAAAATTTACCCTCCCTCGTTTCTCTTCGTTATACAGTGGTTCTCGGTTACACGCAAGCATGCGAACATCATCATCGATGACGTCGATGTGCATAAGCTCTTCCAAATCTACTGCAGGGTGGGTATCATGGTTGACTAGTGCTTTCCCTGTTTCAAGACTATCTGGTTGGTCCTGTTTCTTTCGATTCAACATTTCATATTCCTCTTTCTGAATCTGCTGATGATTCTCCACATGCGGTTCTCATAGTTGTTTCCCATCTTGTGGTCATTGTGTCTATTTACTATACTCGTTACAGGGTGACATCCAACATCATGAGTGTTACTCAGACGAGCACTACATCCCAACACTAATCAATGTGAGAATTGTGACACAATCTTTAAACCTCCCTGATAGATTCCACATCCACTCTACCTCCTCCACAATCTCTGACTTTCCCATCCTCCCCACTTGCAAAATCCTACCAATCCCTCCATCACAAATACCTGCATAAACTCCGTACATCCACTCTTCCCGCGCTGTCTGTTCTTCCCCTGCTTCTCCAGTTTACAGCACCCTGACGAATTGCACCATCACCAATATCGACTTCCTTACCACCACATCCTTTTTTTTTTCCTCTGCTTTCTCTTCGTCCCATTTTTTTTTCTCGGTCCACAGTTGAAGGACCCCGGCAATCTGGCCAATCGCACCATCACCTATGTCGACTTCCCACTCAACTCGCCGCACCCACGCACCTTCGATCCCTTCCTCACTCGACCCAGCCTCATTCGCTACATCACTGTATGTACATACCTGACTATATTTTTCTGCAACGATGTACACATGTGCACGTATGTGTATATATGTCTAATCATGTACACAGATCCTGCATCACATTTTCAGAAATTCCTTTTCAACGCATTCTCTCATCGCCTTCTTTTCTGCATCTCTCTCTTCTTGTCATGTCCTCGTCCATCTTCCAGAAACCGCGCATGTACATGCATCGCAACGTTGTGGTGAGTTTCTCAATAACCCCCACCCATCCATGACCCGCCTTGATATACAAGTTCCCACGTTTCAAGTCAGCACCGGATGCACCATGGCATTCTTTGTTTCTGTTTTGTCGGATTTTGTTTTTTTCTGCATGACCACACCCAACAGATAACACCAGTGCAATAGCTGTGTCAAAAGCGTTGTGTGTTTTCCGTATCCTCATTACATCTCCCCTCCCCTCTCTGACTTGCTCTGCCTACAACAGGAACCCGATGACGAAACCCCACAAAGCGTGAGTACTCCCATCCCCCCTTCCCCTTGCCCCCTCCTGTACCTCTTCTTCCTTTCCTGCATGGACTTGCTCTGTTATTCTCTTCTCACCTACACACCCATTTCTGTTGTCTCTTATTTCTCGCACTGACGTACCCTTGTTGTACACTGTTCACACCTAGACTGCAGATTGTAGCACCTTTCATTTATCTTTCACAATGCGTCCTTCCCCTCCCCTCCCTTAATTGCAGTCATACACTCTCCCTTGCGCCAAGGATGGGGAGAACCGCACCTGCTTCTTGTTTGCAAGAAAGTTCCATCCCTCTGCCCTACCTCAACTGCTGAACCTCCCTACTAAGATTCTCGGCTACTAGTAACCAAAATCCAGCACGGATCAAGAGCATGGGGAAGTGTGCCTACCAAACCAGCTCTGCTGAATCTATGAGCTAAGTACGGTATAGATTTGAGGGGAATAAGATTGCTTTGTAGATGACAGCTGGTCATCAAATGGACCACACTGCCTTGTTACACTGGCTTGGTTGTTGATTTAGTAATTGTGTAGTGTAACAATGTTGTGGAATGTCAATTGGCTGAAATTGTGGAAGAGGAACAACCTCATTTCTTGCAAAAACCAGGGGAAGGAAACGGAGGTCCATTTGGAATCGAAGTCCACTTCTAGATGAATGGGTGGCTAAAATAAGAGAGCTCCTAATGGTTTTGCGAGGAGTGTAATCTTCGAAATCCTGAACTGTCATTTTGACTGTTGTACACGTTGTCTAGTGTTATATTCCTCCTAATATGTCAGAATTGCGGGCTGTGAAGACTGTTGAAGAGCCTGATCATTCATCCATGCTTGTACATCGTACGGTAGGTAAGTACACCAATCACACGTCTACAATATTTAAAAGGTGGAAAGGAAACCACATGTCAAAGTCAACATGGCAGCATGACAGAAACTACAATAACTTCATTCTGGCTCCGATCGATGTTTCCAGCAGGAGTGTCACTTCACCTTTTTGTGCAATGCCACATCTACTGCTTCATTAATCTACTAACAAGCCAAATCCACCAACCCCCCTTCTCTGGTCCTTCCCAAGTTGTAACACTCCATCTCCCCTTCAGTTTTTTCACTTCTTGACGAAGCCCAGGTTGTTGGCCTCGGCGTATCGCTCCATAAAGCGCATGAAGCGGTCCCATTCCCTCTCTGAGCGCATGATGTACTTGGCCTCAATGCCCGCTGGCTTGCCGTTGATAAACTTGGCGCTCACGTCCACCGTCTGCCAAAACATTGGGGGAAAAGAGAGGAAAAAATCAGACTTTGTCCCACTCCCTCTTCGTGCGCATGATGCACCGTGCCTCGATGCCCAATGGCTTGCCGTTGATGAACTTGGCACGTCCACCGTCTGCCATGACAGTGGGAGGGAGGGGAGAAGAACTTTGGCGATCACATTCCAAGTCAGCCAGGGGGGTTCAGCAGGGGTTTGGGGAGTAGGAGCAGCTGAGAAATTCGCATGAAAGGTATGGAACAGTAGGCGGGAATTCGGGGGAAAAGAATACTGGGGTGTGAAGTTGGTATTGACATTTGGAGAAAAAACTTTGGTGGCGGCCAACGAACTTCACATCCCAAACGCCTGAAAACATCTCAGCCGGGACCGAAACGCAAGGCGTCTGAGACGACTAAAAGAGTAGGGGTAGAAGAAAAGGGTTTGTACCTGCAGGTCGCCCTCCTCATCAATCATGAAGAGCCCCGTGATGTCACCCAGCTCGCTGGGCATCTCAGGGGACTAAACAAGGGCGTATGATACAACCGCAAGGACGAAGGATGAGAGTAAAGCGTTTGTACCTGCAGGTCGCCCTCCTCATCGATCATGAAGAGCCCCGTGATGTCACCCAGGTCGCTGGGCTGGTCGAACACCGACGGCTGCTCAAATACGAACGTTGCCGTGCCGCTGGTACCGTCCCTGTAAGGGGAGCGGAGGGAGCGGAGGGAGCGGTGAGGAGGGAGATGGAGGGAAAAAGATGAGTGTGAAGCCAAAGACCGAAGCAGGCCGGTATACGAAGTGATGAAGAATGTTTGTTATGACAGAGATGTGGTGGAGGAAGGTGAAACGGGTGTGAACAGGGACCGCTGTGGTTGGCTGTGCGAACTAGAACGAAAAGGTGTTACAAAGGAGATAAAGAGCATGGCAAAACGACTGCTGTCGGTTTGGCACAACTTGAGGTGAAGTAGGCTACTTATTCATCATGCCGTGCGGGTCGCAATGCATATCGAGAAATGATAAGCTGCTATTTGAAGCAACCGCGGAGCGTGGACGCTACAGGACTCGTGATGTGATGTGATTAACGCCTACTACCCGCTCCCGATTCCCGTGTGACAGACGTCGACATTGAACTTCATCGCATCGTGGACGCACCTGGATCGCGTGAGTCGGACTTCGGGGATGGTTTGCTCGTTGACGCCGCGGATAAACTGCACGACGGCCTCGTCCACCACCACGAGCCTGAAGTTCGCAGAGGGGAGGGGGTAGAAGAGGAGGGTGGGAGGTGGGGGGGAGGATGAAAGGAAACAGAAAAGATCATATAAGAATTCAATAACATCTCTTGAAAGTGGAGGGCTGCGCAGGCGTCGAGGTACGACGGATGCAAATAAAGGGAGAGTGACAACGTGGGAGAGACAACGGGGGAGAGAACGAGGGTGGAAAGAGTGAGGGAGGAGTGGAGAGCGGGGAATGGGGCAAGACTCGGAAAGGGATAAGGGAAAGAGAGTGAAGAAGACGGTGAGGTTAAGAGAGAGTCGTGAAGACATTGAGCGAAGGAAGACTCGAAAGGAGAGCGAAGACAATACGATGATGAGGAATGCGTTTCAGCAAGTATGTAAACTGACAATCAGTTGATTACAATATGTCGTACCTCTCGGAGGATCGCTTGCTAACAGCGCGGACTGGAAGAGCCACGAGAGCATCGCCCTTGAACGACGATTGCAGGCTCAGGTGTGATCGGAGGGATGTGGATGCCTCGACGCCTGAGCATCTGCACGAGGCCAGTTGGCTGGTTTGTCGCCTCTGCTGGGCAGAGACCGCCTTAGCGCCGGCAGCAGCGGGCGCTGACAGGACAGAGCGTGAAATGCAAGTGGTCGCCATTGTGTTCTCTTGCTACAATTGTGTCTGCAAAGCGAAATCTTGCTAGTGACAGGCTAAGCAGGAACAAGAGGAGCTTGTGAGAAATGGTTATCTTGGATCAAGAACGGTTGACCAGTTGTATTCTATATCTGTGTCTCGGTCAGAAGGGATTTGACAGGAGGGTTGGCCTTAGCAAGATTTTGAAATGCTTAGGGCGCGTGCGTTCTTGCCGAACCTGACAAAGTTCGAACTCAAACCGCTTTGCACCGTGGCGAAACGTTCCTAATTGTATTCTACCGTGACGGACCGTTATGAAAGTTCGAACTTTCAGTCAGGTTCGGCAAGAACACACGCGCCCTTAGACAAGGATCCGTTTTAGTCGCCAAACCCCTGGAATTGCCAATGTGCGACCTTGGAGTTGCCAATGTGCGACCTTGGAGTTGCCAATGTGTGACCTTGGAGTTGCCAATGTGCGACCTTGGAGTTGCCAATGCGTGACGGTGTGGAGATTCTGGGGTCGCAACCTTGACACTGGAACGTCGCACAAGCAGCTCAGCTGTCTGATGCATGGGCTGACGAGACGATGCGACCTTGATGAGCTGGCCAACGGTTCTTGGTGACTGTGACACTACCACGTCAGAAGGCATGTGCGCTCCGTGCGATGGGGGCAGATCAAGAGAGTGACGCGTGGAACAGCGCGTGCCCCCCCCCAGTTGCTTCTTGATTCGTGTGCGAGGCTCCACCACAGCTGAGCAGAAGAATCACCGAGATAATCTCGATGGGTTGACATGGTGGTTCCCAATCCCCGAGATGTGCCATCACAGCACCGCGGCTTGCCAACAAGGCAGAACGGTTTCGTGGAGTGTCGACGCCCACGAAGTTGCTCCAATCGACTTGTCGCGTGGGTTGCTGCGTTAGAAAGTTCGCTCTCTTAGCGCAGATATCCAATACCCGAACAGTGTAGGGCAAGCTGCTCATTACAGATATAGCTACGGTATGAGCCTGACGATTGCAAGTATTGCTCGGTATTCTTCAGTGTTCCTGCCGCACTGTCACATGATTGGAGGAATTTGGTTGATATTATTGGGCTGCATCTCTAAGAGATCAGGAGAGTCAATGTTGAAGAGTCGATATGTATTCTCTTGCACGATTATAAAAATATAGACATCACAGGAGATTGTTACTGTTTTGCTGTAAAAGAGGCGCCACACCCACACGATGACGCTGAATTGGGATTGCTGATCACCTGCACACCACGACAGGAGGAAATAATGGCATTGCTAAGCACATGCATGGGAAGCAAACTGGTGGAAAGCGTACTTCTACTAATACTAACCTGAAATGAAGAACGAATAAGTTCGTCAGTGAAGTCCACAGTAGCACCATTCACGAAAAGAAGAGATACATCGTCTACCACCAACCGGACTCCATCACGCTCAAAAATGCTGCACGGGATTTGACAATAACAGTTTATAAATTAGTGGTCCGCCAAAACCAAGAAAATAACGAGCTTGGCACTTCCCTGACCTGACAATACGCTCCAAAATTCCCCAGGAAGGCCGTTGCTTGAGAGGACCGTACCTATCTCCAGAAGTGACCTTGTCATCCAGAGTGAAGATATACTGGAAGCCAGAGCAGCCCCCTCCTTCCACGGTCAGTCTTAAAAACACGTCACGGCCTTCCTCTTTAACAATCTCAGCCAGTCTCTGCCCAAACAGGTAGCATACAGTATCCAACAGTCATCGCTCAGCTATTTGTCAGCCAAAGGCCAAAAAGGTCCTAAAAAACTCACAACCAATGGTACTCGTGTGGGCCAAAGACGAGCCAGAGCATGGCATTACTCACTTCCGCGCATCTGTCGCTGAGAATCACCGTTTCCTGTGGCTTCTGCTGCTGTCGCACCACTTCACTGCTCATACTCCTCATCCCAATTAGTGTCATCGCCGTACCCGTTTCCCGGCGGAAGCTTTGTAAACTGAAGGATGGCGGGTGGATCCAGCGTCCCAACAACGAAAATGAAGGTGCGTGATAACGTTGCAAGCAGCCTTCCGTACTCGAGCTGAGAACTGGCAATTCTGCAGATCGGACGGAAGCTGACCGCACGTGATGCTCCGATAGCGGTGGTGCGGCTGCTGCGGATCCTGTTGCGACTGATGTACGCGCGAATTCTGCTACAATTGGTGCTGCTGCTAACGAGGTGCTATCCAGCGCTGCGCCTGATGCAGCTGCAAGCAACCTACGCGAGGCGGAAACGACCCGCACGCTCCTCCTCATCTCTAGCACCACTATGGGTTGTACGTAGAGCAAAGAATTCTGAAAAGCGCCAGGAGCAAGAAGCGCACTCTCGGGTCCTCCTGGGGCCCGCAGCTCACGCGGCGATTAGTCAGTTATGGCGAGTAGTCACACCATCAACCTCGATGGTTCTCACGCTGCTATGGAGTGAACTGGGATTTGTTCATGCATGTGGGTTCCCTTGGGGAAATGGTTCCTTGAAAAGTGTCTGCTCCGACACAGGTCGGTACCCTATACGTTAAAACACACTCAGTATTATAGGAACCATATTATTTGGAACCAAAGACCTTCTATTAATGTCTGAAAGATGTGACTAATCTGAAGTTTGTATTCTTCCACTCTCACAATAACGTCCGTGGGCGAAGCTTGTTGACGGGGCCCAGACCTGTTTGCTTTGGAACCTCATTGGTCAAATGTTGTGAGGTGCGGAAACCCTCGAAGCACAATAATAGGCAGCTTGTTTCGTCAGACCTGTAGATAACAGGGTAACAAATTTGGTTCGGCACCCTTACTTACCGAACCCAGCCGAGCTGAAGGCTGTTTTGAAGTATGGCTTGAGCTCTGTGCTGGAGTGCTCATCCAGCCCGCAGGGCAGCCAATGAGGAGCCAGTCTCATCCACAACAAATTCCATTCCCATAGCATTCCATTGCAATGATTCCCATTACGGACAATTCGAACTGCGATCTCATTTAGGGAGTGCGGGTTTGCAAATGTAATATTTTTCGGGCAGAACCATGCGGCTGCCCGTGTTTAGGGTTGGGGCTCCCCGTGTTTAGGGTTGGGGCTCCCCTAATCGCATGCCATCCAGATGGGGTTTATTTTTTTTCTTACCGCGGGCAGATTACGAACTATCAGCTGCTTCCAGGCGGACTGTTAGGGATCGCATTTGCGAACCGCGCTGGCCTAATTGGATTGCAGCTGATGTTGTCCCATTCCCATTACATGCAGATTTCATGCCATACATCTCAAGTTATCCTGCCAGCAGCCATGGCCTCCTCACGGATCTTCTCAGTCATGGTCCTCCAAATTCCATAGATTAGTGCTCTCATTTTTTTGCTAGACTCTTCCAATCCACTGAACTGCTGGACTTGGTAAATTTTGCACTTTTTTCTATGTAGATTAGATTAGTTATGCTGGCTAGTATGTAGGGTAGGTCTCGCTGGGTTGCTTGCTGAAATCCTGCCGTTGCACGTTTTAGCTTTCAGCTATGAGTTCAGCGGGAGCGGTTTCGGCTGTAACGTCTGATGGAGCCGAGGCTTCAAGGTAATCCACGTATCTCTTCTTCTTGCTAGCCCTGCCATGGCTTCATGGATCTCTGTATTCTTGATCTCATCTCTTCATTTTTTTATTTCGAAACGACTTGATTTTGCCTTCCCTGCGACGTGCATGAGCAGTGCGAGGAAGACGTACACAACCAGCCAGCTGCGGTCTCTCTCGGAGTTCCCAGGGTGCAAGGAACCGCCTTCGGGATTCGATCCGTCGCCATGGAGGTAAGCCGAGCATAATCAGAGAGTGTTTCTGTTTTTTCTTCCGTTCCTTTAGTTCTCCCGAGCACCACTTCATGATGTACGATCCGGCAACCTTTGCAGACCCGGTAACTGATTTCCGCAGGATATCTGACAGTCGTTTTCTTTTTTCGTTTCCAGGGTATTGATGCAGGGATTTGTTCCGGTCACTCAAGGCGTTCATGGGCCACCTCGCCGCGACTGGAACAAGTACGCAGCCACATCATTCTTTCAGACTTCCGTGAGATATAGTTTTGAGGTGCCTCAAATTAAGGCGCTCATGGGCCACCCCTCCACGACTGGAACGAATACGCAGCCGCCGCATCTTTCTGTTAAACTTCCGTAGAATATCTCCTTCTCTTCCGCATACACGTTCGACCGGACCGGTTGAATTTGATCCCTCCAAATTCTCTTCGTCTGTTTCTCCTCAAACAGCAAGTTGCTACTCTCGTTACTTCCATCCTCCCACTTGAATCATCAGCCAAGGCCGGTCGCCACAGGCGTACGAAGGAGGGCCCGAATGGGGGAGAGACGGGCGGAGGTATCCCGGGGGAACCCCTCCTTACAACGGCCCGGGGCCAGGAGGACGTGGCGCTGGCCGTCCGATCTTGGACAAATCCGGCGGCAAATTCCCTGGCGATGGAGCCTTCCCGCCAGGCCCCGGCCAGGTTTTGAACCGTAACCAAGGACAGGGCCAGATGCAGCAGAGCCAGGGAGGGGAGGGCGTGGATCAGCGTGCGGGTGGTCGTGTTGCTCCAGGCAGCCTTCGTCCGCAGTCAGTTGCAGCTGGTGTAGCAGGTGCAGGTGGTGCGGGAGTTGGAGTTGGTGCTGGTCCGCCTGGGGAGAAGGAGCGTGCCGTCGTCACGAGGCTGCAACCTGGCTGGAAGACAGGTGAGCTTGTGAAGTACCGGCGCCACTTTCATTCACTCACAATTTACTCGTTTTGTGCCGAAGCAACACGCCTTTTCATCCCTCTGCATTTTTCTAAGTCCATGTGGTTCAGCGCCGTTTTCTAAATTCGCCGTTTTTAGGTTGAAAGGTGCTGACGTTCCTCTTGCTCACAACACTACCACTGGATATGCAACGTGAACCGACAGATCCGTTTTCACCCTAATCCCCTGCCTCCCCTCTTCTTCCAGACACAAATTCCCGCTCGCATTTCTTCGAGCAGCGGGCCTTCCCCGACCGCACTTCCTCCACGGGCAACAACAGCAGCAGTAGCGCCAGCAGCCAAGCAGGGTGGAGCAAGGACGCTACCGGACCCTCCCCTTCCCCCTCCGCCTTTCCGTCTTCCTCCTCCGCCTCCTCGTCCACCGGCCCCCCTGCCAGCCGGGCATCTGACGCCAGCAGCAGCTGGAGAGCAGGAGGCGCAGGGGGAGCAGGCGCAGGCGGAGGCGCGGGAGGTGGCGGAGGAGGGGGGAAAGCTGACGGCACTGCTGGCGGTTCTGGCGGCGACTTTGGCCCTGGAACTAGGCCGTACGGTGGTGCCTATGGTGCTCCGCATGCTGGTCCGCAGGGGGGATCGTACGGTAGACCCTATGGCGCCGCCAGTAACGCGTATGGCCCGGATAAGCCCAGCAGTGACGGTGCACCTCCAGGGTTTGACGGGTCTGGCCCGGGGTATGGGCTCAGGAGTAGGTACCAGCCCGCGGGGATGCTCGGTAGGGGCGAGAGAGGAGGAGGAAGCGGGGGCGGCAGGGGGTGGGAACGAGGCGGAGGAGAGAGGGGAGGGGGGTATGGGCGGGGTATGGGGGCGCGGGGGTTTGGGGGTGGTATGGGGAGGGGGGGAGGAGGAGGCGATGGCGGATATGCGGGTGCTGCGCCCAGACAGAGGCCACGAGGAGAGGATGACCCTGCACGCAAGGTGAGGCACTTGTGTGAATTCTTAAAAGGAGGAGGAGGGGATGGCGGATATGCGTCTGGTGCTGCGCCCAGACAGAGGGCAAGAGGAGAGGATGACTCTGCACGCAAGGTGAGGCTTGCGCTGTGAGGATTTTACGCAAGTTGAGGATTGCCTTGTTAGAATTCTCAGAAGGAGGAGGAGGGGGGGTGGCGGGTATGCGGGTGCTGCTCCCAGACAGAGGGCACGAGGAGAGGATGATTCTGCTTGCAAGGTGAGGCTTGCATGCAAGAGCTATGCAAAGCAGAGCACTCGTTCTGCTGATTTTTATCACACTATGTCTAATTATTCTAGTTTTGAGGCGCCTCAAATATAGTTTTGAGGCGCCTCAAATATAGTTTTGAGGCGCCTCAAATATAGTTTTGAGGCTCCTCAAGAGCAGAGCACTCGTTCTGTTGATTTTTATTTCACTATGTCTGATTCTTCTGGTCTTATTCATGGTTGGTTGGTTGCTTCGCTCCATGCTTGCTTGCTTGCGTGCGTGCCTGCTTCCTTGCTTGCATGCTTGCATTTTTGCTTGCGTGCTTTTGCGTATGCATGCGTGCTTGCGTGCGTGCATGCCTGCATGATTGCATGCGTGCGTGCCTGCGTGCGTGCAGCCGTATGTGCCGGGGGCGCCACTGATGGTGGAGGACTCGTTCAACGACGAGACGTTCGGAGGGAGCAGCAGAGATGCCAGGCGGATGGAGGAAGAGAAGAGGCGCCGCGGTGAGCTGAGCCCCATCGTCTCTCCCTTCCCCTTCTGCCATCTGGAAATCACTTTTGAGAATTCTCAAAAGTGCCGTCCCTCCCGTCTCTCTCACTCCTGCTGCCCCTCTCTTCTCGCTTTCTTGTCTCAAAATCTTCTTTTCCTGTTTTCATTCGTTTTGTCCCGTTTTGTCTGTTCTCACCCCTTTCCCCTCTCTTCCCTCTGCTCTCACCGCTCCTGTCTCTTGGCCTGGCTCTCTCCTCCTTGCTTCTCGTTTCTCACCCACTCCCCTGATGCTCCGGCCCCATTTTATTCTCACCGTTCATCTTTGCTCGTCTCCCCTTTTCCACTCCCTTCCTGCCTCCAATGCCCTGCCCTATCAGAGGAGTTCGAGCAATTCCGCAGGGCGCAGCATCAGAAGCAGGGAGGCGGGCAGCAAACACCAGGACCCCACGCACCCTCCTCCCTCACCTCCTCCACCACCACCGCGGCTGCTACAACCACTGCAGGCCCTGCAGGCTCAGCAGCCAGGGCGCCGCTGTCGCAGGCAGAGCTGCAGCGCAGGAGGCACGACGAGGACTCTCTTTGGGACTCCCCTGCGCTCTCTGCAGACCAGGAAGAGGGGAGCTCCGCGTATCAGGGCGGCACAACAGCCGAAGAGGACGACTCAGAGCCTCTCGCGTCGCCTCGTGCCACAGAGGATTCAGATTTGGATTTGGACTCGCGCAACGCAGCAGGCTTACCAGCAGCAGCAGCAGCAGCAGGAGGAGGAGCAGCAGCAGCAGCAGCAGGAGCAGCAGCAGCAGGAGGGGCACTGGCAGCAGTGCTGGCGCCGTCTGTGGCGGCGCTTATGGGCCTGGCGCCCTCAGCTCCGCCTGGCTTTCCCGGTGCGGCTGCGCTGGGGGTGAATGCTCCTGCACCTGCTGCTGGTGCTGCTGCTGGTGCGCCTGGGGTGGGTAGCTCTGTAGGAGACGGTGGGGCCGAGGGAGAGAAGCTGGTGGCGTGGCTGGGAGGGATCATGGCTGGGGCAGGCGCTGGTGTGGGTGCTGGTACAGGCGCGGGTGTTGGTGACAGTGATGGTGCTGGTGCTGGGGGAAGTGGGGTGGTGGTGCGCCCGTTGGGTGGGCTTACTCCGCCTGCGATCCCACCTGCCTCTGCGTCTCTCTCGCTGGAAGACGTGGAGAGGGAGCTGCAGCAGTCCGCGACTTTTGAGGCGCCTCAAGAGTTGCAGCAGTCAGCTCGCGCAGATCAACTGAGTGGTGAGGCAGCGGCTGACTCTGCTGGCTCAGTTGTGGGCGTGCGTGCTCTGAGAGGCCAGAGGAGTGGTGTTGACGAGGCAAAGGAAGTAGAGAAGGAGGCAGGGCAGCGTCTCTCTGTGAACGATCTGTTTGCTGGGTCTGGGTTGCTGTCAGCAGGGGTCGAGAGCGCAGCAGGAAGAGGAGGAGAAAGGGGAGGGGACGCACGGGGCGGGTGGCCGGCATTGTCTGGAAGTGTGGCTCTTGCGTCAGACCTAGAGGCAGATGCTGGGGTAGGCTCATTCGGGGTAGATTCTGCTGCAGCTGTGAGCGATCATGGGAAAGTAGATGCTGTGGATGATTCTCCAGTGGGAGTGCTGGTAAAAGCTCCCATGTCTCCGTCGCCGGCCCATCCTCCCATCCCTGAAGGGTCTACCTCCCCTAGCTGGTCCCTGCCTCCAGAATCATCCCTCTTCGGTCCGTCCCCTGACAAGCAAACCAGAGCCGCCGCAGCAGAAGCAGCAGCAGAAGGGGATGCTACATCTGCCGCTGTTGCTCCTGACTTGCAGCTTGATCCCTCGTCTTCTGCTGCTGATGCCACTTCAGCTCTATCCAAGCTACTCGCAGGCAGTGGCAGCAGCAGCACCGCTAGCAGTGGCGCAGGCATGGGCATGGGCACCGGCCCTGGCTTTCAGCAGAGGGGAATTTGGGGAGGCATGGGCTTTGGTGCTCTCTTGGCTGGTGGTGCAGCCGGCACCTCAGCATTTTCCACTGGTCAAACCAGTCAACCAGGTCTTGACTGGTCGTCTGTTTTTGAGGCGCCTCAGAAGTCAACTGCCACGTCAGCATTCTCCACCGGTCAAACCAGTCAACCCGGCCTTGACTGGTCGTCTGGGCCTCTTGGCTCGGGAGCAGCGTGGGGGGCAGCAGGATCGCGGAAAGGGTTTGCGGAGGGCAAGGCAGGGAGGGAGTGGGGCAGCACGGGGGGTTCTGCGAGCAAGAGTGGGGGGAAAGAGAATGGGCTTGACACATCTTTGTCTTCTTCTGGCGCCGCTGCTGCTGAGGCTGCTGGTGGTGCTGGTGCTGCTCTGCTGTGGGGTGAAGGAGGGGAGGTGGGGGGAACACCAGAGGCTTTGTTGGAGATGATGCGAGGGGAGAAGAAGGGGCAGCGGCAGGCAGGCAACGGCAGTGGTGGTGTGATGGATGAGGGCTCTCGGGAGGGGTTGTCTGGGTTTGTTGGAAATGGAGTGGGAGGGGGAGGGAGGGAGGGCAAGGGCAGGAGTGGTGACTCGTCGAGTGGAGATGGCGTTTCGCTTCTGACGCAGCTGTTCACCAATCCCAAGAGCTATGAATCGGTATGTGGGTAGATGCGTGAGAGTTCAATCTTTGAGTCTTGTCGAACATCTATTGGCGACACGAAACCTCAAACAAACAAAAAAACAAACAAACAAACAAAGAATTTGAGCAACTGACAGAGAAGCCAAGATATATATTGGCCGGCTACTTCAGTCGTTTGCATCCATCCATGCTTACTTGAATGGTCCGTTCATTCCTTCCTCTCTGTTCACTGTTCTTCGAAGTGCCTCTTTTTGAGACGCCTCATGAGGACCTGCTTTTCTCGCTGTCCACTTGTGTGGTGCGCTTGGTGCCATGTCGGTCTGTCTGTGGTGACTGGCAGAGCACGTTGGGAGAGGGGGAGACGCTGGGGGCGAGGCTGGCAAGCATTCAGGGTGTGCTGCACCATGCCTCAGCGGCACAACCACCGGGTAGGTCTCACTCACTCACCTTCTCACACCTGCTGTACATTTCGAAGCGACTCAAAAGTCGTCTCAGAACAAGAGGCTGGCAAGCATTTAGAGTGCGCTGCACCATGCCTCAGCGGTACAGCAACCAGGTAGGTCCCTCGCACTCCCTCACCCCTGCCGTAGATTTTGAGGTGACTGAAATGTGATCTCATAACAAGAGGCTGGCAAACATTCAGAGTGCCCTGCATGCACCATGCCTCGGCAGCACAGCAACCAGGTAGGTCTCACGCTCACTCACTCCTAAGAGTTGATTTTTGAGGTATTTCATAACCAGGTGCCGTGCACATTACCACAGCTTCACTTATAACCGAGTATTTCTCACACTCACTCACTCACTTCTTGTGAAACTTCACCAGCCCATTTTCTCACGATAACTTCGGAATAAAAAAACAATGACTTAAGCTTCTGCCAGCTCTATTGCGCAACCCCGCAGCTTCTCATTTTCCAGTCGTTTTGTACATCTTCCTGTCACGTGTTGCCCTCCCTTTCTCCCATTCCCGCTCATCCCTCAGTCTCTTTCTCTGTGTTACCTCTCCCTATCCCTCTCTCTTCAATCCCAATCCCTGCTTCCTAGCAGGCAGTCAGGCACCCCTCCCATCGGCCCACGATGCAGCAGCCATCGAGTCACTCCTGGAGGCACCCTCCCAGCAACTGCTCATTTCTCTCTCTATCACCCCGTTACCTTCCTATCCTTCTTCCCCCCTTCGATCCCTAGCAGGCACTCAGGCACCGCTCCCATCGGCCCACGATGCAGCAGCCATCGAGTCACTTCTGGAGGCACTTTCCCAGCAAGCTGCTCCCACTGCTGCCGCAGCTGCAGCAGGCACTGGCGGCCGCAGCGGCGGCAAAGGCGGTGGCGGCAGCAGCGTTGGTGCTGGCTTTGGCAGTGGTTTCGAAAGCAGGAGCATACCTCTCTCTACCCTCTTTTCTCCTGATCAAGCCACACATTCAGCATCCGTGCCTATAGCTCCTCAACCTGCAAGCGCCAGGGGCAGCAGCAGCATTGACAGCACCACCAATCACAGCAGGGGCGGAAGGGGAGCAGCAGCAGGGCCTTGGCTCCAGCCTGGGTCATCACCCGCTTTAGAAGCCCCCCATGCGTCTGCTGCTACCCTAAACCTTGGAAACATGCCTCTGCCCGTGCCTCTGCCCGTGCCTCTGCCCGTGCCTCTGCCCATGCCTGTGGGACCAAGTCTGGAAGACATTGAGAGAGGGGGAGGTGGGACTGGTGGCGGTGCTTCTGGGATGTCTCTACCATTCCCTTTCCCCTTGTCGTCCCAGGCACCTTCAGGCCAGCTCGTGCAAGCAGAAGGGTCGGGCTCAGGGGTGAGGGTAGGGGGAGGAGGTGTAGGGGGGCCGCTGCCAGCTATGCCAGCAACGGTGCAGTGGCAGAGCTTGGAGGAAATCGAGGCGTCACTGCTGCAGTCAGCCGAAGGGCAGGGGCAGGGGCAGGGGCAGGACGAACACTTGAAATCCGTCAATTCCACTGCTGGTTCTGCCGGTGCTGCCAGTAATTCTAGTTCCGAGACCACGCATGCGCCTGGCTTGGGGCAGCTGCTGGTTCCTGGACTGCTGGCGGCTGGTGAAGGTACAGGTGAAGGGGGGGATGGGTCTGACAATGGTGCGCTGGTTGGGGGAGGGGCGTCTGCTGCTTCCATGCATCTGCTGTCGCTGCTGACAGGCGGGGCACAGGTAGGAGCGGGAGGTGGGCAGGCAGGTGGTGGAGGAGTAGGAGATGTTGTGGTTGTAAAAGGAGCAGCAGCCGCTGCAGCTGATGAAGCGGCTGATGATTTTGTTGCTGGTACTGGGGGATCCGTGGCGTTGGGAGTACAGGAAGAAAAGGGCAGCGCGACTGGTAGTGGTGGTGGTTGTAGCAACGGGCATGTGCATGGACGGGTGGGTGTGCATTCAGATGGAGATGCAGATGGTGGTGTTGAGATTGCTTTTGAAAAGAAGGATGCAAAATCACCTGTTGCTGCTTCTGCTAAGGGGACGGCAGCAGGTGTGGATAAGCAGATGACACCAGACACTAATAAGAAGAAAGAAGTAGGCGCTGGGGACAAGCAGGCAGTAGCAGGTGCTTGTGACCCTTCAAATGCAGGCAGTAAGAGCGGGGAGAAGGGCGATATGGAATCAGGCAAGAAAGTGAGTGGGGAACAATGCTCGTGTGATAAATTCTCAGCTTTAGCAGCAAAAGATGGTGGGGACACCAAACCACCAGGAGCAGAATCAGCAGCAGCGGGAGCCACAGCAGAAGGAGTAGAAGGGCTGGAAGAGGGAGAAATAGGCGGTAGAAACTCTGTAGATGCGCTGCAAGCGAGGAAGGAGACGGCGAAGCAGGAGTCTCGTCCGCAGCAGGTGCAGAGGCCTGGCATTGTGAAGCGGCTGTTTGGGTTCTTCCAAAGCTCCCCGGCCCCTTCCACACCACCACCTGCTGCTGATTCTGCTGCTGCTGCTGCTGCTGCTGCTGCTGCTGAGGAGGAGCGGAAGCAGGTGGGGAAGCAAACGTTAGTCGGGGACAGCCAGGAGGAGAGGGATCAAAAGGGTGGGGAGGGATGTGCCGTGGAGCGAGAGGGCGCAAGAAATGAGGAGCAGGGGAAGGGTGCTGGTGTAGAGGACATGTTGAGAAGCAGCGGCAGCGAGGGCTTGGGTGTAAAGAAGACAGTGAATACTGACACTGGTGGGGTGCAGAGTGGTGCTGAGGCAATACAGATGGGTGGAGAGGAAGGTAATGCAGGAGAGAAAGGGGACTTGGGGGAGCAGAAGGAGGGGGGTGGAAAGGGAAGCGTGCAAGATACAGGCGGCCAAGGCAAGCAATTGGACAATTGTAACACGGAAGAGCAAAACCTGGAGCAGGAGCAGAAGCAGGAGCAGCGGGAACAGCAGCAACAGCCTACCTCTCCTTCCCTCGCCATACCGGTCCCTATGCACCAATCCATGTCCCCCTCTCCACAGCCCCATCCTCTGCCTATGCATTCTCTCCCCCACACCATGCACTCTCCACAGCCCCATATGCCCCCGTACCCTCATCAGCTGCCCTTCCTTCACTTGCTTCAGAAAACAGGTGACTCCCACCCACATGCTGTGCCTGGTAGTGCCTTGCCACCCTGGCTCGCAGTAGAGCCAGGCCGACCTCCTGAATACCAGCAGCACCACCAGCAGGACCAGCAGCAGCAGCTGCAGCATCAGCAAAATCAGCAGCACCAGCAGCATCACCTGCAGCAGCAGCACCAGCAGCATCAGCAGCAGCAGCAGCAGCAGATGCATCCTCATGCACCTATCCAACAGCATCCAGGACTCATCCCCTCACCCTTCCCGCCTGGCATGCCATTTCCACCAGTAATGCCTCCCCCAAATACCCCTCCCCAAGGCATACCTTCCCAAGCCATACCCCACCCAGGTCTCCCCCCTCCTGGCATGTACCCACGTCCCATGCTTCCCCATGGCAGAGGCCCATTCGCGTTCCTGCCTCACCACTTGTCTCCACATCCCCCCAACCACTCTTCCCCCTCCCCCTTCTCCTCCCCTCCCCCGTTTCCTGGTGCGCACCCCCCTGACCGCCCCCTTCTGCATTTCTTCCCTCCCCCTGGCGGTTCCCCCAATCGGCCCCCCCATAGCCCCCTTCCCCCTCACGAGTTCCCTCATGGTGTCGGTTCTGCACCGCACTCCACTGCTCCTCACCCCTCTCCACTGCATACTGTATCAGGAGGAGCCAGTCCTGCACCAGCAGTTCTAGGATCCTCCCCTCCTCTGGATGGTGACGCAACTGCTTCCAGTCAAGAAAGTCAACCAAGTCAAGGAAGCCAAGGGGGTCAAGCAGGAGCAGGAGGAGGAGAAGGAGAGGGGGAATTAGCGGCTGCAGGGGCGCTTCTTTCACCAACACCTGTGCAGCAGCATTCCCAGCAGTTTAGCCCGCACTTCATGCACACCCCACCCAGGCAGCAGCACCACCAGCAGCAGCAGCAATCTGGCGTTCAATCTGCTCCTGTCACTCCAGGGCCCCCTGTCCATGCATCCCATGCAACCATTCCATTCCCCCATCCCCACAGCCCCTTCAACCATCCCCATCCCCACCTGCTGCATCCTGCTATGGCCTTTTCTCCAGTCCGATCGCCCATGCACGCGCCCATGCACGCGCCCATGCATGCACCCATGCATGCACCCATGCATGCACCCATGCCTATGCCCATCCCCATGCACATGCACATGCACATGCAGATGCATCCATCCATGCCGCCCCAGCATGCTAGTCCCACTCCTCCCGACACCTCTGCTCCTCCTGTTGCTCCTGCACCACCCGCTCATCTTCCCAGTTAGGCACTCCAAAATTTCATATTAAGTGAAAGAACGATGCATTAATTCTCCGTGGACAGGGCTCAACAAGCAGAGTTGTCTGGTTTAATGAACCTGCGTCGTGGCCAATGTTTCCTGCTTGACTAGTTCCCTGCGGCGTTGCACCGTGTTTCCACCATTGCTGCATGTAATCTGTTCGACATGCAGCTGACGTGCCCTCCTTTATTGTCACCATCATTATATCTCGACTGTGTGCTGGCCCTGCGAGGGATTCTCAATGCTGATTAACAGTTCAATCCGACTTGCTGAATGCAAACTTATCCCGTTTCATTCTCAACTCTTTCTACATACTGGAACTTAGTTTTCCATTCACATGGCCCTGCTTTATTGCAGAACACCATCATGTGTCAGGTTTGTGTCTCCAACGAGTTCATTGGTCATGGCAATGTGCTGCAAACTTCCCAAAATCGATGTCACATTTGCAATTTGATGAACGTACATTCACTCTCCCCTCCATTGATGTCCTTTTCATAAGTCAGGTTCAGCAGTCTTCACTGCTGTAAACATACAGTACAGTACGAATTGGGAGCTACAGTGGATCAAGGGGCTGAAGCAAACCAAACTCGTGCTTGTACAGTGTTGCAACTCGGTTGCGAGGCTGTAGTCTTTCTGTGCACCAATTCTTTGTGTCTACAGTACAAGCCAAAGCGAAACATTTTCAATAAATGCACCCCCCTGGCTGCTGAGCCCAGCTAAACACAACGCGCCCAGTGGAAGGTGCAAGTGTGACCAGCACTGTAGAATTTTTGGGGGACACTGCACGTAACACAGAGAGACCAATGAGCGCATGCAACATTCCGATGGCTACTTCAATACACTTCAGGTTCCGTTCATGTAAGGAATTACGGAAAGTTAGAAATGGTGGAACAAGTTAAGGGTGATAAAGAGCCAGAGGAGAAGAGAAAGGCCGCAGAAGTGCGGCAAACCTCAGGTTCCGTTCTCGTTTGACGTAGGTGGGGAGCGGATGCCTTGCTGTGCCGTGTCACCACACCAGCTCTGGGAAGCCGGCCACAGCACAGACAAGCTGCCGACGGTGGGGAGAATAAAAACGTTTACGGCATGCCGAGTGCGGACGGGGTAGCCCCGAACATCCTTGGGGTTCCCCGTGTTAGTTTCGCTTCCACCCGTCTGCTGGTTCGGAAGATGTATTTTCAGCCAAATCTTAAATTGATTGTTTGCCCAGCTACCAGCAAGGGTTTGTGCCGTACGCTGGGTAGGCTGAGGGCTTATCCTGAGAGCACTTTGGACTAAATCCATGACTAGCTCTTAACTGGGCGTGGTCAGGGGAGTTAATAGCTTTCGAACTGGGGTGTCACCTGGTCAGCTGGGATGTTATAGCCTGAAAGTCTTCGACAAATGTTTCGGGGAGAGCGCACCAGGAAAACAAAATATGTATAGCTAGGAGGAGAGACTGCTCTGAGGATGATGCTATACAGCAGCTTGGGTAATCATAGGTCAGAAGTATACAGTTGTGACAAGTTGAATCGACCCAGACTTGTTGTGTCAGGGTTCTACAATGGGCAGGCTTCCTGAAGATCCATACGAAATAAAAATAAGGGAAAATCACTAACGAGTGTGGAGGACGTCAAGGAACACGATGTTCTGAACAAGTTACGACTGTGGATAGACCTTTTGTGCATAACTGCTTCGTTTTACTGTATTCATGTCTGATTAGAAGAGTTTCGCTTCCACTCGAGCAATTTATTTTGGCATCTTGTGTGATGTGGCGTGAAGTGCACGGATGAGCAAACAAGCCGGCCTGTTTCCGGCTTGTGTACAGTACTGTATTTCATCCTTGTGTGCAAGCGGAGGCAGATTGATTTCAGGACAAAAGGCTCTCCTTGGTTCACACATTCCTTGGCTCGCAGGAATGCACGAATCACATCGCTTCGATTGATGCCAAACTGCGCCTCCACCACTCACAGTTCCGCTTGGTCCTATCACGCGTGCGGGGATTTCCCGTCAGTACAGTAGCCGTCTCTTCGGTACACTGTACGGAAGTGGGTCGGTCGGTTGGGTTCCCCCCACACCCCGCCAATACGAATGGAGAGAAATGTGAGGGAAGCGGAAAATGTCAAGATTCCTACCGCCGATCTCCAAATAATTCAACCGAACTCGACCTATGAAATTAGTGAGTCAAAGTGGCTGTGTGACGGTTCTGGGAAACGCGTTGCACGAATGAAGAGAACAAGAATCCCGCCAGCCTCTCATATCCATTGTAAATCTCAACCAAGACTCATTTCGTCTTGTCTCTCCCAACCAATTGATTTCATATCTCCTTTTTGCCAACCAATCTCCTCAGTGATTTCTATCAGCAAGCCACACTAGTGAATAAACAATATTTCCCTCACGTCCCACCGGCGCTCGACCACTCACTGACTGCCCCGAGAGCCATTTTTCATCAGACACGGGCCTAAATGGACCGATTCACTCCGCAGCATTCCTCGGAGCTCGCGCGTCGCTGCATTTTCAGCGACCTGCTCGGCGAGGGCCAGTCGGGACGCGTGTGGCGCTGCGTCGACCGCGCGACGGGGGAGGCCTTCGCGTGCAAGCAGGTGAACAAGCGCGGGCTGTCCCCCGCGGCGGAAGCGGATCTTCAGCGCGAAATCACCCTCCTAATCATCCTCCAAGGCCACCCTAACATGCTGCGACTCGACAGTCTGTACGAGGACGCAAAAGCCGTCTACATTCTCACGGAGCTCTGCGACGGCGGCGATCTATTCGGGCTGCTCGCGGAGCATCCGCGCGGGCTCGATGAGCGCACGGTTGCGCGGATCTTCGCGCAAGTTGCGCGCGCCGTGCAGTGGTGTCACGACCACCGCGTCGTGCATCGGGATATCAAGCCGGAAAACATCCTCATTTCGCGCCGCCAATCAGCTCTTCCCGACACCGCGGACGCCGACGCCGCCGCCGCCGCAGCGGGGGAGGCGGAGTACGACGTGCGGCTCGGGGACTTTGGGCTCGCGTACCAGCTTCCGCGCGACAAGTGCATCGTGGGGCTCGCGGGGAGCGCGCCGTACGAGGCGCCCGAGGTGCTCGCGCGCGCGCCGTACGGGTGCGAGGCGGACGTGTGGTCGCTGGGCGTGCTGCTGTACGCGCTGCTCTCCGCGTCCTGGCCCGCGTTCCGCGCGGGCGAGCAGAAACTCGTCCCCGCGGAGGACTTCGGGTACTTCCCCTGGCGGAAGAATGCGCGCGCCGATGGGGGGAAGCGTGAGGTATCGTGGGCGGCTAAGGATCTGATCTGCCGCATGATGACCGTTGATCCTCAGGAGCGGATCGACATCGATGGTATTCTGGAGCACCCGTGGCTGGTTCGTTATGAGACGCACTCAAATGCTGCTGCTCCCGTGGCGGAAACGAGGGAAGACACGTCAGCAGCCACAGCCCTCAAGAGAGGGCCCACAATGGCTAAACAATCGGCGGCGGCGACTGAACAACAATACGACGAGGCGTATGTCGAAGAATACGGCGAAGTATATGATGACACCTATGACCAAGCATGCGAGTCAGCTTATAACGAGGACCAGCATGCGAAGCATGGAAATATGGCAGAGTCAAGGAAGCAGGGCGCTGCTGACGTGGACGAAGAGAATGCATATGGCAAGATGGCGGCGTGTACTGACAGCCGCTCGAGCGATATGACAAGCATCAGCAGCAGCAGCGTTGCGCTCAGCATGAGCAGCAGCAGCGACACTAGAACCAGCAGCACCACCCCCAACAGCAGCGGCTGCAGCTCTAGCTTCTCAGGAAGGACCATCCTCAAATCCTTCTCCTCCTCTTAGTCACCATAACGACACCTCCACCGCCTCAAATGCAGCAACTCCAACTCGTTGCTGCTTCCACCGTAATTACTCCTCACCACTCCTCCGATTCACTGTAATTACCATAGTTACCTCCGCGATTACATCCCGTTGCAGCTTTTTAGAGCTACCTGGGATATTCTAGGTAGCTCGTGCACGTGCTTGCTGCATTCACCCTTTCCAGATGTCTTTTGGTTTTGAGACGGCTCAACAGCCATGGCGCAAGATTTGCCTTGGCTGCATTCATTCAGATGGTTTCGCTAGCCCCCCCGAACAGGGAGGCGTGTTTTTGCCATGTACTGAAATTTTACTCCGCTTGGAGCTTGAATAGTGCCAAGGCTGAATCTGTGTGCAAAAGATGGCCGGACCTGAAGTAGCAGAGCAAGGCCTGCATGGTCCAACAAGAGAGGAAGTTAGAATGTCACAAAAGAAAGCTTTCACAGGGGGAGTACACAGGGGTGTGTGAGAAATGGAATGCGCATGCAGATTGAAAAGCTACGCTAGGCCGCACAAGAGACGGGGCTCACATGTAATGAGTGAAGGTGCTTATGAACGATGCAGGCAGGTGAATGTGAATGCCGGGTGACAACTAAAGCATGCAGGAATGGAACATGCATAACGAAACGCCACTAAGCTGGACAGGAGACGGACGGGGCTCACATGGAAGGAACGAACATGGTGGCTTCTGGACTGGACCGTGCAAAAAATGATGACACTTAGGATGGGTAAATAAACATGCAGGACAAAAAGCTACACTAGGATGTACAAGAGACGGGGCTCACATGGAAGGAACGAACATGGTGGCTTCTGGACTGGATGATGCAGGAGACAGGGCTCACATGCAGGTGACTGTTGATGCCGGGTGGGCCGGCAGGATGATGCAGGTCACTTGGTTGATCACTTGGTTGATCACTTGGTTGATCACTTGGTTGATCACTTGGTTGATCACTTGGTTGATCACTTGGTTGATCACTTGGTTGATCACTTGGTTGATCACTTGGTTGATCACTTGGTTGATCACTTGGTTGATCACTTGGTTGATCACTTGGTTGATCACTTGGTTGATCACTTGGTTGATCACTTGGTTGATCACTTGGTTGATCACTTGGTTGATCACTTGGTTGATCACTTGGTTGATCACTTGGTTGATCACTTGGTTGATCACTTGGTTGATCACTTGGTTGATCACTTGGTTGATCACTTGGTTGATCACTTGGTTGATCACTTGGTTGATCACTTGGTTGATCACTTGGTTGATCACTTGGTTGATCACTTGGTTGATCACTTGGTTGATCACTTGGTTGATCACTTGGTTGATCACTTGGTTGATCACTTGGTTGATCACTTGGTTGATCACTTGGTTGATCACTTGGTTGATCACTTGGTTGATCACTTGGTTGATCACTTGGTTGATCACTTGGTTGATCACTTGGTTGATCACTTGGTTGATCACTTGGTTGATCACTTGGTTGATCACTTGGTTGATCACTTGGTTGATCACTTGGTTGATCACTTGGTTGATCACTTGGTTGATCACTTGGTTGATCACTTGGTTGATCACTTGGTTGATCACTTGGTTGATCACTTGGTTGATCACTTGGTTGATCACTTGGTTGATCACTTGGTTGATCACTTGGTTGATCACTTGGTTGATCACTTGGTTGATCACTTGGTTGATCACTTGGTTGATCACTTGGTTGATCACTTGGTTGATCACTTGGTTGATCACTTGGTTGATCACTTGGTTGATCACTTGGTTGATCACTTGGTTGATCACTTGGTTGATCACTTGGTTGATCACTTGGTTGATCACTTGGTTGATCACTTGGTTGATCACTTGGTTGATCACTTGGTTGATCACTTGGTTGATCACTTGGTTGATCACTTGGTTGATCACTTGGTTGATCACTTGGTTGATCACTTGGTTGATCACTTGGTTGATCACTTGGTTGATCACTTGGTTGATCACTTGGTTGATCACTTGGTTGATCACTTGGTTGATCACTTGGTTGATCACTTGGTTGATCACTTGGTTGATCACTTGGTTGATCACTTGGTTGATCACTTGGTTGATCACTTGGTTGATCACTTGGTTGATCACTTGGTTGATCACTTGGTTGATCACTTGGTTGATCACTTGGTTGATCACTTGGTTGATCACTTGGTTGATCACTTGGTTGATCACTTGGTTGATCACTTGGTTGATCACTTGGTTGATCACTTGGTTGATCACTTGGTTGATCACTTGGTTGATCACTTGGTTGATCACTTGGTTGATCACTTGGTTGATCACTTGGTTGATCACTTGGTTGATCACTTGGTTGATCACTTGGTTGATCACTTGGTTGATCACTTGGTTGATCACTTGGTTGATCACTTGGTTGATCACTTGGTTGATCACTTGGTTGATCACTTGGTTGATCACTTGGTTGATCACTTGGTTGATCACTTGGTTGATCACTTGGTTGATCACTTGGTTGATCACTTGGTTGATCACTTGGTTGATCACTTGGTTGATCACTTGGTTGATCACTTGGCCAGTCACTTAACCAGGACTACAAAATCACTTGGTCACAGGCGGGGCGATGCGATGCTTTTGAGGCGCCTCAACACTTGGTTGATCGCTTGGCCAGTCACTCAACCAGGACTACCAAATCACTTGGTCACAGGCGGCGCTATGCTGGGCAGGATCTTGGCCAATAGCTGCGTGCCACATGGCGGGCTGCCATGCGCGATGGCAGAGGTCATGTCTGGCAGCTGCCTCTCCAGCATGTCGTATGCATCGGCAAAGGCCTATTGGGGTTGGGGGGGTGGATTGAGGTTGAGAGAGGTGGAGGGAGGAGGTGGATTGAGGTGAGTTTGATGGCAGAGGTCATGTCTGGCAGCTGCCTCTCTAGCATGTCGTATGCGTCGGCAAAGGCCTGATGGGGTGGGAGAGAGTGGCAGGAGACAGGGGGCAAGGGGAAGGGTTCATGCAGTACATGCACAAGCAGGGAAGGGAGATGGCAGAGGTCATGTCATGTCTGGCAGCTGCCTCTCTAGCATGTCGTATTCGTCGGCAAAGGCCTGATGGGCGGGTGGAGAGTAGCAAGGAGAGGGTTTCATGTTTTATGTGCACAAGTGGGAAGGGCGATGGCGGAGGTCATGTCTGGCAGCTGCATCTCCAGCATGTCGTACGCGTCGGCAAAGGCCTGATGGTGGGGGGAGGGGGTTGGGGGAGGTTGGGGGAGGTGAGGGGAGGTGGAGGGAGGTGGCAGTGGTGAGTTTGATGGCAGAGGTCATGTCTGGCAGCTGCCTCTCTAGCACGCGTCGGCAAAGGCCTATTGGGGTGGGGGAGAGCATGGGGGAGCAGGCAGAGGAGAATCGAAACAGGAGGCAGGGGTGGACTAAAGGAAAGAAGTCATGTCTGGCAGCTGCCTCTCTAGCATGTCGTATTCGTCGGCAAAGGCCTGATGTGATGGCAATATAAGGGAGGGTAGATGAGGAGGATGGGAGCAGGTAGGCAGAGACGAGTGAAGGGCGGGAATGGAACGGGGTTCAGTGAATGCATAATACGTTAGCTTCATGCATGAATGCATCAAGTGCACACACCTCGGTGCACCGCCTCACACCTTGGTGCACCGCCTCACACCTTGGTGCATTGCAGGATGCGGAAGCAGTTGCGGCCGACATTGTTGGTTGGATCCAATGGGTCCTCTATGTGTAATGGGTCGATGCTGCATGAATACATGTACACACATCCCAACACACGTGCACACATCCACACACATGCGCACAGATGCACACACGTGCTAACATGCATATGTGCATTTGGGTGCACAGACATGCACAGTTGCACATGCACACAAAACACCCACACATGCCCATACGCACATGCACAAACACACACGTGCGCGGCCACACACACAAAACGTGTGGGGACTTGAAAACATGAAACCAGCGAAGTCGATTAATTTAGGCTATTCAGGCGAAGTGTGCAACAGACAAAAGATGGATGCTCGATGCATGATACAAGGAAGATCAGAAGACATTCACAGATACCAACACTGGCCTTGAGATATGATAGTGGAGCTACGATGCTGGAAAACTCCCATAGTTCCACCAAAAAGAAAAAATAAGAAAGAAAGAAAGAAAAAAAAAACAATTTCCAAAAAAAAGGATGAGGAAGCTTCCTGGCAAGCATGTGTCACCTCTGGGAGCGGTCGCGCTCGAGAAAAGCCCCTCCGAGCCTGATGCTGGCAGCCATGCGCCGCGGGTCAAACACACAGCTGTCGGGTGGGGTGGGTTGGGTGGGTGGGGTGGGGGGTGGGAATGTGGTTGTTGAGAGAGAAAAGGCGATATTTTCCAGGCTGATGCTGGCAGCCATGCGCCGCGGGTCAAACACACAGCTGGTGGGCGGTGGGGAGAAGGGAGAGGAGAGACAAAGCGAGGAGGTCAGGAGAGCAGCTGGGGGTTGAGAAGCGATACTGAAGCTCGAGAAAGGCCCCTCCGAGGCTGATGCTGGCGGCCATGTGCCGCGGGTCAAACACACAGCTGTTGGGAGGGGTGCGGTGGGTTGGGGTGGGATGGGGTGTGTGGGGGTTGAGAGAGAAAAGGTAATCCCTCCGAGCCTGATGCTGGCCGCCATGCGCAGCGGGTCAAACACACAGCTGTTGCGGGAGGAGAGAGAAGCAGGAGTGGGGGAGGTGGTGGGGGGGAAGAGGAGGGGGAAGGGGGGGTGAGGAGGGGGGGTGGGGTTGAAAGAGAAAATACGATACGCCTTGTGAAGCTAAAAAAGGCACATCGAGGAGCGAGGGGAGAGAGTCGTGTGGAGACAAAGGAGAGTGGGGTAGGCAGGCTGAGGAAGTGGAAGGGTGGGTTGGGAAACCATGGAAGTCAGGGAAGCATTTATACATGCACGCACACATGCATGCACTCAATCATGTGTGCACGCAACCATGTATACGCATTCCGGCACATGCAAGCACCCACACATGTACGCACCCACACATGCATGCACACATGGCCTCACCCATAGAAGTGCAGGAAGTCGAGCAGCAGCGAGCCCAGGTTCTGCCACTGAGGCGAGCAGGCAGACAGGTTGTGATGCCTAGCATACAGGCACCAACCTACGCATGAACCCACTCATGCACGCATGACTCTGTGAGGTGCGCACCCATAGAAGTGCAGGAAGTCGAGCAGCAGCGAGCCCAGGTTCTGCCACTGAGGCGAGCAGGCAGACAGGTTGTGATGCTTAGCATACATCCATACACCTATTCATGAACCCATCCATGCACACATGGGCATGAGTCACGCACCCATAGAAGTGCAGGAAGTCGAGCAGCAGGGAGCCCAGGTTCTGCCACTGAGGCGAGCAGGTTGACAGGCAGTGACCCCTGGCATGCATGCGTGCACCTATGCATACACCCCCACCCCCATCTATGCATGCGTGGGCACACATGGCCTCACCCATAGAAGTGCAGGAAGTCGAGCAGCAAGCTTCCCAGGTTCTGCCACTGAGGCGGGCGGCCGATGTGCGGCTGGATCTGCAGGAAACGCGTTATCAGCAGCAGCTGGGGAGATGGGTTACAGGGGAGAGGAGCGAGGGGGGGGAAGGGATAAAGGTAGGGTGGAGTGGTGAGCGGAGAGTAGAGATGGGAAGCGGGCGGCCGATGTGCGGCTGGATCTGCAGGAAGCGCGTTATCAGCAGCAGCTGGCGAGTGGGTGGCGTGGGAGAGGGAGGAGGGGGAAGGGTAAAAGGTAAGTGAGGATGGGTAGGGAAGAGTAGAGGTGGGAGGGGGTGGGCGGCCGATGTGTGGCTGGATCTGCATGAAACGCGTTATCAGCAGCAACTGGTGATTGGGATAGGAGAGGAAGGGGTGGGGGGAAGAGAAAAGGTAGCATGGGTTGGTGAGGGGAGGAGGTGGGCGGCCGATGTGTGGCTGTATTTGCAGGAAACACGTTATCAGCAGCAGCTGGTGGTTTGGAGGGGAGTGGGGAGGGGGAAGGGAAAAGGTGAGCTGAGAGTGATGTTACACAGGAAAAGCTTTTTGAGATCTTCGAGGGGCATGGCCAAGGCAAAGGGACAGTGTGAGTGAGGAGGGGGAGGAGTGCGTGTGAAGGCAAAGCAGGAGGACAGGGAGACGGGTGAGAGCCAACACTCACGAGACAATAGGCGGAGGGGAAGGGGAGGGAGGGCGGGTCACAAACTATACGGCAGTATGAGAAGGAGGAGGGGGGGCGGGTTACGGGGGGCTGGTTACCAGGGTGGGTTACGGGGGGCTGGTTACCAGGGCGGGTTACAGGGGGCTGGTTATGATATGACTCACGAGGCAGTAGGAGGAGAGGCCACCCGTGTAGGGATGGTCGAGGCTGCCTCACCCCGTTTGTGAGAATGCGGAGTGAAGAGCACAAGAGAGACCACAGAACAAGGGGTTGGGGGGAGAGGGGGGGGGGGGGGGGGGTGGGGTTGACGACTCACGAGGCAGTAGGAGAGGCCGCCGGTGTAGGGATGTTGGAGGCTGCGATCTGTGAGGAGGTGGCGAGGAGAACACAAGAGAAACTATGGAACAAGAGGGGTGCGGGTGTGGGGAGGGGGGTCCGACGGACTCACGAGGCAGTAGGAGGAGAGGCCGCCGGTGTAGGGATGGTCCAGGCTGCGGTCTGTGAGGAACTGCTTCAGCACCAACGCCAGCGGTGGGATGGCTGGAAACTGCGCTGTTAGCTCCCGCACCTGCAGCGGGCACACAGAAAAGCGAGGGGCGGGGAGTGGAGGTTAAATGGGGCACGTATGAGGTTTCAGGCTGCGATCGGTGAGGAACTGCTTCAGCACCAGAGCCAGCGGTGGGATGGCTGGGAACTGCGCCGTTAGCTCCCGCGCCTGCGAGATGAACAAGGCGAGTGGGGGCGAGTGGAGGGGAGGGGAGAGGGGGGTGGGTGAGTAACATACAGGGCACCTGTCAGTCTGTGATGAACTGCTGGAGCACCAGGGCGAGTGGTGGGTGGGTGGGTGGGTGGGATGGCTGGGAACTGCCATCTGACTGCTGTCAGCTCACGCACCCGTGGGGAGCAAGGGCAAGCACAGGGGAGAGGGAGAAAGTAGGAGGCGAGGCTTCATGCTGCCATGCAGACAGTTCTGTGATGAACTGCTTGAGCACCAGAGCGAGTGGTGGGTGGGTGGGTGGGTGGGTGGGTTGGATGGCTGGGAAGGGAACGTGTGCTGTGAGCTGCTTGAGCAAGCTGGTGCCGACAGAAGCACGCCTCAGCAGCAGCTCTTCTGTGCAAAGACCAGCCAACGTTTGAGTCAACGTTTTGAACAGCAGCTCTTCTGTGCTTCAGCTGGCCCGTCGAGTGTTTCAAACGTTGACTTGACCGGCCTTGACTCACAAGGATGCCTCATATCACACACACCGACTCACCAGCTCAGCAGTGCGCAGGCCCTAGTGTGAGCCGCCCCACCTTCAAAGCTGATGTCAAGGCACACGTTGCGCCGGTCATCCAATTGCCCCATGGGCGCAGTCCTCACAGCAACTCACCAGCTCAGCAGTGCGCAGGCCGGAGTGCGAGCCACCCTCAAAGCTGATGTCCAGGCGCACGTTCCGACGGTCGTCCACATTGCCCCATGGGCCCCTCGCCCCCCCCCTCACCACCTGCACCTGCACCTCCCCCGCCCCCGCTGCTGCTGCTGCCTTTGGAGTCGTCTCAAAAGACAACTGCACCTGCTGCACCTGCACCTCTCCTCCCGCTGCTGCTGCTGCCTTGGGAGTCGTCTCAAAAGCCACTTGCACTTCCCCACTCCCTCCTGCTGCTTTTTCAGTCGTTTCAAAAGGCATCTGCACATCTCCTCCCCCTGTCACCACCCCCTCTCTTGCCTCTGTTTTCTCCAACCCCTCTTCGCAGCAGCAGCGGCAGCAGCGGACACAGCAGAAGAAGAAGCGGACGCAAAGCAGATGCATAAGCAGAACGGGAAGCAGAAGCAGAAGCAGCAGCAGCAGCAACAGCACCACACAGAAGCAGACTCATAAGCAGCAGCAGGAGCAGAAGCAGAAGCAAGAGCAATTAGAAGTATAGGCATAAGTAGAAGCAGAAGCAGGAAATTCCAAACAAGTGCAAGCAGCACTGCAATCTGGCTCTGGTCTCACCTGCCCTAACAAGTGAAACTGCTCACCTCCTGCGGTTGCAGTCGCCACGTCAGCAGCAGCCACGTCAGCAACAGCCACGTCAGCAGGGACGGCGTCGGCAAGGATGCCCGGAGCCACATCAGCAGCGGCAGCAGGCACCACGTCAGCAAGGACGGCAGGCGCCACGTCAGCAAGGACGGCAGGCGCCATGTCAGCAGAGAGGCGGGATGTGTGGGCGGGGAGGCGGGCAACGAGCATGATGATGGGCACCATGGCGTTCTCAATGGTCTTGATCGAGTCGCTCTTCACCCAATCCTGGTCCGCCAGGTGGCGCGCCGCGTGCTGCAGACACGTCTCCTTGATGCCGTTGCGCCCCTCCAGAATACCCGCCTCTTTTATCGGCTCCTATTGACGTGCAGATGGAACAATGGGTGGGGGGATTTGCACGGTACGGAGGGAAGAAAGGGAAGTAAGCACATTGGTACAAGCTCAAGACGTCTCCTTGGTGCCGTTGCGTTGCGTCCCTCCAATATTCCTGCCTCCTTTATGGGCTCCTGTGGACATGCGGATGCAAGGAGGGATTGGATCGCAGGATGGGAGAGAGGGGAAGAGAAAGTAAACACGCTGTTGACGCGACTGCAGGGTAGTAGGGCGAGATAGCATGAGAGAGCGACTCCTAACACACAGCACAAGAGAGAGGGGAAGATGTCGGTGCATCATGACGTCACCAGGTTTCTGACAGGCGGCAGGTGAACGAGGATGTCGACGTCACTGGAGGGCAGGGCGAGCGAGCATGTGAGGCCCACCTTAGCCCACACCAAACATGAGAAGAGGGGGAGGAGCACCTGATACCCTCACTCACCAGGTTTCTGACAGGCGGCAGGTGAACGAGGATGTCGACGTCACTGGAGGGCAGGGCGAGGCCCGTGGCGTTTGAGCCGAATATCGACACTCGGGAGCGCGGCCAAAGCACCTGCGAGCGGACAAGCAAACCCAAGGGCCGGGCGAAAGCACAGTAGGGGAAATGAGCGTGAGTGTTGGCACCGCCACCAGCGTTTGAGCCAAAGACGGACACTCGGGAGCGCGGCCACAGCACCTGAAGGGGACAGGCAACCCCGGTAGGCAGGTGGCAGAACAGTAGGGGAATGCGCGTGAGTGGGGGTGGCAGGGATATGATCTGGTCGTCTTGCAGTAGGGGCGAGGCCCGTGGCGTTGGATCCGAAGATGGAGACGCGGGAGTGCGGCCACAGCACCTGCAGGGGGATGGGATGTGCACAAGCAGGAGCGCGGAGCATGCAATAGTAGGGGGAATGAGCGTGAGAGTGGCGTTGGGCGTCTTGCAACAGGGACGAGGCCTGTGGCGTTGGAGCCAAAGATGGACACTCGGGAGCGCGGCCACAGCACCTGCAGAGGGGCAGGCAACCCGGGGTGGCAGCACAAAAGCAGGAATGTGTGTCACTGTGGGCGTTGAGTGTTTTGTTGTCAAGCAATAGGGGCAGTGCCCGTGGCGTTGGAGCCAAATTTGGACACTCGGGAGCGCGGCCGCAGCAGCTAAAGGGGGCATGCAACCCCACCCAAGGGCCGGGTGGTAGCACAATAAGGGAATGCACGTAAGCACGGCATAGAGGGTTATAGAGGGTGCTGGGTTGGAGCCAAAGATGGACATTCGAGAGCGCGGCCACAGCACCTGAAGGGGCTGGTGCAAGGATGAGGGATGGTGCACAAGAGGTGATTGAGATCTGAATGAGCGTGGACATGGGTGTCATAATGGGTGTTCGGCCGTCTCACATCAAGAGTAGGAAGGAAGGTGTGCGAAAAGCTAAGGTCCGAGTATATATACGTTCTCAAGGGATGAGCACACTTGCCTCAAGGGCCAAGTGTGCGAGAGAGGCAAGAAATGAGGTGGATTGTGCTTTATTAAACTTTTGGGTTTGCCCCACCCCCCCCCCCCCCCGCCACCTGCAGCATACCACCCACCCACCCATTTACACACTCAGCACTCCACGTTCCACCCACCAACATGCAGTGTGCCATGGTGTCACCCACTCACCTGCAGCGTGCGCGAGACTTTGGTGATAGCAGCGAGCTGGTAGGGCTTGCGGGCGCGCATCTCCCCCATCACCTGCAGGCAGAACGCCTCGATCTCCTCGTGCAACGCGCTGTGCAGCGCTGCCAATGCTGGCTGGGATGAGGGGTCGCCCCGACAGCAGCGATCCACCGGGATGATAGTGGGCAGCTGGTGAGGGAGAGTATGGGGGGAGGGGGAAGAAGGCGCGATTGATTGAGAGTGGTGGAGTCAGCGGGCGGGAAGCGGAACGCCTCCATCTCCCCCATCACCTGCAGGCAGAACGCTGCGCTGCCAGTGCCGGCTGGGAGGAGGGGTCGCCGCGACAGCAGCGATCCACCGGGATGATTGTGGGCAGCTGAAGGGGGGTTGGGGGAAGTGGGGAAGACGGGAAGGGGGAGTAAGGGTGCCATCTCCCCCATCACCTGCAGGCAGAACGCCACTATCTCCTCGTGCAGTGCGCTGTGCAGTGCTGCTAGAGATGGCTGAGAGGAAGGGTAGCCCCGACAGCAGCGATCCACCGGGATGATAGTGGGCAGCTGGGGGAAGGGAGGGGGAAGTGGGGAAGACGGGAAGGGGGAGTTAAGGTGCCATCTCCCCGATGACCTGCAGGCAGAACGCCTCTATCTCGTCGTGCAGTGCGCTGTGCAGCGCTGCCAGTGCTGGCTGGGAGGAGGGGTCTCCCCGACAGCAGCGATCCACCGGGATGATTGTGGGCAGCTGGGGGAGGGGGAGGTGAGGGGAGGGGAGAGAATTCAGCACAAACTTTTGTCAATAATCCACAGTCAGATATTCAAACTTGAACATGTCTAGGGCACCCTATCGACTGTCAGACACCATTCACCGTGTCAGCTCTCACCTTGACTGGATCGAGAGCGAGGGGCGGCACCAGTGCTCTCACTCCTTCCGGAACCGCCCTGCCTCCCATCCCCATCGCCCTCACCCCTCCCATCAGCCCCTCTCCACCACCACCACCTCCTCCTCCCGCTTCATTCCCCCCCTGTCCACCACCCATTGCTGCAGCTGCTGCAGCAGCGGCGGCGGCAGCAGCAGCAGCAGCAGCAGCAGCAGCAGCAGGAGAGGGTAAAGTAGAGGGTAACCCCCACAGCGCCCTGCCACCTCCACCCTGCCCCACACCTAGCCCACCCACAGGCAACCCCACTGCTCCCCCCATCCCTGCCGCTACCGCCGCCGCCGCCGCCGCTGCCGCCGCAGCAGAAGCAGCACCAGCAGCCGCAGTGGCCGCAGCATTTTCTCTCACCATCACCGCCTCTCTCGCTGCCGCGACCGCAGCAGCAGCAGAAGCAAAGCCAACGCCACCCGGAGCACTACCAGGAAGCAGACCCCAATGCCTAGGACTAGAGCTCCCAGACCGCACCCGGAAGTACCCTCGGGATCTGCCCGCGCCCGCCACAGGGGAGGGTGGGGGCGGGGGAGGTGCTTCCTGGGGCGGTTGGTATCTGAGGACGGGGGAACTGGGGCGTTTCCAGGAGCGCATTCGCCCCGCCATTGCTGCTGCGTGGGAGGATGGTTTGGTGTTGGTGCTGGTGGTGCCGCTGCCGCCGCTGCTGTTGCTGACGCTGATGCTCATGCTGCTGCGGCTGCTGGGGGTGGGGACGCGGATAGGGCCTGGTAGGGTGAATCCTGAAGCAGTGATGGTGGCAGGTGCAGCAGCAGATGGTACGCGTGGGCTTGGGGGTATGGCTGGGCTTGGGGGTAAAGGTGTGCTCGAGGAAAGGGATGTGCCTGGTCCTGCTGGTATGGCTGGGCCTGAGGGTAAGGCAGTGCCTGGTGGTGATGTGATGGCTTGGGGAGTGTTGAACTCAGATGTGATGTGCTGGATGGACTGATTGGAGAGTGTTGAGCTCACATGCAGCATCTGAACCTGCTGCTGCTGCGGCTGCATTTCCTGCTGGTGCTGCTGTTGTTGTGATTGATGGGGACTTTGAGGGGCGGCACTGGCAACAGCTGCAGGCACAGCAGCCGTGGCAGCCGCAACTGCTGCAGCAGCAGCGGCAGCAGCTGCGGTTTCCTCGGCTGCTTTGACAGAAGAGGAGCGGGATAGGGGAGGGGTGCGATGAAACATCTTCCCACCGCCGCTGCCACCCGTGTGCCGAAGGCTTAAATGAGGGCTGCAGCTGCTGCTGCTGGTGCTGCTGCTGCCACCACTGCTGCTTGCAGGGAAACCCATATTAGATGGAGACCCAAGCACCGGCTGAAGCAGCTGAAGAGGCTGGGGACGGTGCACATGCTGCTGCTGTTGTTGTTGCAGCTGATGCTGCTGCTGCTGCTCCTTCATACGTGGACTACCCGTCGGCTCATTCCCATCCGCATCTCCTCCTCCACACGTACTGTTGCTGCTTCTCCACCCGCCTGTCTCCACCTCACCTCCCTTCCTCCCAGAACTCCCAGGCTTAGCCTCTGTCAGCCCTGAGCTCAGCAGGTGCCCTTCACTTCCAAGCCCTAATTCTTCCACCGTCTCAACTGCAGTTGGAAAGGCCTGCCCCTCACTTCCAACCCCTGCTCCCCGTTCCCCTGTACCACTACCATCTGCCTCCCCTCTCACCACCAAAGCAGCCGAATCCGCACCTGCAGTAGACTCGGCGGCAGGCATGGCAGTATTCTTGGTGGTATCAGCAGCGGTGGCAGGCTTGGTGACGTCAGCGTTGCAAATCGCAGTGGTGGAAGCTGTTTCACCACCGGCACCTGCCCTTGCTGCTACAGCAGGACGCGCACTGCTGCTTTCGTGCGCCTCACCATGTGCAGTAACGCACTCACTGCCAGCACTGCCAGCACTGCCAGCACTGCCAGCACTGCCAGCACTGCCAGCACTGCCAGCGTCCCTTGCACGACCACCACCCTCCCTTTCACCACAATCAGTCCCTGCAATCCCGTCCCTCGTATCTGAGATTTCAGGAAATTCGGGACCTTGAGCTGCTGCTGCCGCTGCTGGTACTGCTGGTACCGTAGCTGCCGGTATCGCTGCTGCAACTACTGCTGTCACTGGCGCTGCTGCTGCCGCTTGCGCTGGCAGCACTGCCACTGGTGCTGGAGCTGCTGCCAGCGGTGCAGCAGACTCAGTGACCCGAATCGCAGCTGCAGCAGCCCCATTGCATGTCTGCCCCACAACACGCACTGGGTCACTCTCAGACCGAGCCAACCCCATTCCCCGAGTCCCCATCCGTTGCTGTGCCCCTCCACGCCCACTCAACACACCCACATTGCCGCTGCCACCACCAGCGACGCTGCTAATGCCAGTATTGCCAGCACCAGCACCAGCAGGGCCAGCCCCACACAGCACAAGACCCCCACTCCCTGATGAAACAAGCCTGCTCCCTCCCCTCTCACTTCCACTCCCCCTCCCTGCTCCACCCAGCTCAGAACGCGGAGAAACGACTCCGGAAACCGCCGCCGCCGCAGCAGCAGCACCACCACTGACCGAAAGCGCAGCACCAGCAGCGGAAATCGGAGCAGCGGCAGCAGAGAGAGAAGCGTGGCGCATGTCAAACGGACCTGAGGCAGTAGAACTAGGAGACGGAATACTCGACCGGTCAGTCGACGCAGCAGTCGACAGGCCCATACCAGGCGGATACGACCCCGAAATCGACCCCGAGATCGGAAAACCCAGCACTATATCATCCACAATCAGCCTCACATCCGCCTCTCGTCTCAGCCACGAGCTATCCTCGGACCCGAGAGATGACCCCGTGCGGGACGCGCCCCCGCTCGCGCTGGCCCCGCGGTAATCCGCCATGTTCCAGTAAAACACCCCTCCGCCAAACACGTTCCTATAGTCCACATCGTTATCATCATAAGAGAATCGCGTCTCTTCAGCACCGCTGCTGCCGCCAGCACCTCTACCACCAAGCATACCTCCCTCAGGTGCACCTCCCCCAAGCATACCCGCCCCCATCCCTGGAATTCTGTGTCCCGATGGGCCCTGTATTGCCCCTATACCAGCACCTCCGCCCCACCCCATTCCGGCTGGACCCATGGCTCCGTGCATGGCCTCTTTTCCGTACATCCCCCTCCCCGACCGGTAATTCCGGGGGTAAAACACCCCTCGTCGCTGGGCTACCAGCGGAACGCTCTCGTCCTCTGAGAAGTACCCCCTGTCGCCCGCACCGCCCACAAACTCGGCAAAATCCTCCTCCAACATCTGGTAATTCTCCCCTGCTAATAACGAATCATCTGTGAAATTCTCCAAGGACCAATCCTCCGACTCCCCTTCCTCGGTCCCCTCCCCTGCTCCTCCCTCGCCTGCTGCGCCCTCCCCATCCCCATCCCCATCGTTGCCCTCTGTCCCATCCTGGCTGGCCCTGCTGCTACCAGCCCAGCAGGAGGTGCGTCTGGAGGGAGTTGATAAGGGCGTGCTGGGGGCTTGCACTGCCGTTTCTGAGGAGTTATCCTCGTTATTAGCAGGAGCGCTGTTAGCAGGAGGAGCCTGGCCCTGGAATTCAAACTCCCCGTCGCCCTGCCGGCCACCCTGACCAGCGCCAGGCATAACAGCAGCACCTGCAGAGGCTGTAGCATTCATATCAGCAGCAGCTGTAGCAGCTGCAGCAGCTGTAGCAGCGGTATCCGCAGTACCACCAACAGCACCACTGCCACCAGCAGTGGTACTCCTGTCTCTGCCAGTGGTATCAGAGCGCCTAGCTTCGCCCCCTGCTCCCCGCCTTGAAGGCACAGTGATGCGAAGAGAAGGATGGTGGTGGCCTGGAGCAGCAGAAGCAGTAGCAGCAGTAGCAGCGCTACCACCAACAGCTCCTCTCCCCTCCCTCTCGCCAACACCTGCTGCTCCCTCACCCTCCATTCCTCCCCAACCTGTGCCACTCGCCCCACTTGTCTCTGCTCGCATCCCTGCCTCTCCTGCTTGTCCACCCGTCGCCATCCCCACCCTCCTTCCTTCGCCAGTCTCCACACCAAAATCCACATCCTCCCTTTCCAATGAGCCCCCATCCTTCCGTTGCTCCCCATCCCTGGTTACAGCCTCAGGGACCACAGGCGGCGCCACAACCACTGGCTCAGGCAGGCTGTGAGGGAGAGGACGGGAGGTGACAAGGGCGGGCGCGGGGGAAGCAGTGGGGTGTGAGGGATGGTGCACGTGTAGCTGGTCTGGGGTAGGGCTTGATGAGGTGTAACTGGCACTTTGGGGTAGGTGAGGCGGGTGGGGTAGGTTGGGAAGATGAGGCAGATGGGGATGATGGGGCAGGTGGGGCGGGTGAGGGTTGTTGTGGGCTAGATGGCCTGACTGCCAGCCAGAGACATGGTGGGAGAGTGCGGCGTGAGAGGGAGCGGGGTATGGGAGAGGGGGTTCCAGGATGTGAAGCTCCCTAGGCGGCCCCAACACACCAGGGTAACGCGCGTGAAACGCCTGAAACGGCTCGTCCACTGAAAGAGAGTCAACTGGGGGATATTCATGGTTGTGGTTGTGGTGGTAGGGGTGGGGGTGTGGGCCGTGAAGTGGTGGAGTAGGAGTGGCCCCTGCACCTGCGTCGAAGGCAGTGTTTGATAGGCAGTCGTAGTAATAGGGGCGTGACCAGGCGGGCTCTGCAGCCCATGTGGAGATAGAGGAGGGGAGCACAGGTTGCAGGTGTAGGTGAGAGGTGTGGAAGTGGGGGGAGTGTAGGTCAAGGGGGTGTAAGTGAGGAGGGCAAGGGCCGAGTAATCCTGCTTTGATGGTTGGGATTGGATGGGTGTGGATAGGTGGAGAAGGTTGTGTGGGGGGTGGTGGTGGTGATTTGCTGGAAGCAGGGACAGCTGATGAGTCAGGAGGGGGGCTAGAGGAAGTTTCAGAGGCAGTAGAAGTAGCAGCTGCAGCAGCAGGAGCCACAACAGCAGCAGGAGCCGCAGCAGAGGAAGCAGTAGCAGGAGCAACCTTACGATCCTGAACAACATGAGGAAGAGCAGCAGAACTAGCAGTAGAATCAGAGGCAGAAGCAGACGCAGAGGCAGCACTATAACTTGGAACGGACACAGAAGCAGATGCAGACGCAGAGGTAATGGCGGAAGCAGGGACAGCAGCAGAAGGGGAGGAGGAGGAGGGCAGAGAAGAGGTGGGCCGGGAGGAGGAGGGGGAAGAAGGCAGGCTGGGAGGCCGGGGGGGCAGCTGGGTGATATGGAGAGCAGAGGGGCGGTGCCACCGGGCCGATCCCTCCAGATGCAGCGAATTTAACACCGACTGCTGCTGCTGCTGCTGTTGCTGCTGCTGCTGCTGCTGTTGCTGGTGTAAGAGCAAGTGGTACTGTTGCTGACACTGCTGCAGCTGGTACTGAGGGTGCGTGTACGGGTGCTGGTGATAGGGGTGGGGTGAGTTGAAAGGAGGGGGGTGTAAGGGAGCAGCGGATAGGGAGCGGGGCCAAGGGGGATGAAAGCCAGGCCACTCGTGGTGGGGGGAGAGGCGGGAGGCGTGTTGGGGGGAGAAGGGGAGTCGCATTGGGGGGAACTGGCGCTGAGAGGGAGGCTCCTGAAGGGTCTGCTGCTGCTGCTGTTGCGGATGGAGTTGTGGTGGCACTGGGACAGGCTCTGGAGACTCTCCTTCTGGGAAAAAAGGAGGGGCATCTGGTGAAGGTACGAACTGCGACTGCCTACCAGTATTCAAATCACTGCTGGTGCCACCTGCAGGCCTGTTTGTCCTAGCGGGAGGCGCATCTGGTGAAGGCACGAACAGAGAGTGCTTGACAGCAGTGGCGCAATCAGAATCGCAACTGGTGTCAGCTGCAGGCGCGTTCCCGTGCTTCGCAGGAGGAGGGGCATCTGGTGAAGGCACCAACTGTTCCTGCCTGCCAGGAAGTTCAAGCCGCCTGCTGGTAGGGGGGAGAGAGCCTGAGTTGAATGACTGAGGGGAGGGCGATGCAGGGGAGGTAGATGTGGGGCTGGAGGAAGGGGGTGTAAGAGGTGGAGAGGAGGAGAGGGGAGGAATGTTCTGTGATGTTTCAATACGTGAGCGGCGCATGAGAGGTGAGAGGAAGGGGAGAGCCTGGGAGGGGTCTGTGGGCGTGGCCTGGCTGGTCTTCGGTAGCTGCAGCAGGGGGAGAGGCGGGAACGCTGAGAGCGAGAGGTCAAGATCGGTAGGGGAGGAAGAGCTCTGCAAGGGACGGACCAGGCTGCTGATGCTGGCAGTGCTGCTGACATGCGACGCTGATGGCTCGGACGGGGATTCAGCTGCTATTAATGCAGCTGCTACTGTTGCTGCTGCTGCTGACGCTGCTGTTGTTGCAGCTGATGCATGCAGGGAAGGCACAGTGGCAGAAAGAGACGTTGAAAGGTGCGAGGCAGCAGGAGGTGAGGCAAATGCACGAGCCACCTCTTTCTTTCCAAGTCCAACCCGTTTGCCCTGCCTTTGTTGTTGCCTCTGGGTGCAATCCCCACCGCCGCCATAGCCGCTGCCGCCACTGTCTGCTGCTGCTGCTCCTTTCTTGCACACCAGACGCCATTCGCTGGCTTCACCAACATCATCATCACCATCACGACCACCACCATCATCACCACCACCACGCAGTGACCCCTGCAGACCATCAGAGGCAAGAGTCGCACTCACAGGCTCACTACCCTGCTGCAGCATCACCAGAGGCAAGTCGCCATTGCCTGCCACTGCCGCTCCACCCTCTTCCCCACCCGCCACTGCACCCTCCACTCCACCCTCTTCTCTGCACTCTGAGCCCTCCATACTCTCCTCTTCCGTAACCTTAACAGCAGCATCCCCTGTCCCGCCATCCTTCCCCTTCCCTTTCTTCTTCTTCCGCTTCCGCCCCTTGCTCTGCCCACTGCTGCAGCTGCTGCTCCCACCGCCCCCCTGACCCTTCCCCTCTTCCCCCACCCGGCCCTTACTCTCCCTCTCCCCCTGCAGCAGCTCCAGCTGCAAGGCCGTCCGCAGAGACGCGTCAACAACAGATGCAATCCGAATCCGTGCTCTGCTTAGCACAGAAGAGGATTCGTTAAGGGGGGATAGGAGGGTGTGGGGGAGTATGCAAGGGGTTGAGAGGAAAGGGTCAGAGGAGGTAACAGAGGAAGGAGAGGCGGCAGCGGCAGCAGCAGCAGAAGAAGCAGAAGCAGCAGAAGCAGAAGCACCCCAACACGATTGCAAGAGCTTCTCCGATGCACACCATGTGGGCACAACACCAGCACCAGCAGCAGCAGCAGCAGCAGCAGCAGCACCACTCTCCTTCCCAACCTGCCCATCACCACCACTTGCACCCACAGTCACCCCACGACCTGCACCCACCCCCACCCCTCGACCAGCACCTGCCCCCACCCTCACCCCACGACCCGCGTTGGCAGCAGCAAGGAGCGGAGCGAGGTCCATGAGGGCAAGAAGGCCGGCGAGCCAGGGGCCAGCAGGAGAGCGGCCGAGGCGATCCCAGGAGTGAGCGGAGAAGGCAATGGGAGGGCCGCACTGGGAGCAGGGATTCAGGAACAGCCCGTCCAGGAGAAGGGCGCACGGGGTGGTGCTTGGGCAGGCGGTTGTGCCGGAAGGGATGCAGGCAGAGCAGATGCTGCTGGCGTCATTAGGAGAGCTCACGTTGGTGCTGTGAGCAAGACCAATGCTGCTGCTGTCAGTGGCAGGACCCACGATGCTGCTGCTGCTGCTGCTGCTGTCACTGGCTGAGCACAAGTGGCGGGAGACGGAGTGACGGGCAGCGAGCAGTGAGGGGTGCAGGGAGGCTCGGTTGCGGTGGATGATGCGGAGGAGGTGGTGCTGGGACAAGTGCAAGCGAGCGGCCTCGGCTTGCCTCACAGTTGCCAGGGCCTGTTTAATAAGAATGAGAGGGGGGATTAGGGAAGTGGAGAAAGGAGTGAGGTTGAAAATACAGCAAGGGAGGATCTGTTGCGGTGGATGATGTAGATGAGGTGGATGAGGTGGATGAGGTGGATGAGGTGGTGCTGGGAGAAGTGCAAGCGAGCGGCCTCGGCTTGCCTCACAGTTGACAAGGCCTGGATGGGAGTGCAGTAAGAAAACATGTAAGAAAAACATACATGTAGACGATGGGAAATAACCCTCACTTAACATAGCGAGCACAATTCATGCAAAATGCACGAGTACCGAATCCCCGACTCACCTCAGCCTTGGCTGCAAGGCACACGGCGCCCTGAAGCGCCTTTGCCTCCGCGCCACCAGCGCCCTGCTTCTCCTGCCACCATCGCTCCACCCTCTCCATCCGAGACATCCCCGGGCACTCTGTATGGGACTAAAACGACACGAGTACCAAACAGCAACCCCCAACTCACCTCGGCCTTGGCTGCAAGGCACACGGCGCCCTGAAGCGCCTTTGCCTCCGCGCCACCAGCGCCCTGCTTCTCCTGCCACCATCGCTCCACCCTCTCCACCCGCGACAGCGCCGGGCACTCCGCAACTCCGCTCTCACCCCCGCTTCCACCACTACTGCCCTTGCCACCACTACTGCCACTATCAACACTGCCACCACCGCCCCTGTCACCACCACCTGCAGCCACAGCAGCAGCAGCAGCAGCAGCAGCCTGCCTGGACATGAGCGCCCACCCATACCACCCCTGCTGAAGCCGCAGCTACCACTGCCCCAAGGCACCTGGCGCGGTCCCAGGCGCGCCACAGGTGAATTTCCAGGCGGTTGGCAACAAAGGCCGCCAGAGGGTAGAACCCCAGCGCCTGCAGCCATGGCAACTCCTCCCATGAATACTGCCCCTGCCCACTGCTTCCACTGCTGTTACCGCTGGTTTTACTGCTGCTACTGTTACCAGTGCCGCAGCTGCCACTGCTACTGCTGTTATTGGTGCTGGTGCTCAGAGTGTGTGCTCTTGCAGGCGCTTTCGTGAGGAATCCTCCCCAGGAGATTTCCTCCATGACCATGAAAAAGAGGTCGACGTTAGCTAGTAGCGAGTCAGCCAGTGTGAGGGAATCTACAGATGGCTGCACGTTGTCCTGAAACAACGGCCCACGCATAGTAAAATGACTACTTGAATTAGTACAACCTACAGAAAACTTGTCAAAAACCTTCTCCTGCAGAGCATCGGCCTGCTTTGCTTGCCCACTCATCTCCTGCTGCGCCGATAGGGACGAAGAAGGCGAGGAGGAGGAGAAGAGCCGGATCGCAGATTCGATTCGCCCAGCCGCCCACTGCTGCCGGCCCAGCCGCGTCCACAGCCCTTCACAGCGCTTGAAGCAGATGGCAGGCAAAGGAGGACCCGTTGACAACTGCTGAGAAGACAACTCCCTATTCTTCCCCACGAGCTGTTGCGGTGTATCTCTATTGTCAACCTGAGAGCCGTCGGTCCTGAGTGTGCAAGGCGTAGCCTGCTCGCCCTGCCGCCTAGGTTCTACTACCAATTTCCCCTCTGCCGGTCTATTGGTTTTTGGAACTCCCTCTGCCCTGACGTGACCGTTCGACCTGCTCCCTTTCTTCTTCCCGCCCCCGCCACCTCCCTTGCTCCCCTTCCCTCGCCCTTTATTGTGACCATGCGAAGCAGCAGCAGCGACCGCACCCACACCCACACTCTCACCCGCAGCAGCAGCAGCAGCAGCAGACGCCGGCGCTTCAGCTGCACCCGGAGTTGCCTTGTGCGAGGCCTCCTGGGTGACTGTAACGGGGGTCTGCTCGAGCATATCAAAGAGAACGATAAACTGACCCGGGCCGTTCATGCGCACGTGAGCTGCCATCTGAAGAAGAATCTGCGTCCACTGCGGGTCAACTACCGTGAAAATTCGCCGCCTTGACTCCACATCTAGCTGCTTCAGCCATGCCTGAATCAGCTCCTTCGGTGAACGCGTGGGAGAAATTTTGGGAGCGTTAGTAGTCGCGCCTTTAGTGGTCCCTCTTGATGACCGTCGCTGACGTGGTTCCGCCTGGCCCGAGACTCTCGCAGGGGCGGAATTGGATGACGACAAAGACGCGCGTTGAGCTTGGGCCTCGCGACGGCATGCGGTGCGGTGGAACGCGCCGAGATGCTCCGTCAGCGCATCCAGCAGCTCCTGAGTCTCCGCCATGGTGGCGCCTGCGCTTGAGCCTCAGAGTTATCCTACAAGGAAGACACTTGAGTCCTTTCAACGGGGAAAACTTGAATTAATTCAAAGGTCGCCATGATGGTCCGTCAGCGCATCCATCAGCTCCTGTATTTCCGCCATGATGGTCTCAGAGTTTGCCTAGAATGAGGAAAACGTGATTCGATGCAAAGATGTGTCTCAAAGGTCGCCTGATGGTGACTTTCGAGTCGACTTAACAGTCGCTCAGATGTTCCGTCAGCGCGGCTAGCAGCTCCCGCGTTTCCGCCATGGCGGCGTCTCGGAGTCGTCTCGAATGAGAACACGGAGAGCGAGAGCAAAGAGAGGGGACGTTGATGGGGGAACGGGACAAGGAGACAGAATTCGGCGCGTCGGTCAGTTTCAGCTGGTTTTGTGTTTTATAGGACACGCTTAGCCGTTCGCCAACAAACACGTCTGTAATAATCGTTGTGCAGGAACAGCCGAAAAAAAAAGGTGACGGCAGACTCGTGTGTCGTGGGTGTAACACTCTGCTACTAGCATAAACTGCAATAACTACCACTATCACTCCAGCCTCAGCAATCCAGCTCCTGAAAAGTCGGTGAAACCGTGATGGTGCTCTGACGCTCGAAAGTGCTTGCACTCCCGTCGAGTGGGACGTGATGATGACCCCTAGGCGATGCAACGGATATCGCTGTCATTGCCCAATAAAGAGATTACTGAACAGTGAAACAATTTCAAAAGAATCCTAACGGTGTAACAATAACCTAAACGAGAACTTCCATTTTCTTCTTCTACGTTGGGTATGTCATTTCTCACTAGGTAATAGAAAGTGTGACACAGCTGATGAGTTAGGCGTACTTGTGTAGGTGTTCTGAATTATGCCTAAGTGCTTGCTTGGAAAATATGGGTGGTGATAGCCTACAGTACGGTATGTTTATTGACATGGAATGAGCATCATCAACCTATTCCAACACAGAATGACACACTTCTGAAGGCTGGTACCTCAGAAGAAGGCCATGTATACTGAAAAGAAAAAAAGACTGCGCTAATGCCACCAAAAGAAACTTGAATCAAAGGCTCAACTGGCCATCTCTCATCATCCAAGGCAACACTGGAGGGGCAAGAGGCATATTGGTTGGAGCAGAATTACAGCACCCCTCTGATATTTACAGTTATTGTACAACGGCACCAACAATTTCACCAATAAATTCAAAATTTTCGCATAGTAAGCAACCGCCCGATGTCTTCTCTTCTGGATTTACTATCTCTGATGGTGCGACCACTGGCTCGCCAACGTCCGTCATGGTACGCGAGTCTTTGACCTCATGAAACTGCAATGACAACCTGAGACCCAAGGTTCACAAGACGAGTACAATGTCGCACAGCCGTCTGACGCCAAGGCCTTTCCTCCGGGTCTCGCGTGTAATGGAGAAGACTAGCAACCACTGTGGGGTTAGCTGCTCCTCGTCAGCCAGGAATAAGAAAGTATGTTAGGGGCTAGCGAAGTATGTTGCTCTTCTCAGTCTGCACAATACCCTCGCGAAAATTGACATACTGCTGTGTGGAGAGACGAAGGGGTGCTGCCTGGAGGTTTGGAGGCGGGGTTTGGTTCGGAGCTACACCGACAAAGATATTGGGAAGCTTCAGTTACTTGGTTTGGCTGCAGTGGGAACTGAAACTCTTCGCAGCAGTGCTGCACCCGAAATCAGGTGGACGATTTGTAGCGAAGCAATTCGCAATGTCTTTCGCATATTGAGCGACTCGTTCGTTTGTACAGTAATATGGTCCACATGACCACGTATAGGACGAAAGAAGCCCAAAGTTGAACAATTTATGCTGCTGAAGGGGAAGGCTCGTTATAACATTAGGACTCCAAACACAAGCATATGTGCTCAGGTATGACTACCTAGTACATACGATAATCTCACCAAGCACGCATCATGAAAAATGCATTGGTTTGGGCAAATGCACCATATTAGCATGCTTGCTTATCGGGAATTGGCTCATTGGTTTTTTGTTATTGGCCTGCTTCATCCCCAGCCATGGAGATGCGTTACCAAACCCAGCAATCTTTATGCTTATAACTCTTCATCATGACAGATTTTAATCGACGCATGTGCCCAACCAGCCACTGATCAAGCCAGCTGAAACCTTCTAACTTCAAGGGTGTGAGTCACTGCCTGCGTGCACCAACGGCATACCTGTTATGCTTCTTTCTGTGCCGGCCTCGTAATGGAGGAAAGAACATCACGCTTATAAATCGGGGGTTACATAACGTCACACTCACAGCGATCAGGCTACATTAACTAGAAGTCGCTCAATCATATGCATTCACAAGCTGACGCATGATCTACGCAGTGAGTTCCGCCGGGCGAATGAACTGATTGGACGCACGGAGCGACGCAGTTAACCTACTTACCAATATTCTTAGTTACGTCCTTCGTGATCTTACCAATAACTTCCAACCAGCACCAAAAATTACACCACCCGCATCCTTTCTGCTTCTTCTCTTCCGCCTCTTTACCCACCTCCGCGGGCGGCGCGGGTGCTGGTTGAGCTGCTGCGTCGGCCATGAAGGTGACGTGAAACTTCCGGAACACTTCAGACACTTCCGAAACTCCTCAAATATGGCGATCGTACAACCGCCGGTGCAATGCGCGCAGCCGCGAATACCAGGCTGTGGGGTTCAATGCCGCACAGCGAGTCGCACGTGTAGTGCTAGCTAGGGTCTGTCCCTCACGTGTCTGCGCGTGGGCCTTGCTGCTATCAAAGGCAGAGTGGTCTGGAAAACTAGTACTGCTGAGGGCAAGCCACGCTACAAAAGCCGAAGACGAGAGACGAAATAGAGCGTCGTGAGTTGCCCAGGACGATTGTACGCTCTAGTGCTGTTGGCTAAATGAACTGGGGGTCGCGACTCGCCACCAACTGTGAAAGCCACTGGATCAAGTGGCGGGGATCCGACGTGTGCTTCGTGCGATTTCCACCTGGCATAAGTACTGTACAGTTTTACACAGAGGAAAGGATCACCCATGATCTACGGCGTGCTATTCAGCGACAGGTGCCTGGCTTCATGAACCTCCCGGATTAGTCACTATGGAAATGAACTGCGTGCGATTGCCGTGCTATGCGGTGCAACGGCTGGTGGTGGCGTGGTGGTTCTGGTCCGGTCCCCCGAGCTATGATCGATTCTGGTCGCAGGGTGTGTGGTGCAGCGTGCGGTGGGGGTGCCGTGCGGCTGATGTTCTCTCCATCACTCGGCCGAAAATTACGTCCACATGCAACAGAAACTGATGCTAGCCACGAGATTAGATATCTAGCGCACACAAAGGGCGACTCGAACCTTATCAACCAATTGACCGTCGCCACCACTACTACGCTAAAAACGAAACCATCCGTGCTTCCTGTTGTCAGTTCCGCAACAGCAATCAGCACAAAACCAGCTTTGGCAAACGTTGGTTCGGAGATTCTCTCGAGGTTCGGCAGGGCCAGAACACCAAACCTGAACGGCTGGCCCAAAGGTCACGCAGGTTTCCAGGTGCTTCTGTACAAGAGGAAATCGATACGTGCGGCAGTAACTATTGATATCAAATATCAGCGAAACCTTGCTGTTTCGGTATTAGTATACTTTTCAACTATGATGTCGTTATAGTTTGCACGTATTGGTCCACACTCGAATCGTCAGATTAATTGAAAGGACACACACCTACACACTATACATGGTAAGTGAAGCTGAGAAACAATAGTGCAAAATAACTTAATATCTGCTTTACTGGTTGAAAGCGTGTCAGTTGCTCCTCTAGTTCGTCTCCGTCGCCCTTGGCTATTCAACTAACTCCACTCTTTGGCACCTGTCGCTTGCTGCCATGGCCGTTGTAAGGAAAGTTTATGGGAGAATGAACCCAGGGGACGGAAAAGTACAGTACTCGAGCAGAATCACAAGGCAGCGGAACTAGTTACATATGCCTTCCACAATGCAGCCGATCACAGAACCAATGCTTTCGCACCAATCGCACTCAGCGGGGCCCCAGACGCAGCAACCCTTCGCTGCCGGCTCTTCCATATTAATAACCTCCGCAGTTGCTAGGTCAGGCGCTGCGTCAGTCATGATGTAGTGGACAACGTTGGACTTAGTACTAATTGAACCACAAATAGAAAACGTAGACGTTATACAGGTGCACACGTCACAAAAAGGTCGCTATTCTTAGTGAACCCCTCCGGCGTACTCGAGATCTAAGTGCAAAAGAGGGGCGGACTGAATGGATAAGAATATGCTGTGCTGCATAAAATGGATAGCCCAACGCCCTCAGCGAGAAATGAACATGAAGCAACTGTCCCCATTCGAACCGCCACCGTACTGTGCACCACACTGGTAGTAGACTCCAGCGAACCGAAACGTTGTTTTACCACCTAAAAGTTCGAACAGGAGGCCTGTCAGTCAGAAGACCCCATCATGTTCCACGCCCTAACCTAATCTAAGCAGCGCTGCCGGCACGCCAGCAGACACGTAAGTTGAGGGTATCTTCCAGAAGGCCAAGCCAATCGAAAGTATTTTAGCCCCATGTTACCGTGCGAAAGTTCGCAGGCCAATGAAGCGGATTGGCTGTTCGCTCCGTCGCTTGCGGTTGTGTTGGGCGACGGGACGGTACTGTATACCCTGTTTCCAGCCGAGGCGAGAGAAATTGGATCCGCCTGCGATACGTGCTGGACGTGGAATGCGTGGAAGACGTGCAAGACGCGCGAGTCGTACGATACGTGCGATAGGTGAACACATATCGTGAACGGTGTACAGATTTGCTATTCTTGCTAGTGACAGCTGCGTTTTACAGTACTACGTTTTCTTCTTTGCCTCTGCATTAGTCAATCGCCTAGCAGTCATGCCAGCACAAACAGAATAAGCTGAAACGTATTCATCTAACTAAAAACATGGAAAACAATTCACTAAGAGGAAGATGCTAGTAGTGATGATACTGCCAGGAGCTCAAGCAACCTGAGCTGCTACCTCG